AGGTGTCAGGTACACACAGACTTTGTGTGTAACTTTTTTTAATTTAGTATAAATATCAACTTAATTTGCAAAACAATAAAGATCATCTTATATCTCAATTCTATTCTTTTATATACATTTATCTAAGTCTACTCTAAAACTATACCTATACACACGACACAGGTGCACACAGACTTTGTTAGTAACTTTTATAGTTAATATGAATATCAAAAATAATAAAGGTTATTTTTTTTTCTCACTTATACTGCTGAGACATATACATTTATCTAAATCTGTTACTTATACTCACAACACCATTAAATAACAAACACTTTGTAACATTCCATGCGGAAACTTTTTGATAATTTTACATTTATCTGCCAGTAACTTTTAAACGAATGAGCTCTAGTACACATTCAAAATAACATTCATATATTACGAACTGTTCAACAACGCGATGGCATAGTAAAAGCGAATATAGTACCACAAAATTTCGAGAACCTAATTCCACTACAGTAGCAGTTTATGAAGATTATTATCTACAGTCTGATTGGATTATTTTGTATATTCCACACGGTCATCAAGCGATTGAGAAACAGTATCTAATGAATATTGTGGCAAACATTGTATCGTATAGTATTAAAAGACAATTTTTCATGTATGTTATCTTTTTACTATCTCATGCCGTGCAATAGATAGCATCCTATTAATAAAATTAAACAGTATGGGCCCACTTCTGCAACAAAGGCAACATAATAAAGCGTGCTACTCTTTGGGGGTATTCAATGCATCCATCTTTAATAAACTCAGTAAATCTGTAAGCCATGTCTTTCTACGTGTTGTATTCACATATAATCCAGCCCAGCCTTTCATAGTATTGATCTATACGAGGGCTTGATTTTTGCGAAGCGAATATGCAAAATTGTAGTATCTAAGTAGTAAATTCAATTTCTCTCTTTCTTTATTAATAATGGATTGTTTAAAATCTACATATATATAGCAGAGTTTATTATTGTTAGTGATTTGGAATGTCTACGGCGACAGCCCGCAGGATGACACCGTCGTCAAGTGTAGTGATATTGCATCTAATTCAACATTTGTTAATATTAGTCCTAATCGATTTTACCGTAGCCAAGCAAAGGTGTACAACCATAGTGTTCAAGCAGCAAATTCGGGTTCTCATTTGCATTGTTAATAATAAGCTTACCAGCAACATAGGACATCAAAATTCGCATGAATTAGTCTTACAAAATCAATATGTCTCATGTTGAAATTAAAAGCTGCACAGGTTGCAGAGCTGCCCTTCCAGACGGCTTTAGCTACTAAAGATGTGGTTCATGCCGTGTAAATAAAAGCCGTAAAGCAAAATATAACCAAATTGGACAGTTTTCAAGCCTTCATATCTTGACATGTAAGCCTTTCTGAGCCACCGGAATAACGCCAAACAATTGCACTTGAGTAGTAGTAACTTTCTGACACCTTTGCTCAACTTTTCGAGAACCTAAAAAATATGGCCAAAAATCAACCAAAAAGCATGAGGTACCCCTCATGGTTTTCATCGAAAATCACCTTTCTTTCCCCTTTTCTACGAAATTTTTGGTCAAACGGGGTGATTCCCTAGTTTTGTGCGGTAGTGGCGCACATTATGGTCTCTCCCATCTCGATAGTTGACAGAGTACATAGTCGCTATGTTTTTCCCTTACCAAGGTTTTTTTCAACATAGAAGAATAACGTCAGGAGTAGCCAGGGTATGTGATTTATCACATATACCGAGTCTCTTCTGCTCTCAACTGTGGATGATGGGTTTCACTGACGTGAACGTTTGCTTTGTTGTTGGTGTGGTTCTGATTGCTCTCTTTCTTGCTTGCGGCTTCGGTCGAGTATCTTTGTTCTCTCGCGATAACCATCTTGTTAAGCACAAAGAATAAAAGGATTATTATTTGTAGCTTATAAAAAATGTTCGATATTACAAAAACAAGAAAAGACTTATTTGAATAAGATCAGACACAAAAACTAAAGATTTATTGATGAAGACAAGTTATTCTATTTATACTAAGTTCTGAATGCCAAAGTAGCAATTTATCTTGTACAACGCTTATCACATCTGGTGAACCTCAGTATTTAGATAGCTGAGATGCACTTCACTTATCATAGCTTGTCCATGTTGTTGCACAACACAGACATATCTACCCATCAAGAATACCTTAATCTTTATAGACAGTTGTAGCCCTTCTGGCACAACACATCTGATCAAGTGCTGACAGTACTATCCTTAGTCAAATATCTCCTGGGCTCTTCTCGTGAGAACACACTCTTTGCCCCAGTAACAATTCAAATTAGTAGTCATGCCCTTCTTGTCCCTCTTGTGCACACACTTATAGACTAGTCGTTTTAGGTAGAATAGTCTTTTGGTAGCATGTTAATAACATAATAAATACGAGTGGTAGCCTGCCTTCCTCCATACAAAAAAAAATTTTTCATCGAAAATCAAACGATTGCGTTTTTCATCTTGAAAATGGAGACTTTTACTATGGTGTATCTTGAATCAAATTTTTTCTATCGATCCAAAACAACCTCTGAAATCATCTTTGTGGGACTTTGATATGTAAAATTTCGACATTTTGGCCAGAAACCTCTTTTCATATTTTCATAAATCATTTGATAAGTTTATTCAAATCATCTATTTTACTTAGTACCTTTGGATGCACCTTGAAAAGTACTCCAGGAAAACTTAAGGAAGCATGGGGTGATCATTATATTTTACTTAGTCGAATCTGCAAAAATAGCTTAATCGAATCCAAAACCATCAAGATTTCTCCAATCTGGAACAAACTATGATTCTGGGTTTGAACTAACTTTGGCTTGTGGGGCCAGCTGGCAAACTCAACGCCCTTTTCATACTGCAATACAGTATTAAATGCTCTTGAAGCGTATGAAAAGTAGGTGGCAGGCCATAAAGCTATCGTTTATAATGATATTTTATTGCATTCTATATCGTTCATAATAATGACATCGTCTTGCATTCTATATTTAATAACGTTAGTCTGGACATTGACGATTCATGGGCTGCGTAAGATGTCTGCAGCAAGTAGTGAAATCTCTGAGGCTCCGAGCCGTCGTTCAAAGAAAATGTTGACAGCATTGAGCAGAGGAAAGAAGGTAGAACTAACAGTGGTTTTTGTTGATTGATTGTAAAATCATTATTCTCATATGAGCCGGGCCAGACAAAGGACTGAACATTTAATATGTTATGATGCTATTAAATCAAAATCTTCCTCTTGGTCTAAGGCAACCCTTGGAACTTTGTTTGCGAGATCTTTAGATGTAAAATCTCGGCATGTTGGGCCAAAACCTCCATTCATATTTTCAAAGATTACTTGATATTATCCGTCAAACAACTTATTAAAATCAGTACCATTAGATGCGCCTTGAAAAGTACTTCATGAAAGCTTAAGGAAGCATTACATAATTTGCACAATTAGCATAGTCGAATTTGATAAAATAGGTCGAATTGATTCAAAAAGTTTGAAAATATACAAATCAGGAAGTGTTGAGCGGTGATCTAACCAAATACTGGCTGGGGAGATCAATAATGCCATGCTTATCATAAAGGTTATTGATGATTCTGAAGGCTCAAGGGAGGGAGATTGTGAAATAAAAATGCTATAGTTTTGGCTTTATACTAGTTTTTTTTTTTACTTTTGCTGCGCATTAACAAAGCCACATGGTTAGTTATTAGTCAAAGTATAATAAGTTGTGGTTCCTTAATCGAACGCCAATATATAAGAAATCTCAAAGAACCTGCGCCTACAACAATCAACAAGCCAAGTAGTAAGACAGTTTAATGCTTGGCTATTTTAAGAATGTGTCTCCATGGCGCCAGCGACGACTTGGCATACTGATACTTTAAGACCATGATTTGGGCAAGTGGATATACAGTTCATCTTTTTTAACCTTTACTGATACAATCTACTTTGATGATCTATTCAGCATCATCTTAACCATGCGAAATTCAATAAAGCAATAATGTGCTCAGTGTAGACTAGTTTTTCGTAAGTTGGGCGCTGCTACAGAACAATCCGTGTTTCAATGGTGGATCGTCATCCAAAGCAACACACAAGCTGTGCAGTTACATCGCCATTTGCCCAAAAGTAAAAACCTAGTAAAATCAATCCGTAACTTGTCATTTAACAGATCAGCCATTGAAGAGAAACGTACCAGCGACGATCCATTTGTTCAGCTGATCAAATTGGCCTTTACATCCAACACGATCCTATTGTGCGTCGAGTGTCCAACAGTGCATTCTACAGACAGCTGGCTGCCATTGCCAAGAGCTCGCTAAATCAATTCGAAAGACGGGCCAACTTGCCATCATCTGAATTCAACGAGGCGTATTTCGAAATGCTGCGTAGTTTCAGTTATACTCATTCAAGCTACAAGGGTCGATACCACAAAACTGCAGGCGATGTATGCTTAGAGACGATTTATTGATACCAGGTACTTTATAGCCCTTTCCATGTAGAATGTCATTCTGAGAGGTCATTGATGGCAATTGATTGGATGAGAACAATAGCAAAATTGATTTGAATCAGATCAAATCAATGATACTACATGTACCAATTGCTCAGCAACCTCACTCTGTTCATGTACGAAAAAAGGAGACAATATACGATTTGGTCATCTTAAAACCTCCTGTATGATTCATCTCTTTTACAAATCCGGGAAGTGCAGGATTCAATAGTAACATTTCGATATCTGTGAGAGGTTTCGCACTGCAGGTGACTCTATATATCTAACCCAAAGATAGCGTTTACGGGAAATGGATCTCCCACGGGAAGGGCCGTATTTTCGGTTTCTCAAGTAGCAAGAGGGGCCATGAGGGCCGTTTTTCTTTCGGTTTCTGAATGTTGCTTGGATCCTAATCCAGAAAAAAAAAAAAAAAAAAAAAGTATATAAATGATGTCTCTTTTATCTCACCTTGAAACATTGATATGATACCATAGAAATATACACACATAGTTATGATAGATTTAGAGAACCCACCAGCAAAGAATGAAGCCGCAATTCAACAGCATGACAATCAATCAAGGTCAGCAGCACAATCAGTCATCTCGTCCACTGTAGATCACACCAGCTGTATTTCTGTACATGGCGCAGAAGACGAGAAGGAGAATTTGGAGAAGGAGGAACCGTATTCTATCTGGACCACTGGCCAGTTGGTTCGATTCTTGTCAATCTGTGCAGGAACTGGTATGATTTCTCCCCTGACTGCGAGCATCTATCTACCTGCTTTGAACCAGATCCAAAGAGTGAGTATGCACAGTGATTAAATGAGACGTATTCCAGCTCACACATGTACAAACCACAAGGATCTCAATACGACAACAGAAAAAGTCAATATTTCAATTACTGTTTACATGATTTTCCAGGCCATCTCACCGACCTTTTGGGGCACAATCGCTGATAGCTACGGTAGACGACCTGTATACCTGTGTACGATGCTCATTTACTGTGGAGCCTGTATTGGCCTTGCACTCTCGCCCAATTACGCAGCCCTGTTGATCTTTCGTATGATGCAAGCATTTGGCTCAAGTTCTGTCATTGCCATAGGAGCAGGGATATTAGGTGATATTGTGGATTCAAAAAGGTAAGTAAAGTGATTTTTATCGAATAGGACAATTTGTCCATATTAAGACATTTTAACCACTCAGACGTGGGTCGTATTTTGGAATTTATTCAATGGGCCAGATGCTGGGACCAGTTCTAGGTATAAAAAAAACACATATTAATCATCTAAGCAGATGATACTCATACTCATTTATGAATTCGCCAACCATAGGACCTGTGCTAGGAGGAATTATCGCAGAAAAGTTGAATTGGAAGTAAGATGTCATATTCTTAAACTCATGATACCATCTACTGATATTTTTCATAATGGTTAGGTGGATCTTTTGGATTCTGGCGATCATTGGGGGCCTGTCAGTCATCTTTGTTAGCCTTTTTGTGCCAGAAACTCTTCGATCCCTGGTAGGTAATGGCTCTGGATATGCAAATCCTACTCCCTCCCAATGGCTAGCTCGTCGAAGAGGCCAATTGGACGAAGAGAAAATTGCCCAGATCAAGATAGCTAATGGACCCCGTCGCCCGATGAATTTTTTGGCACCTTTCATCTACTTGACAGAACCAGATGTTGCGATTACTCTGATCTTTAGTGGATTTTTGTACTGCTCCATGTATACATTCATGACAAGCACCACGAATCAGTTTACCATTCATTACAACTTGAATGAGCTGCAGATTGGTCTGTGTTTCTTGTGTCAAGGCTCTGGCTCTATCGTTGGATCTTTTGTCAAGGGAAAGCTGCTCGACAGAGACTTTAGACGGTTGAAGGAAAAGACAGCGCGCGAAAACCCGGATAACCCAGATATAGAAATTTCGTTCTACAAGGCTCGTTTGGGTGGTGCTTATGTGAGTTTGTTCTTTGTAGATGCTCTGCCTATTGCTTATGGGTGGGCCATGCATTATAATGCTCCATTGCCCGTGGCATTGGTTTTGCAATTTCTAGGTATACAGTCTCGCCCTTTCCTTGAAATTTTCTCATGCTGACATTTGCATAGTGGGTGTGAGTACTTCCTCACTGACTATTTGTACACAGTCGCTTATCGTGGACTTATTTCCCGGAAAAGGTGCTTCCATCACAGCCTCAAACAACTTGACGAGATGCCTCCTTGGGTAAGTGTGCTATTTAGAAGGTCGGATGATATGTCTGACACCAAGATATACAGTGCTATTGCTTCTGTTGCTATTGAGCCGGGAATTCAAGGTGTTGGCATTGGCTGGATGTTTACAATTGTTGGATTACTTGTCACTGTAACCAACATTGCAGTTCCTGTCCTCATCAAATTTGGTCCAAAATGGAGAGCACGCCGAGCCGAGAGATACAAGAACTCGAATGGTAACATTGAATTCACGTTCTTCAAGTCTAAAAAGTGAATGCGCTATAAACTTTAAAGATGTTGTTGTAAGATGGAGATTATTTTTAGATATGTTTACAAATTCACCATGATTCGGAACATCCGAGAGGGGAAACCTAGTAGCATCAATGCCCAATCTCGATTGTATATAGATACTGTACTTGACAACTTGTCATCTAATAAGAAATAAACATTTATAAATATACAAGGCTAGGCTTATTTATTATCGAGGGGAGACGTAGGAGGCACTACACACTTATCCACTGGTTCCTGATGCTGTATCACTTGGTGCTGGATCCATCTCATTCAAATACGACAGAGTTGCACAATGTCAATAAAATGTCTGGCAACAACAAACTATCCTAATCATTGTACAATCGTAATTTTGATATTGGAGCACAAGAACAGCATCAAAGCAAAGTAACCAAAACTATCAAATTATCGCCGTAGATTTCCGAATCAGAAGAAAGAGAAGCTTAGCCCTTTTGTTTACATTTTGTTGTGTGTCATCTTGTCAGTTTATAAAGTCAAGAAGAAACTCTCATGGCCCAAATGTCTGATTTGTGTATACACTAAAAAAAAGGGGGGGGGGATTTATTGATTTAAAATGCTAAAAGAAACATGATCCATATAACTATAATATAATATTTACAATTGGTTTTTGCTGTTATTCATGATAGAAAGGAAAGAGGGGGGAAATCATATAAATAGCGAGAGAAGGGTATGAGGTGTGTTTGTTTGTGTGTGTGTGTGTGTGTGTGTGTGTGTGTGAATAAAAAGAGAGAAAGAACGATAGATTTAGCGTCTGTGCATAAAATGATGATGTTGTGGTGCTGCATTAGTATCGATGAACGAATTGCTCATCATTGTAAACATGGCAGGATTTGCATTGAAATGAAAGTCCTCTTGTTCTGTTGCAATGTGTTGTTGTGGTGTTATAGTGTGATCTTGAAATTTCTGTAGCATAAGTGCTTGTTGTTGTAATTGAAAGTAAGGAATTGGTTCTTCCTTGACCATGGGTTGAGCATGTATCACATTGTTATCATTGCAGTTTGGCCAGTTAGTACTGTTCGGCATCATTGGCACCGATGATTGTGACACGGGGATGTGATTACTGTTGTTGCGATTAAGTGTATTGATAGGCGTACTATTGATATTGGTATTAGTGCTGATGGTGGCGGCAGAGTTAGGGGGAGTCGTAGTAACACGGCTAAATTGAGTCTGTTTATGTTGTTGTGGTGGTGGTTGCTTTTGAATAGGAGAGCTGTTCATCTTAAACATGGGCATAGATTCCTGGAAAGGCTGAGCTTCTTCAAGATCGTCATCGTCTTCATCTTCATCCTGGTCGTCTTCTTGATGGTCATTTTGGTCAAAACCTTGCATCTTTTCATCAGAATGAACAGAGGAGACTTCTTTTTCAGCCATTGATTCAAAGGTAGGCATCACAGGAGAGGGAGAAGAGTGGGTCTTTTTAGATTTCTTGTGCTGCATACGTTTATCTGATTCAGACAGTAGATAGCTGTTGAACTTTTCAAGTTCGTTGATACGACGCAAATATCGCTCTTCTTTCTGGATGGCGTTCTTGACAAAATCAAGTGTACGGTCAATGATGGTGCTTTTAGAAGGGCGCGTATCATTCTGGAGGTTGGGTAGAGTGAATGCTAATTGCTGGAATTTGACATTCAAGCTCTCACGACGAGCTCTTTCGATGGCATTGTGCTCAGCTCTTCGTTCAGCTTTTGTTTGATGTTGCTTGCCATTGACACCAGTAGATGAACCAGTAATAGACTCAGGTCTTTCATAAGGACTGTTTGGATAAGCATGCATAACTATTTGTTTAGAGTATTAGTGTCAGTTGACGTTATAGCATTATATTATATTTACATTGCTGATGTTGAATTAACACCTCTTGATTTGAGATGCTTGGAGGGTTAAAGAACATTGGATTTCTTTGGCCTGAAGGAATACCAGAAGTAGCACTAGGGCGATGAGGTACTGATGGGGCGAATTGCATAGTCATATCAGGATGATACATGCTGCCACTGGATTGGAAATTACTTGGATTGAATAGATTGTCTTGAGACATGCAAGGTAAAGAGGGAGATGGTAAATTTTAAAAGGGAGGGAGAAAAAAAAAAGATGAACAGAAGCAAGAATTAGAGAAATAAATACTAAATATTTCTTGTAACACTTTCTATTTTACTCGGTCAATACCACGAATGGATGTTCCGGAAGCCACAGAGAGAGCTAGACAGAGATATGATCATTTACTCTGGCACTGTAACATGAAATGCCGTCATATTATTTGAGGCGAGATGTCTGATCAGAGTAACACGTACCTTTTTTTTTTTTTTTTCTTGCTTCTTTATCCCTCTCGCACGAGCCTTTTTTTCGCTTTGTCCCATTTGAATTGGGCGTTTTGTCGCATTAGATAAAGTCTCGACCATGATGGAATTTGTACACAACAAATCGTTTAGGGAAATGGTTGAAGCCTTTCAGTTCAGCCCCATGATTCTCTATACCATCATCTTGAATAGTCTATTTAGTGTACCTCCCCCCCCCCGTTACCTCCCATGATCTATCCAAAGAGTCACATCAGTCTCTAAAAAAAGACATGGAGTGTGAATAAATGCCATCAGTGTAACATGTTATCGTTATTAAACGCTACAAGTTACGCAAAATATATTTAAGAAAAGCATCTTCATGGTTTACTAGATGGAGGCTTAAGATTTCAGAAAGGAGAGCTAAACAAGCAAATAAACAGTAAGGGTGGACCATCATCGTATTATATCGGAATACACCGACGCTATCGAGTTGGACAAATCTCCAAATAAGCCAATCAATAACAACAATTAAGCTTTTTGTTGTTGTTTTTGTTCCGCAATGAAGCTATAGATCTCTGATGGACTAGACATTGAAGAAGGAGAGATATCCCATCTTTACATGTGAATGAGAATCGTTGTTTGATGAGAATATAATCTATAACGTTGCCAGAAACTCCTCTTGTGTATGTACTCTTTTATTTCGGTAGCATCAGATATAACAGATAAAGATCAGAAAAAGAAACTGGTACCTGAATCCTTGATACCATGGCAACGCGTTTCATGATAAAGTTATATTCATTATCCTCTTCTCGCTTATACAAGTAGCACAAATGATCAGCAAATCATTATCACTTATAGTGCAATGGTGGTCATGATAATTACACCTTTTTTTTTTTTTGGTTTGCTTTCATGATAGTATATAGACTATTCAAAACATGGAAGCTACAAGAACGGTGTTTTGTAGGTAATGACGTTCAAATGTACTGATGCGATTATTTACCATTATTACATAAAGGTGCATTTGGTTTAGCGGGAAATACACACGGAAGTAACATCAGTTGCTACCCTGTACTCTTGAAAATTTAAGCTTCTGTAGATACATGCAAACAAGCGCGTATCAATGTATAAAAATGGCATTTGAGCAATAACAGTGCCCCGCCATTGGCAATGGCCAAGATTTCATGATTCTGAAACAAGATGCACCCATAGTCTTATTGTAGCGATTTGCATATTTTCGCTCTGCATTATGGATATTGCAAAAGTGCAGCAAATAGCCTTAATAGCTCTCTAAAAATAGCTGGTGTACAAACACCAAGGTTCGGCGATAGCACTAATATATTCGTGGCCCTGAAAAAAGACCACAGAATCTCGAACAGACCACCCAAGGCACTTTTGGCTGAAGTTGCCTGGGAATTTCTGGCCCCATGACATTTCATATTTCGTTTAGGTAAATTAATGCGTTCATCTATAGACATGCGATTCGACCGAAATATATCAGAAGCTCGGTTTGTACACAGCTCTATAGTCTATGAGATTTTCAACTGCTCTCAGACAACGTGCTATGTATAGTTATAGTTCCTAATATGTGTATATTTGCATTATTATCCTTGTAGCAGGATCTTATCGATAGTGAGCCCTTATGCTGTTCCTTATTTACCAAACTGCATAATGAAAAAATAGTTGAATGCATTTTTTTTTTTATCGTAGGATCGAACAAAATCTGCATTTCAAAGGCGACGCATTGATAACGTCCCCTTTAGCCGCATGAGTTGTCATAAGATTATTAAAAGGTTGCTAGATTGAGCAAGGTCAGGATACCGCTGACATAACAGAATCAAAGAGTAGTCTATGGACTACATAATCCATCCTCTTTTTAATATTGGGTCAAATTGAATATTGTCAGCGCGCTACATTGTGCCACCGGAGGCCGACCCAAATCAAAAAATTACACTCAAGCAAGATACCTTAGTTGCTGCAATATCTACTTCTATTGAATCAACCTGCTGATTCAATCCAGCAGAGTGCAGTATAGCTGTAGAGCTACCAGCCCCACCATCAGCCTCAGCTCCAAATCGCGCTGTAAAAAAAAAGAGACAATAAGAAAACGCGAAAAAAAAGCATACTTAACCACCTCGAGATAGAATATGGATTATACCAGTAGCTATAGCAAGCATCAATTTATATATTGATGCTACAATTGCAAAAATGCTACCAGAAGAAAGCCAAGAAGCAGAGTTATCAAAAGATCGGAGGACATAAGCAAACTGTGAATTCACAGTGACTTATAAGCTGCTAAAGATGGACACTTCAGCTTGAAAAACATGAAAATCAACATAAAGCGATTGCTGACATTGAATTCCGAAATACCATGGCATTTTGCAGAGCTCCAACAGTCTATCAAAAACGATGGCTGTAATATCGATGGTTGAGCAAAGATTGTAATAGCAGTGAGTTTAGATAGCTAATATGCAAACTGTCATACAAGACACCATTGCGCAGTAGCGCCTTTGTTGATTGTTTTCTTAATTATAATTAGAAATGATCCTACAGGTACGTAATCAAAAGAAATCGCTATCAACTATTACGCAATGATTTTTTCGATAGATAAAACTTCAATTTTTCAAGCATCGAGGTGTATATGAATACGGTTTGAAGAGAACCACGCATTCTCGAATTCATGCAGCCAGCCAAATGATGCGCAGATTCAAATTCATGTGCCTGAACCATGCTGCAAATCAGTTTGAATGCAAATCGGAAAGAGATCAAACTCTACAAACCCCAACAATGTTTACCGTATGCATCAGCTTTTTAATAATTGACAAACTTTCTATCCATTTGAAAACAAACCATGTAGTCATGACGTTGCTCTTGATCTTGAGGTGCATGTAAATCTGGGGAAATGTATGTATGAGTGGGTTAGTTTCAGATGAATTTAATAAATCACCAAGAAAATCGCAATGTAAGGCATCATGAAAATAATAATTTCTGGCCAAGGTAGTGATTGTGGTAATTTGACTGCAGTGTGTTTATGTGTACGTGTCATTTATTTCATCGCATTGCAAATGTAACTTGAGTGAATCTCGAACAGACCAATGATAGAAACCCCATGACAACAGATCAAGTCGATATCGTAATACATTCTCGACGAATACATTTGCACTGCCCGTGACATGTATATAGTGATTATCCAACTTACAAAAAACTACAATCATGGTTGAATACTAATTTTTGTGAAATGTGATACAATCGTATTTTGAGGTTACCCTGGAAATCTATGGTGTCAGTAATAAGAAGGGGGACCGTGCTTTTTGTGTGTTGGCTATGCAATAGATGTTCTTTTATGCGTCTAGTTTTTTATCTGCAAATGGAGTATTAAATAAAGGGGGGGGGGAGAGGGACAAGACCAACTTAATTGGATTGAGTGATTTGATTGTTTTATATATAAAATAATTCATTTCAAAATTATGTTGATTGATGAGGATGATGAAGGTGAGAAAAGAGACAGCAGCAAATAGATTAAAAGCTGGAATAAAGAGCATAAAAAAAGGGGTGAGAAAAAAAAAAAAAAGAGAAAAAATAATACGCATGCAAAGAAATAGTTGTTTTTTGTTTGAAGGTATAGTAAGAATGCAAAAAGAAAAGGACTTATATAAAAGATGATTCGGATGAGAATTTGTATATAATAAAAGAGATCATGAAAGTAGATTGGAAAGATGAATGGACAAATTAATAAGTGGGCATATAATTACTGAATGAGTTGTTTCTTGGTACTGATGCTGATGAAGTGACATTTGAGACAGCGGCAGCGGCAGCAGCAGCAGTAGCAGAAGAAGCAGCAGTATTATTGTTATTAGTTTTGTCTTTTCCAGTATGACGATGGATACGAATGTGTTGGTTCAAATTGTCAGAGCGAGAGAAGCGCTTTGAGCAAGATTGATAGGGGCATTCGAAGGCTATTATGTAAACGATTAGTGCCAAATTTAATACACAGCAATGAATAGCACAACTTACGTTTTTCCAATGTATGAATTGAACGTACATGACGTTTTAAATGTTCAGATCTCTTGAATACTTTTCCACAATCATCATGTTTACAAGTGAATACTTTTTGACCTGCAACACTAGGGCTATTTGATACTCTGCGGCCACGAGAACGAGTTGCCTTCAATGGAGATTTGACATTGGCTTTACTGGTGCGGCGACTGGGAGGAGGGCTGATAGATAATGCACTGTCGCTTGAAGAAGACAATGATGACGAAGATGAGGCACGTTCACGGAAGATACCATTGGCCATCAAGCTGTCTTGCATAGGACCACAAAGAGGATGGAATGCTTGTTGTTGATGCTGAGCTTGTTGTTGGTCAAATGATGGCTGATGTTGATGATTAAAGTATGATTGAGGTGAATACATGTCCACAGCAGGATTGGCGTAAATCATGGGAGATGATAAACGTGATGGACTGGTGTTTGCTGACGAGTTTGCTGTTGTGGAAGGAGCAGAGGTAGCAGCAGCAGCGGCGGCGGCGGCGGCGGTGAGCCATGGATTTACAACATTGGAATAGCCAAGATGATCAACAGCGGGAGGGTGATGATGATAGACAGCACCAGTACCATTGGCAGCAGCAGACAAATGAGGCAATTCAATGAGGGTACTGAGGCGACGCTTGCTTGCATTATCAAGAGGATGAGGATATTGTTGATGCTGGTAATCTTCGTAACTATTGAATGGACTAGGAGTTTGCTGTTCATGATCAGAGTAACTTGCTTCACTTTGAGGGTTTCCTAATAAACCAGTGAAATAACTAGGTCTACGACTGTAATCGATACTGTCATGACGTTGATAGGTAGTTAAGCAACGATCAAATTCGATATCAGAGGGAGTAGTCAAGTGAGAAGCAGCAGAGGATAAATCAAATGTAGGTTGATAAGTTGCGGAATACATTTCTGCAGTTGAACAATTTAGGGTTAGCATTGCGGTTATTGTGCTTTCTATATGCAAAATTTACCAAATAAATTAGGGGTTCTGAGGTGGAGAAAGAAAGAAAGAAAGAGAGAGAGAGAGAGAGAGAGATGAGAAAAAGAAAGAGTTGAGCGAGAGGGTCTTTTTATAAAGAGAAAGGTTGATTTGAAATATTGGATGAATATGTAATTTTTTTTTTTTTACTTGGGTAATTCACTTTTTTTAAATCTTTATCAAAAAGTTTAAAATAAGTTTGACTAATAAAAAAAAAAAGGGTGCTTTGTAAATTTGGAGTGAGTGTATTAGAGGGAGAGTATTTGGGTTTCTTTTCTTTTGCTGAAACAAAAAAGAGAGAAAGAATGAATGAAGGATTGTGTGGTGTAGAGTTGGAGAGAAAAAAAAAGAAATTCAACTAAAATTCATGTAAACTGAAGCGTTTTTATATACGATGAACGAAATTCTGTTTATTTTTAGTCATGGCTTTGTATGTTTAAATGGCAAAAAAAAAAAAAAAAATGGTGGGTCTTTCCGGATGTTTGTTTATTTGGATCAGACCAACAGCAGGCAACGCTTATAGTTAATGAAAGACATATCCCCTTATTTTTTCGATAGAAAAAGCTTCTTTTCCCCTTAATCAAAAGAGAAAGAGAGTGCTCTTGTTAGGCTGGTGTAACACTGTATGCAACCATCTACATAATAGACATGTATGTGATGGCAGTAGACAAATGTATCTACACTCTTTCAGTCTCCTTGTCTATACAGGCATCCAGCAAATTATCTATAACAGTGATCATTCTATAAATTACTGCTATATTAAATGTAACTAAATTATTTATATAAAATGTCATCTAGCAAAATCAAAACAAACAGTACAGGGTTTTTGTTGTTGTTGATGTCGTCGTCGTCGTAGGGAGACATAGCAAAAAGATTGACAGAGCTTTCTTTTGCATGTTAAAATGAGGAACCGCTCTTTGTGGGAATAGTTTGAACAATTAACACAGTTTAAGGACATTGTGCCATGTGCTCTCATACAGCTAAAACGGGTCGGCTATATGTCTTGCTGCTTGATGTCTTGGTATGAATTGCAGCACACTTTGCGATTGATACATTTGAAAGCGTCGCCATGGTAACAAACTTGCATGAATTTCAATTTCATTATCCTCATCATGAATCGTTTTGTAGACCTATTTTCGATCGTGTCACCAACAAGGTAGTTTAGACAAGAGTAATTGATTGACAAGATTGCATCCTGCAATTAGACGATCTATTTCTTTTTCGTTCTTCTCAATTGCGCTTCTCTTTCGTCGCTTGATTCCATTGGCAATGTACATGTAGATGCATTTTTAATGAAGCATGTATCGATCCTTGAGATAACTGTCAAATGCACAGTGCTGTTCATCATGGAATGACTGTCTAGACAGCGAGCAAACGGGCGAAACAGAAGCAGGGGCAGGTCTACTTTTTCCAGTAAGGAGAAGATAGACACTGTATACACAAACACACAACACAAGAAAAGCCAACAAATTGATTAAATTGTTCAAATAAAACGTGCTCACGGACTCAAACAAACGATTATGTATGTACACGAGTTTTCCTTTTTATTATTGTCAAGATGTTGTTGTTTGGTATTGGCCATGATGATGGTATCGCAGCAAACCCTCTTCTTCTTCATCCACGAGCTCCTGCAGATCAGCATCTACATTATTTCTTGGTCCTCTGAACAGAGCTACTACGAATCCAATTATGAAAACACCTAAAAATACCCACTGCGAGTAGTAAAAAAAGATGCCAAAAAATGGTGTGTTTACAATGACTCTATCCACCATGGTAGATGACACTGTAGGGGTGCATATTTCTACTGGCTTGATTAGCTCCATGTCAAATTTCATCCGAGTGCTATCTGCTTACCTGTTGGCCCGTAGATATCGCAATGCACTATCTTCTCGACATGCTCACTGCAATCTCGATCTCCCATGGCATTTGTGAAATTGCACTATGGATACCAAATTGATTAAATTATTTTTTTTAGAGTAATAAACAGTAATAAACCTACATAGACCTGGCTTCCGAAATGCGCATAACCTGGTGCTACCGTCGTTGTTACTGTGTAGTTCAATGCCAACAGGCTCAGTGTTAAAAGAACAGCCGAGACGAGCAATCCTTGCGGTGCGGTAGAGCCCTTTTTTATGCGGAACAATGTAACCCAAAGGAATCGCACGCCAATTTGAATGACACCTGACATGGTGGCCAAGAAGAAATAGAGAATCAGACCAACCATGAATACGTAGTCCAATGGAAATACCGTTTGCAGCTTGATAAAGATGTAATTAACAGGATTAAACATGCTTGAATGATGAATCACATAGCCGCATTGACTTCCACAAATGGCAAAAGCAATCTTGTCTACACTACCCGCAACATCAGGACGTTGGACTCTTGATTCGATGTGTGTGTATATATGTACTTACATGGTTAAAAAGATCGAGACAACCAATACAACTGTAAAGCACAATAACAGGACGCCAAGTAGAAACTAGTTTATTTTTAATATCAAGGAGAGAGCAACAGATCCATAGAGAAGATATTAAACTCACCTCAAAAGGTCGAAGCAGAGATAGGATCCTTTGTACCAAGCTAGTCTTATCTTGTTGGATGCTTCGCAATCTTCTGGATAGTATCCTAATCATCTGTATGTTTAGCGTATACACGTTTTTAGCATATACACTTCTGTCTAATCCCATGTACCTTTCCTCGTCTTCCAATTCCTCAATCTCTCGTTGATCTCTATTAGGCATAGCTCGGTTCATGTACTTTGATCGAATCACGCGCTGTCTCTCTCTTGTTGCGGTTAGACGGTTCTCAACATCCTCGCTTTCTGCATCAATACGTTGTCGACCTTTGATCAGACTGATTGGTAATAAAGAGAGTCCGGGTGCCTACATGGGGGGGGGGGGAGGGGAAAACATGAGATGGTATTCAAATGAATGCACACTGTCAACTCACTGTGTAAGCAATGAATACAAGCATGCCGAGTAACACAAGGCTGGCAACGACAAATGTAATCGCCTTTTCACCATCTAAATAGCCCACCACATCAGTATAAATGATACCCCCCCCCCCTCCTTACTACATTGGACTTACGACTATCTGTCAATAGCTTTTTGAACCAATCCAGATCGATCTTGGGTGCCTTTGTTGTTGGCTTCAAGAACAATCCAAACAAGAACAGCAGGATAGAAATAACCACAAAGAATGAAGTGTATTTCAGGGCACTCCAGATGCGAACCTTGATGGACTCTTCATCATCGTATTCCTCGTAAAAGAAGTAAGCAAATGGGATCAACAAGAAGCTGAATAGGGTGATCAGACCATAGCAAACTAAGATGTGTGTATGTGAGTATGCTGTGCCATTGTCGTTCTCAAGCGCTATCATACCATAGTACACGATGCTCATCGTCAATGTCATGGTTTCAATAGCATCCGGTGTTGCCCAATCCTTTTTCAGTCCCTTTGCTTGGTCGATTGTCGAGGATACCAAAAATATATCCACTGGTAATAAAGCCAATGTTGAGAATACGAGGCCCAGTGCCAATATAGTGATGCATGTTGCAAAGAACTCGGATTCATATTTGTTCTGAAAGTATCTTGTAAATCCTATGCTGAACAAGAACAGAAGCTTGATGTTTGCTATGTGGGTGAGCCCAGTGAGTTTTAAAATGACTCTTTATGCTATACTTTACTGCTGCTACGATGCCATAGATCGTCCAAGCAATCCCTTCAACTGCAGGCATGTTGTGTGTATGTTTAAATGTAATATGCGTGTTTGGATTGGGGTATCGTTTTCTGGGATGAGAGGTGAAAAGCAAAAAGATAAGAGAGGTATATATGGTGACGAGAGCGAGGGAAAGAGAGCAAAAAAAAAAAAAAAAAAAAAAAAAAAAAAAAAAAAAAAAGGATTCAGCCATCACCCATTTGTTGATTTTATCCCACAGATACAGGCACTCTCAAATACACTCTCTATTTACACCAGATGTAAGACATGGCATAGCATGCCATTTTTTTTCCAAACAGTGCTCATCTGCAAAGGATTTTTTCGTGTTCAAGAAAGCGCATATCATCATGACATGTAGTGGCAAACTGACTGTAGAATGATGCTCTTTTGCTTTTGCATTTCTTACCACTGCAAATGCGTGATTATGGTACAATATCTAGCTTTTTTTCTTTATTTATTTAGTATCCTTGCTATTATCTAATAAACCAGCAATACGGGCCATTAATTCAGTATGTTCAGGGTTGGGAGTCACATTGTCGTCTTCAGCAGATCCGCCTTGTGAGTTGTTGTGGTGTTGACTATGGCGACGGTGTCTATTAGGGTGCATCATTTCGTCAGCTGTCATGTTGGCATGCTTGTTTTTCATGTTGTAGTGATCAAATGAATCAAAAGAATCGTAGTTGTTCAAAAGAGGGATGGACGAAGTAGCTCCCTTGGACTGAAGTGTCACCTCAACCTTGGGTTTACCTTGCTCATCTAATTCTGCCTTGCGAACAAAGAATGTCTGTACTCTTCTGTCACCACTGTTGCGAAGTCCAAGGGCACTACGCTTGTTCAGAGTAGCCACCACACCACCAATACCGACAGAATGGCCCATTCTATCCATGTTCAAGATACGGCCTTGTACTGGATAATCCCAGCCCACTTGATGATCTGAGTAAGTAGGACCTACAACGCCACCTCCAACATTGTTTCCAGTCGTTTCGCTTGTATCAGTTGCAAAATTGACTTGAAGGTAATCAAACACTTGCTCAGGGATCAGTTCTTTGTTTTTGAGCTTCTCTTGGAATTCCTTTGCTTTGTACTTTTCTGAACGCTTCAATAAACGTTGAAATTCAGCAGGGGTCATAGTAGCTGCATTATGTTGAATCTCTTCAGGACGAGGTGAAGGCTTCTTGGAATTGGGAAAGTTCTCCTTCCAGCGTTTGATAAACAACACTTTTCCATCGCCTGATTCCCATGGTGTTTGATGTTCGGCTGTATCCAGTGCTCCAATAGTGACATTTTTGGTGCGAATCACTGTGGGCAAATTGCGCTTCAAACCCCAGTCGCCAATCTTTCTATAACGTTTTGGTGAAGTGTATACTTGTTCTAATGTGCGATCATAAGATGCTAAGCGAGAGTGTCGCAGTAGATTAGCGAATGACTTTTCCATACTGATCGTAGACTAACAAATAATGTAACAAAAAAAAGTGAAAAGCAAGAACAGGAAAAAACCGTAGGACACCCTGGTGCTTTAAATTTTGACAGTATTCCACTTTTTGAATGAGCGCATTGATAGCTTGATCTGCATTTAGATGTGTAGTATTGCCATGCCAATAGTGAGCTCAAGTACAAGGTATTTGATAAAGCTTAATTGGGTTCTTCAATCAAAACGGCATCATATGCGTTTTTGTTTCAAATGTTTGCGATGGTATGAATGATTGATCAAGATGGAATCGAAAGCAATAATCTAGTGTAGGATAATTTATACTAGCCGATCAATCTAGCTACGCTCGATGACAGTGTGAAGACATTCCATATCAGAGATGATAAAAATCTGGCGTATCCAGCAGATTTTAAACGATCAATTAATAGTGAAAAAAAAAGGCTATACTGTATCAAAGTCAAGAGGAGGAGCTATCCATTCGCTGATGTTGCTCTTGAAATGGCAATATAAAGCTGGCCATAAGTAAATACAGGACTTGTGTAAGATCTACAGCAACTTTTTTGAGAGATATCATTACAAAAGACGCCTTTATAAAGAAAGACTCCCAAGAAAAAAAAAAGTGTTCAGGATGAGTAATTGTCCTTTCAACTCCATGATCCCCATTTGATCAGCATCACAGCCATCATTATCATCATCAGAAAGGCATCTGGGCCAGCCTGCAGCAGCGCCGCCCACTAAAATCAATTGAATTTCAGTTTATTTTTTCTGTTCAAGATTGGATAGATTTTGTCCTTTTTCGACTTTTATAATCTATTTCCTGATATTCGACTATATAAACTGTGCTGATCACCCGACGCTTCCTAATACATTCTTGAAGTACTTTTCAAGGCGCTTCCAATAGTACTAATTGTAATAAATACTTTGACTAAACTTACTGAGCAATCTAATAAAATTTGAAATGAGATTTTTAGCGAAAAGAGCCAAATTTTGCATATGAAAGCCTCATAAAAACGGTTTCAGAGGTTGCTTTGGATCGAGAGAAACATTTTGATTTGATATATACCATAGTCAAAGTCTCGAATTTCAAGGTGAAAATCACGATCGTTTGATTTTTGATGAAAGCCATGAGGTATCCCTCATGCTTTTTGGTCGATTTTTGGCCATGTTTTTTGGGTCTTCAAAAAGTTGAGTAAAGGTGTCAAGAAGTTACTACTACTCAAGAACAATTGTTTGCCGTCATTCCGGTGGCTCATAAAGGTCTATATGTCAAGATATGAAGGCTTAAAAGCTGTCAAGTTCGGTTATGTATTGCTTTATAGAGTTTATTTAACGACATAAATCACATCTTTGATAGCCGAAATCTCCTGGAAGGGCAGTTCTGCAGCCTGTGGAACTTCTAATTCGAATAGGAGGCATATTGATTTTGGAAAAGCTATTTCATGCAAATTTTGATGTGTTATGCTGTTGGTATGCTTGATAATAATGGAAATGAAAAACTAAATTTGCTGCTTAAATACTACGGTTTTGCACATTCGCTTCGCTACGGTAAAATCCTTATTAAGATTAGTATTACCAAATGTTGGGTTAGATGCTTAGTTGCCATGGTTTTTTTTTTTTTTTTTTTTTTTTTTTTTTTTTTTTTTTTTTTTTACCTTCACTTCGCTATCGTAAAACTGCCTCATAGATCAATGTTACCAAATGCTGAATTAGATGCGCTACGTTCTGGGTGTATGTGCTCCAAACCTTTTCCCAATGCCGGCTTTGCCGGTGATTTATTCAACTTGTACAGTACTCAATTCTGTAAATTCTGAAAGGATATGATTTTGTTTGTCTACTTTTTTTTTTGAATGTTTTACAATCTATATAGTGATTATTGGCTTGAATCAAACTGGTACAGCATGGCTGGCCTTCAGCTTATATATTGACTGAATAGCATACATCTATGGTGAACGTATCTGTAATCCTTCATCTTAAGGTTGCAAAGAGTACTTGGAGTAGACCCTCAATCCCCAGTAAATCAATTCAATTGCACCAAGGCATATTCACTTCATCGATAGTCCCCACTAAATCAGGCCGCCGTTTTCTTTAAAAAACCATTTACACATTTTATTTCATAGTTGGCATCAATACAATTACAACATATGTTAACCCTGAAACTTTTTGATTGTCAACATTTGACTCAACATTTCCTGCAACTCAGGGACCTCTACTTTGTTCTCCAAGCTACACAATGTCATTACATATTCGTTTTGGATTGCCATCTCTCCTCCAAATCTCCTTACCTTGGAATTAGCGCTTTAGCCTCCTCTGCATCTTCACAGCACAGATTAGCGATCTGTGCTACTTCGAATTGTGCCAGGTTTTCTTTTGCGAGAACTCTGTCCATAGCTTAATCATCTACTCTAACTGACATGCCTCAAACAACTTACTGTCTGACTTCACGCACAGATTCAATGTTGCTAAATCTACTGAAGGCGCGAACATAATCCAAGGTTTTTGCCATGACGCTAAACATAAACTCGCATCATCAGTATTGACATTTGGAGCCATATCATCTTTGCCATGGTATTACTTTGTTCGAGGTCTGGTGTCTGTTCCATTTTCTTTTGAGTCTTCTTGTGCTTCGAGAATGATTCTAACTTCTGAAATATACAAACATTGAGCTCCATCAAATTCTACGAAATCATGACATGGATTAAAATGTGCTGTAAAATCAATATGCTTCTCAAATGATGCTACCTTCTCCCAGCTTGAGATTAGATGCATCCTCTTGGTCAGTGCCTCCACGGATCATATGTCTTTTCTTTGAGGCCATTTTGGTTGAATTTATAATGTGTAAATAGCAAAAGAAAAATTAAAACAGACAATGATGGAAAGAAGAGGTGTTGATGAGGATCCTTTCAGCCGTGACAAGCAAAATACTGGTTGTTGAAATTGCGTCGTAATTGGTGAGACTCTGGCTCAGAGATTGTAGTAAAGTCTCGAGCTATTTGTCTTTTGTATCTCTTGATTTACTTGATATACCATCTTTATATATATATTCACTCGCTTTATAAACTATATATAAAGAAATGCAGGAAACTGGACCAGCAGGTATGGTTCTCTTTATCAGTCAATCATCAGGAAATGTGCTTAATATTTGGCTGCATGATATTCATAGGCTTTTACAACGTACCAGTAACCAAATTCTTGGTGCTGTTTGTTGGCATTTGCTCCATCTTGGCCGCCATCATGAACGTCAAACAGTACTTTTATCTACAGCTTATTCCACACATCACTGTTCACCACCAGGTATGAATAAGGAGTTTCATTTGTTTCCAGACACATAACAGCTTGCTTTATGATGCAGTTCTGGAGATTATTGACATCACAAATAGCATTTGGAAGCTCAGGCGATGTGTTTTTCGGCTCATTACTGCTATATACATTGAGAGTGATAGAAAGACAGTATGGAAGCTCAAAATATACCGTATGTTTAATGAGCGGTAGGCAATTCAGAGACGATGTATTGATGCAAAAAGTAGGCCTTTCTCTTTATATCCGTAGTGATATCAACGTTACTGGAATTAGGAGCACTTGTTGTTGGAGCACAGCTTGGATTAAAGAGCATCCCTGGTGGACCGTATGTAACTTGATTGCTGTTGAACCCGAGTATGCATGATAACCTCGTTCGTAGCTATGCGTTGATGTTCTCGGCTCTTTACCAATATCATCGAATTATTCCAGTAACCTATCGATTTCGAGTCTTTGGCATTGTCATGAGCAACAAGCTGTTTTTGTATGTTTTGGCGCTTCAAGTGGCATTCTCGCAATCGTTCAAAACGTTAATACCTGCAGTTTGTGGTATTTTATCGGGAGCCTTGTACAGAACAGACATTGGAAATATCAAACAGTGGCGGTTTCCGGCCTGGATACAGAAATTAACGATTCGATTCATAAAGCCTTACTTGGTATCGCCACCGATTGCACGTTCAGCTGCTACAACACCCAGTCAGCGACCCATTGTAACAGGCATTTCGCCAGTGGAAAACATAATGACAGCTGGACTGAGAAACAGGAGAGGGACAACGGCTACCAGTGCGAGCGATCGATCAGACACAGCATCTGCCTCAGCAGCAGCAACAGAAGGAACATCATCAGTGAGGGTAAGTATTGGTTAGCTGCAACTGCATGCCAGATGCTAGAGGTTCTTTCACATTAGGAATACTTGGATACAATCACTGGCAGAGATGTGGCAGGATCAGAACTGGAGCCGCCCTCACCTGAGCACACACGAGTTTTGCTCGCCATGTTCCCAGATCACCCACGAGAGACAATTACTAGAGCACTTTCATCAGCACACAACAATCTTAATAGAGCTGTCGAAATTATGTTGAGCACGCCAGCACCCAGCAATGAAGGATCGAGTAGTCATCCAGCTTCTGCAGTTATTCCCCCTTCGCCATTTACTGCAGGTAGCAGTGGTCGTAGTAGTCGTGGTCATATGGCATAGTTCAACATAGATAAATACTCTTGTACATACATCATCAAAGCTTTATTCCTAGTTTTTAATGTAGTTGGCGTCGTAATCTGTATGCTTAAGCATCTTTATAAAACTAGTAACTGTGGATGGCCACAATGTCTGAATGTCACCATGCTTGTTAATATACCAGGAATCACAACCACCGCGCCAGACTGTGCCTTTAAACCGAGACTGCAAATCATTGGAAAACGCCTCTTGGGCCTTTTCAGTGGGATCTAAGCTTTTGATGTGGTTCTTGATCATGTAGCTCATCATTTCGATGCAATAATCAATTTGACTATCAGTATAGGAGGAATCAGCACATGGTTGTATTCTATATATTTGTTGTACTCACCTTTCAATGATGGTAACAACCGAGTTATGGCCGAGAGCAGATCCAGGGCCGAGTAATGTAAAGTAATTTGGAAAGCCATGCACAGTCAATGTCTTGTATGTCTTGGCAGTATGATCATCCCACAGCTTGTTCAAATTGATGCCATCTCTGCCATTGACTTGTAGCTCACCCAAGAATCCATCGACATCAAAGCCAGTAGCAAGGCACAAAACATCTACCTCTGTTTCAGTGCCATCTGCAGTGGTGATTGTTCTACCTTGGATCTTTGTAATGGTGCTCGTATTGACAGTGACATTCTCTGCACACAACGATTGCACATAATCGTCAGAGATGCCAATTCGCTTGCATCCCACTGGGAAACTTGGAATAAGCTTGTCTATAAGATCTGGGCGGTTGTTTGACTTGAGTACATGTGTCATGTGCATCGTGATACCATCTCGTAGAAGCTTGGCTCGCTTGGAATTGACGTTTCCCCAAGCACTGAAATTGAAATCACGGATGTAAAAGAGATAGGAGCGGTAGATGAGCATGACCAAAGGAACGTAGGCGAATATGAATTTCATGAAACTAGAAAACTCAAACTGGTCTCTTGGGCCTACCCAAGTCGGTGTTCGTTGAAAACTATGCAAATGATTAACCCTGGGCGCCAAATTGGGGACTATTTGAATTGCACTGGCAGAATAAAGATTAGATGGCCATATGGCAAATTTTCTTTACGTTGATTACCTTGTGCCACTGCCAATGACAGCGACTGTTTTATCGTTGAAATCAAAATCATTGTCCCAGTAAGCAGAGTGAATGATCTTTCCCTCGAAAGCTTGGAATTGCTTGGGGATATTTGGCACTCTTAATCCACCGATACACCCAAATCTGCGATAAAGCATTGTTTAGAGCCAAGCTGTACGCGGTTTATAGCCTTAAGCTTACACAAAATCAAAGTATTTGATCTGGTTCTCCTTGTGCGCTGTGGGTTGATGCAATTCCAGTTCCCATTTCCTCTTGCTGTCAATCCAACTTGCACGGATCACCTTAGTTTCAAATTGAGTTTGTTGATACACATTGTGCTTTCTGGCTACACTTTGCATGTATTCATGGATTTCTTTCTGTGGGCTGTATTTTTTACTCCAATCTAGCGTGCTCAACCATTAGCTATCTAATCAGCAACTTGTAGACAGTTTACATTACTTGGATTTAGCTCAAAACTAAACGAATACAGATGGCTGGGAATATCACCTATATTGGCGGATGCATTAGTTTTCAAAGAAACACAAGGCAAGATTCACCTTACAAGCACATCCGGGATAAGTGTTGTAATTCCATGTCCCTCCGATATCCTTTGTTCCTTCATAGATTTGCGCAATGATGCCCAATTTCTTCTTGAGTTGAATAGCTGCTGTAAGACCACTGAACCTACTTGCGCATGTCAATTCCAACACAAACCGTTATATCAAGTGTCTATTTACCCGCTACCAATGATTGCTACTGTAGGTTGACTCATTGTTTGTGTTGATGTAAATAGAGTGTAAAGAAACAAAAATACGTAAATGCGCATAAAGCCACACCACTTAAATAACCATCGGCTCTTGTGATACATTATTTCTATTACAGTAATCATTTTTTGGCCATTTTTTTAAGGGGCAACTTTGTATTGATCAATGCAAATACGTCCAAATGTAGGTCAAAAAGATGTTATGTAATAGGTCTATATGCACTGTATTTTCTGCATGTATTATAGCTTGTGTCCTATGTGAGAAAGCCAAGCCATAGCATATTATTCACACGATAATGGTTTATCCAGACCGTATAAGATACTTTCTCAAGCAAACCATCTTTGTCATCTGAATCACGGCGTGAATGATATACACTTCAAATCTGTTATTTTCCCATTCTAATCTTTCACCATCAGATTTTAATCTACGTAAACGACCTGTAATTGCGGATTTGGCCATCCTGAGATGCTCTATGTCCGCGTCCATGGAAACAATTCGTAAATAAGCAGATGGCATACTTGCAATGCCTCTTACTAACTCAAAATAATGCAAAATACAGCAAGATCTGGATGCATTGGAGCACTGATTTCTCGTGGTACAGACGGTTTTATACCGCCAGAATAGCGCCAAACAATTACTTTCGTTTAGCAGTAGCTGTGTGGCACCTTTGTTCAACGTTTTGAGGATCATCAAGAATCGACTGAAAACTATGAGGTACCCCTCATAATTTTTGCCAAAAATCAAACGACCGTGTTTTTGACCTCAAAAATGAAGACTTCTACTATAGTATATATTGAATCAAAATGTTTCTATCAATCTATAGCAACCCCTGAAACTTTGTTTGCGAGACCTTTAGATGTAAAATCTTGACATTTTGGGCCAAAACCTCAATTCATATTTTCAAATATTGCTTGACACTTTCAGTCAAATTATTTCTTATAATCAGCACCATTAGATGTGCGTTTAAAAGTACTTTAAGAAAGCTTAAAGAAGCATAGCATAATTTGCACAACTTTCATAGTCGAATTTGGAAAAATAGGTTGAATCGAGTCCAAAATGTTGTAAAATTAACAAATGAAAGACGATATGTTGAGCGGTAATTCAATCAAATTTTTGTTGCTTGCAAGATCAACGCCTTGTTTATAACAATGGAGGTCATTGATACTTTTAGGGGCCCATAGAAAGGGAATCGCGAATCGAAAAAGTACTATAGCTTAGAGTAATGACTATCTTTACTGACCTATACACTTGGTTGCTGCAAAATACTCACTCCAGTGCGGATTTACATGCACTATTCATACTAAAGTAGCTCATGAATTTAGATGGTCTGTTAATATTTCAGGTCAGTAATAACAATTCGGCTATCATCATATATGGTATTTCATACATTCGAACCACAGAATGCTCTCCAAGAAATGTATTTATTAAACTGACATATAAAGTCATTAAAAAGTCTTGTCTTCTTCATTTCCTGTCTGTTGGGGAGGCTCGTCATTGGTTGGATTGCCTTGGGGGGTTTTGGAAATCAAACTCAAAGCCAAGCTGAGTCGCATTATTGAATATATTCTGTGACAATCTGCCTAGTCTTTCATTCACATCGGCCATTTCAGCTCTAATGTCCTTATTCAGAGCATGAAATTTCGTCTTCATGCTCGTTACTGTGTCATTGGCCACCTTGAATTTGTCGCTTGTTTCCTCCAGCATAGCCTGCAGCGTTTTCTGATCTTCTTCCACCTTGAAAAGCTTACTTTCACACATATCCAATGCATCACGAACACCCTTTCCAAGATTAGCCAACGCTTTAGAAGAAAAGGTGTTTCGAATCGTCTCAGTGTTCATGGCTATTTCCCTGTCGTGATCTGCTACAACCTGAGCTTGTTCGTTTAATCTCATCTTGAAGTCATCACAGAGCTTGTTCAAAGATTTGGAATTGCCAATAAAAGATTGGAGTTCCCTGTTTCTTCTTTCTTCAAATTCTTTGAATGATATAATGAGCTGTTCTTCGACTGTGTCGATTCTTTGGTTGATTAAATCGGTGTTTCTTTGAGACAATACTCGGACTTGCTGGCTCTCTTGTTTCCTCTGATCCTCAAGTTTTGCACCGCTTTGAATGTAGCGTTCCAAAATCTCGAGACGACTTGCCATCAAGTTATGAGTCTTGTTTGTTTTGCTTCTTTGTTCCTCCAACTGGCTCTTCAATGCAGCAATTTCGGCTTTCATTGTTTGATTAACTTCTTGTAGATCACCAATAGTGTCAGATAAGTCCAATGCAGTTTCATTTAATTGCATATGAAGGCGTTTAACATAGTCAGTCAAGGAATCAGAAAATAATTGCTTGATGCTTGATGTACCATCTTTGGGTGCTGTTGAAACTGAGCTAGGCTGTGGCGGTATAGCTTTAGATGAAGTGGAGGGAATATTGCTGTTGCAAGTAATGACACTGGTTCTGGCATTACTATTGTCGATACTGGCGTTAGAGATGTCAGTGTTGGTGTCGCTTGTACTAGGATCAGTCTTTGTGTTGTTGGCGCCATTTTTGTCTTGGCTGTTGTTGTTGATTCTGTTTGATAAAAGTGCTGTCTGAAATAAATGCAATCGTAAGTACAGTATATTAAATACATTTCGAAGCAAACACATACTACATTTCTTTCAAAGCTTTCTAATCTGGCTGCAAGTTTGAAATTTTCAATCCCTTGAGCTGTTAGAAATGCGTCAGTCAATGAATCCACGTCTTTCTTGGCAGCTTTGTATCATACCTCGCATTCTACGGATCAATTCGCTGAACGGCAAGAGAAACAGGAGTAAGTACTGGAAAGCAGTAATGCAATTCATTACAATGTCGCGGCTAACAGTTATAGGGTCAAACTTCATGGTAGGGTCTTGCAAATGCTGTTGTAAGTTCCATTTAGGATAGGAAAAAACGCAAGGGCTTTATATATTCTGCATTTTATGGAGTCTTTATCACAATGAAATAATTGCCAACACTGCAATCCATCATACGTTGCTAAAGAGAGTGGTTTCTTTCAATTGACATCAAAGTATTTTACCGCCATTATTGATCAATGAATGCGACCAAAGAGCTCGTTATAAGCGACCAAAGAGCTCGTTATAAGACTCATTGTGCACCCACAATCATCATTGTCATCGTCAGAAAGGCATTTGGGTAAGCCAGCACCAGTGCCGCACGCTAAATCGATTCAAACTCAGACATTTTTTTTCTTCTCAAGATTGGACAGATTTTGTCTTTTTTCGACTTCTTTAATCTATTGTATGTCATTCGACTATATAAATTGTGATGATCATCCTACGCTTCCTAATACATTCTTGGAGTACTTTTCAAGGCGCTTCCAATGGTGCCAAGTAAAATAAATGTTTTGAATGAACTTATTGAGCAATTTCAAAAAATATGAGATGAGGTTTTTGGCCAAAATGTCGAGATTTAGAATATGAAGGTCGCACAAACAAAGTTTCAGGGGTTGCTTTGGATCAATAGCATCATTTTGAGTTAATATATACCATAGGAAAAGCCTTCATTTTCAAGGTGAAAAACGCGATCGTTTGATTTTTGATGAAAACCATGAGGGGTACCTCATGCTTTTTGGTCGATTTCTGGCCATGTTTTTTTTTGGCCCAAAAAGTTGAGCAATAGTGGCAATAAGTAACTGCCAGATGAAAGCAATTGTTTGGTGCTATTTTGATGATCTAAAACGGCCTTGAACGCTAGAAAATTCAGCTCAAATGCACTCAGGTTTTGCAGTATTAGGCACACTGTTGACCAAAAAGTGATAATATCTGTCTGTTACTTGCCCGTATATGGAGTCCCTACGATTATACAAATGAGGAACGTCACGAGAATCAGATCCATAGATAATATGAGGGGTTTTCATGTGTAAGTAGAGGATCATCAAGAAAGTAGCAGTATTTTGATAAGATACGCAAGGTTAATTGGCAGCGCGAGCTGCAGCTGCGCAGGCTGGTTCTTACCGAAACGATACGAAGGAAGAGAGCCATCCAAAGCAAAAAACACTCGTATACTGTATATAATGATATTAGATTGTCAATGGGAACTATACTAAATTTGAATTTGAATGCTTTTATTCAGTGTTAACATAGAGCAGATGCTGAGCAAGTTGAATCATTGATGAACTCATTGGGTTATTTTGCGAATTTTCAATCTTGCCTTTGCAATGCTGTCAAGAGGAGATTGGTACGTACCTGAGTTTGCTAATCCCAATGAGTTACATCATATGCAAATTCTTTGACTGTAAAGCCCCAACGTTTTACTATACAAAAAACTTTCGTTCGCAACGACAATTCTTTATGACAGTGGCTGCACTTTCTAGGATATCATTCAAAGTGTTCTTCATACATTGGGACAAGTCTGGGGCTATATCCAACTTGCATAAATGTCTGATCTCACAATGATGTAGCTTCAATCAACAAGTCCAACGGTCACGTATCTGGTATAAATAAACGGGAAATCACATTTGCATGCAATTTTTATCAGGAAAACAATCATGTCAGCATCAGAAGGAGATAATAGCTATATGGCCATGTTGAACAATCCAGCCATCAACCCTGGACCACCCAAAGAAACAGCACCAACAAAGAAAGCAGCTACAGGACCCAAACCAAGCGTGTTTTCCGCAGTGGAAAAGGCCAAAGATTTGTTGACAACAGCTTCTGGGGACGTTTATCTCACATCAGAATCAGACGAACCATTTGAATGGATAAATGCAGACATCAAAAAGGCTCAGTTGCCCATCACAGCAGAGGAATTACATCAACTCAAGCTCATCCCTAAGGAATTGGTAGGAGAAGAACTCAAGATCAAATCAATAGACGAGTTTTTGAAGGAGGATGATTACAAAAATATTGTAGCAGCATTCAAGGAGATCCAAAAAGAAAGCAGTGATGAAAGCAAAGTGTATCTACTAGGAGATGTGTCTATTACGGTTTTAATTTTGTGTATCGTACAAGATAAGCAAAGTTCAAAGAAGGCCATCGTGGGATTGAAGAGCTTGTTAGTTCAATCTTGATTTATCGTGTTATAAATAAAGAGTGGGAGCAGTAGCGACTCGACTACCGTATCGTTTTAACGAGTGAGGATGTGTGCAAATGAGAGCTAATTTCGCACTGGATGGCAGTGGTGTGTATGGTGCATTTCAGTCATTGGAATCAATCATATGCTGGAAAACAGGTATAAAGGCGATCATGTGATGTATTTGTCGATTTGTATAGAAGTGCTTTGTATTGGTTCCATACAAAACTGTGTATTTCCATTTTAAAGGTTGGAAAATCAGTCTTTTTCTTTTTCATCCTTTTTCTCTTTCTAACAAACAACTTGTCTCAATCAAGATGGCCAAAGAAAAGATTGCAAAGAAAGGTTTGTAAGAGTACGCGTCTGCTGGCCATGTAGCAAGCTAATTGACGCTGTGGAAAGGTACAAGAAAGGTTTCTGCCTACAACTCTTTCATCAAGGTATGTATATCAAAGAGAGAAAGAGAGAAAGAGAGAGAGGGATTAGGCTATAGTGTAATAACCTTCATTCCAAGACTGAGATTGCGAAAGTCAAGAGAGATAATCCAGGCATGGCACACAAGGATGTAAGTTGATCTGATTTCATTGCTAATAAGCATGTTCTAATATGCAACATGATTGTCTAGGCTTTCAAGAAGGCTGTAAGCATCTATAGACTGCTTTCAACAATGGCGAATCTTATTCTTACTGACATTGGTTTCAATAGGCAAGCAATTGGTCCAACTCACCTGAAAATCCCAAGTCTGCAAAGAAGTAAAGATATACAGAAAATCAATCAATCATCAGCTCATCCTATGATATGATACAAAAAACACGGCTCTTTGCTTACAAGTATATTTGAATGATAATGAGAATAGCATAACAATAAAGTATAACACTGTTTGACCTTGCTGATCTGCATCACAATATGTTGTGGTACATTGCTTCTTGTTTCTTTGGACGCCCAACGTTGTTTATTTATTAAAAACAAAATGCTGTTTGTATGAAAACCATTCACCTATTTACGCCACGTACTAGCTTATTTTTCTCGGTGATAATATCACTAAATAGGCAGGTTTTATTTGCAAAAGCACATTCATGCATATCTGTGATAAGTTAGAGGTACATTATCGCGCTATCAAGTGAACTTCATCTTTTAAGGGAATCAGCAGCCTTGTATTTTTTTTTTGACTTAATCCTTACAGAGATCCTGTCTCAGAATGCAGTGCATAACGATTTTATTAAGTCTAGATTAATATGTAGACGTTTCAGCCATTGATTATAGATTGCATTTTTAAACATTGGTTTAATAGCATTGAGCAAGACATTCAAGGAATGCTTATTTGCTATCAAGTACTTTGTATTGTCCTCTACTACATTTTATGAGTAAAATTGAGCAATGATAACATTCGTATTTATTGAGATGAATGGATCAAACCAATTAGCCGCACCGCCTTGTCTTGATTGTTTGAGTCATGCTTTTAAGTTCCTTGAATACATTACAAAATAATAAGCTATTCCAATGTAACTTCAATCATCGTTATGTTAGTAACTCAAAAGCAAGGAGCACGTCTTAATCAAATGTTTCGTAAATCCACTTCTTTTTTATTTGAAAGTATGGATCAGCGAGTAAGCTGCCTAATTCAATAATTAGAGCGCCTTGATCTGAAAATTGGTGAATAGCATTTAGAGCTGAGCAATAGAGTAAATCGTCAAAGGAAATGACAGTTTGACATTTTGACTCCGTTCAGGGGTATAGATCAAAATTTGTTTCTATGGCAAAAGCAAATACTTTTGCGAATGAATACAAAAACTACGATGATAAGTGTCATTCAAACACAAGTTACATAGTAGCTAGGGAAAAGGTCAGCACCCGGCCAGCACGACCAGAATATACACAATTTGTTTTTGTGATGAGACTGAAACTTATTATGTAAGCGGTTTGGAAATCAATCAACCCGTTCATTTGTAAGTCTTTTTTTAACGATTCCAATCGCCATTCTTTCTGAATGCCTGTAGATATTTGTGTTATCAAAAGGCTATAACAGTATCATATCATGTCCGGATGTTCTGCTACATTATAATTAGAGTCAGCAAATATCAAGAGGTCAAGGTCTGAGTGCCAACAAAATTTCATGCAACAGTCGATTTCAAGTAACACAAGCATAGACGCCAACTCTATTCCTGAGTGATTGATGCCTAAATAAAAGCCATCTCTTACTGCGAAAGAAGCCGCAGATGAAACAAAAAAAAATGACCTCTCCGCTTAGCATTGTAAGTGTATATCAAGGGTTTAATTATAGATATACTCAAAGCGAATGGCCCGAATTAAATAAACATGTCTAAAGATTGATGGAAACGAAAATACCCCCACACATCAATTGCATGTATGCCTGCTATGTAAATTGTTACGTCGCATCGAGCTCATGGCAGAAAGAGACCATTACAGTATATATCTATATACGTATATAGCCTTACAAATCATTTGAAACTCATGAAATGTCTCTCTCTCATGTTCCGCCGGGTTCATGGGTGAGGTAAGATAGCTCTGCTTACATCATATGGCACTATAATCATACCCCCCCCCCAAATACCAAATGTATAAGTACATGGCTTTGAGGTAATCCACATTTCATACATCTTTTTTTTTTTTTTTTTTAGTTTCTTCACATAAACTTAATTCAATCTATTATATAAAATGACAATGTAAGTCGGCTAATTCCAGCATTGAAATGTATCTTGATTACTGATCGTTTCATGCATACGTAGTGCTGATATCGGTCTCATTGGATTGGCTGTGATGGGCCAAAACTTAATCTTGAACATGAATGATCATGGCTTCACTGTTTGCGCATACAACCGTACTCATGAAAAGGTGGATCACTTTTTGGCAAACGAAGCTAAAGGTAACATGTCAGCACAATTTTCATTGTATGTATGGTATATTCATGCGCTACCGATTAGGTACCAAGGTTGTTGGTGCTCATTCCATTCAAGAGCTTTGCTCCAAGTTGAAGCGCCCCAGAAAAGTCATGATGTTGGTCAAGGCTGGTGCTCCTGTTGATTCCTTCATCGAACAATTATTACCCTACTTGGAGAAGGGCGATGTTATCATTGATGGTGGTAACTCTCATTTCCCCGATTCCATTCGTCGTGCCAAAGAGTTGGAAGAAAAGGGTATTCTCTTTGTTGGCTCTGGTGTCTCTGGCGGCGAGGAAGGTGCTCGTTATGGCCCTTCCTTGATGCCTGGCGGTAATCCCGCTGCTTGGCCCATCATTAAGCCCATCTTCCAAGCTATTGCTGCCAAAGCGCCTGACGGTGCTCCATGTTGTGATTGGGTTGGTGAATCTGGTGCTGGCCATTATGTGAAGATGGTACACAACGGTATTGGTAAGTTAATCATTTGCTAGGTAAATGTGTTTCATGACTTGACATTTTGGGCAGAGTATGGTGATATGCAGTTGATTTGCGAAATCTATCAAGTCATGAAGGAAGGTCTCGGTCTTTCTGAAGATGAAATGGCCAATGTATTTGATGAATGGAATAAGGGTAAACTCGATTCTTTCTTGATTGAGATCACTCGCGACATCCTTCGTTTCAAGGACACCGATGGCAAGCCTCTTGTTGAAAAGATTCTTGATACTGCCGGCCAAAAAGGTACTGGTAAATGGACCGGTATCGACTCGCTTGACCGTGGTATCCCTGTTACCTTGATTGGTGAAGCTGTCTATTCTCGTTGCCTCTCTGCTCTCAAGGGCGAGCGTACGCGTGCTTCCAAGATCTTGAGTGGTCCCAAGAAGGGCAATTTCACTGGCGACAAGACCAAATTCCTTCATGCCCTCGGTGAAGCTCTTTATGCCGCCAAGATTGTTTCATATGCTCAAGGTTTCATGTTGATGCGCCAAGCTGGTAAGGATTACAACTGGAACTTGAACTTTGCCGGTATTGCTTTGATGTGGCGTGGAGGCTGTATCATTCGTTCAGTCTTTTTGGGCAAGATCAAGGATGCTTACACAAATGACAAGAGCCTTGAAAACTTGCTGTTTGATCCCTTCTTCCAAGAAGCTACTTCTACTGCCCAAAGTGCATGGAGAGAAGTCATTGCGTTTGCTGTGGGTCAAGGTATTCCTACACCAGCTCTCTCCACTGCCTTGAACTTTTATGATGGTCTACGCCATGAAATGCTCCCTGCCAACCTTCTCCAAGCTCAACGTGATTACTTCGGTGCTCACACTTATGAACTCTTATCCAGTCCTGGTAAACATGTCCATACTAACTGGACTGGTAAGGGTGGCACTGTATCTGCTTCTACTTATGATGCTTAAGAAATCCATTCTCATGTTGTTCAAATGTAAATACTAATAAAATTCATACTATTTCATACAAATTTACCCTTGACAAAGACATTCATTGGTCTGAGCCCAAGGGACTGATTCAAAATCAGATGAAGAGCCATGTTATGGTCTAAGCTTAATAGCGGACAGATTCCCATCCGGATCAAACATCATCATTACATCGCCATTATCAATCATTCAGGCGTCATATCTTTTTTGTTTACCAGTCTACCTTTTCGCTAAATCATAGAGCGAGACCACCACCACCACTACCACAGCTGCTTTATAATCATCAAGCACTAGTTCCATAAAGCTCAAAAATTACTTGTTACAGCATGTTGGTGTCACCCATGGATCCAAAAGTTTTGGATTTTAAATATAACCCTATGCTGAGTTGGACCATCAATGCTTTTTCATCTTTTTCCCTCTTGTTCGATATCACACAAAGATGGTTCATTTATTGACTATAGCAGCCACTGCCATTCTCGCTGCCATTGCACACGCTAAAAACTTAAACGACGTTGATCCTAAAGCCGTTACCTCCTTTAAAGACGGTGCTTTGTAAGTAGTTTATGCAAATGACACGTCAGCATGTATATACCCACACATATGTGATAGTGTTGTAGAGTATTATAGTCCTGATTGCACTCATTGTACTGCATTTGGTAAGAGAGTGCTTAGAGGTAGTATTGGGCAAGCCTAACATTATCAACAGAGCCTAAATGGGATCAGCTCGTAAAGGATCGTCAAAGCATCGCTACATTTGCCAGAGTCAACTGTGCCAAACACAAAAAGTTCTGCACGGACATGGGAATTTCGCGTATTCCTACACTTCAATCAAACTACAACGGTGGTGAATGGAAGCAATACGTGGGCGATTTCTCGATTGATACCGTAGACAAATTCATCAGAGACAGCGAAATCAAGCGCAATGAGCATGGTAAAAATGTCGAATTGACTGAATCCTCTCAGTTAAAGACCATCATTGACAGCAAAGAGCCTTGGTTTGTCAAATTCTACGCTCCCTGGTGTACCCATTGTAAGCACCTTGCCCCTACATGGGAGAAGCTGGCCAAAAAATTGCAAGGCAAGGTCAATGTTGCTGAAGTGAACTGCGAAGACAACAAAGGTAAGCGGGAAGAGAGACGTGATGAGAGGATGCCATGCTTATCATGTCCTCCAATACAGCACTGTGCCAAGAATACAAAATTGCCGGCCTACCCACTCTCAACTAGTAAGTATGAAACAGCATTGGAGCCAGCCATTGGCACTAACAGCGTATTTGCTAGTTTTGTGCATGGAGCCACACTGAAATACACCGGTGAGAGAAAGTTGGAAAAATTACTGGATTATGCTCTTGATATGTCTGGCTCTCCTGTGCACAATGTCGATACAGACAGTGACTTGGAGACACTTCTCAAGGCAAATGATGTCAACTTGGTCTATGTCCGCGATCCCAAGAAGGATACTCATCAATTACCTCTCTTGGAGAAGTTTGCACCTGAATTCATGGAACACATCCCCTTTTACACCACCACCGACCACAAAACTGCCATGCGCTTCAACTTGAAAGAATCTGATCTCCCCGCTGCTGTCATTGTCAAGGACGGCAATTACCACGTCTTTAGTGATGCTGATATTCAGAACATTGTGCCTTGGATCCACAAGGAGCGTCATCCTCTTGTTACTCGTGTCTTGCCTCACAACTCGAATGCTATTTTGAAGGGCAAGGAAGTGGTTGTGCTTGGTATCACTAAACCAGACGACGCTGATTCCGAGTTCAAGTTGCGTGAAATGGCTAAGATCTACAGGGATGAACATAGCGGTAAGGATATTACTTTTGCTCTCTTGGACGGTGAGCTTTGGGGCAACTACATCTACCGTGCGTTTGGCATCCACAGCCACAAGTTACCTACCATCATCGTCTTGGATCCCAAGAACCAAGTCTACTACGATAGTCACGCCAACAAGGCCAAGTTTGTTTTGAACAATCCAGATGACATTCTGAAATCCATCCAGAATTTGGAAAAACTGACTGGTATCTCAACAGCTGCTTCCAAGACCATGGGTGCGTTGGATAGATTCTTTATCAGCTTTGGAGACCATTGGATTCTTTGGACCACCGTTCTCTTTGGTGCATTGACTGGTGTTTATTGGTTCTTGGTCAGAGATGAGCCTACGCCCATTACTCCTGCAGAGATCAGAGCACAAGCCAAGAAGGAAGTTGAACAAAGAAACCAAGAAAAGAGACTTCAAGAGGTCAATGCTGACAAGACAACCGCTGTAGTCGAAAAAACCACTGCTGTTGTTGAGAAGGATGATTAAAGCATTTTGTTGTATATAATGATTCGTATTAAAATTGATTTTTAAGATTTCAATGATAGTAATACATATTACAAGTTTATTCATCGTTTACGACAACGTCTACAATACCATTCTTCTACTTGATCACTTTCTGCAATACCAACACAATCGCCATGAAACCAGGTGCTGCAACCATCACAAGCAATCATGAACGTACCATAGTCAACTCGAGGATTCTCGCAAATACATCGAATTTCTTCTGTCGACGTATGGCCGCCAGCTGAATTGCCAAAGTTTGATGTAGAGAAAACAAATGGACGTTGCTGAGTAGTAGTAGTAGCAGTAGTAGTAGTAGTAGTGGCATTGAAAGGTGTAGAGGTAGTGGCAAGAGATGTACCTGCGGATCGTTGAGGGTTGGGTGGCAAGAGATTTTGCTGGCCGTGGAGCTGCTGATGACGGGTAGTGTGGTTCTTTTCCAACTTGACAGGCACAGTGGATGTTGTATCGTACGAGGACGAAGCGGGAGAAGAGGAGGAAGATGCTGCCGCTGCTGCCGCTGCTGCTACTGAGGGTAGTTGTGATATATGCGTTGTCAACTTGGTGTATTTGGATGCTTTGGGTTTCTCAGGAGCATGATGTGATTGTTGTTGTTGCTCTGGAGGCTTGATCTTGAATCTGATCTTGGGTGTGCTAGGAGAAGGCACGTTCTCTTCATTCAAGCCGGAGAATGACTGATTGGCATGTTGAGAGAAATTTAGCATGAGGTTTGGGGTCTTTTTGTGCTTCTTTTTCTTTTCTATTGAAGGGTCTTTTGTGGAAGAGGAGGATGCTGACGAGAAGGAAGACAGCGAAATAGGACCTGTCTTGGCAGGTATCTGTGCATGGAGTGGTTGCTGTGATGAGGAGGAGGATGGTTGTGGCTGCTGCACGGATGACAAGGGCAATGATGGAATGGCGGACGTAGTTGTTGTAGATGGCGACGTGGACGACGAGCTGCTAGGCAATGCTGAGATGGTCTCGGCATTGGGATTCTCTTTCATTTGTTCCAGCATCTTTTGTCGTTCCAGCGCCTGTTGTTGTTCTGCAAGCATTCGCTTCTTTTTGATGATATACTTGCTATCACCTGTTTTGATGGCATTGATATCCACACTATGTTTGCTAATAGTATGATTTGACAGTGCAGACATGGAAGAAGAACCAGGTGCGCCTCCTCGGGCCAGCTTGTTTAGCTTCTTCATACCAGCCTTCTTTGAGGAAGCACCACCAGCTAGGACAGCCAACATGCTTGCTGATCTGGACAAGCGTGAGCCATCAGGCGAAGTAGGCATGGATCCAGGAGATCCATACTCAAATCCATTCAAACCTGCAGAAGTGGGTGTAGCAGGCGCAGTGCCATTTGTGGTGGTGGCAACGTCAATCAATAAATTGGGAGCGGTCAATTTCGAAATGACCAAAGGTTCAGCTACATGGCGAACGAGTTCATCAAATACGCCAGAGTCATGATTGAATAAATAGTTGCCGGGAGCTGCTGCATTTTGAGTTTGTGCCATGAACAACTCATCTCTGCCACTCAATCCCTCGCCCAACTTGTAATCTGGTGTCTTCATATGTTCCAAAGCTTCTGTCAACGGTGCAATAGCAGCTTTCTTTCGTTTGTGTGCTGATTCTTCCTCGTCCGCATCACTGCGCTTCGTTCCAGGTTTGATCAGTAGAGAAAGAGGCTTTTGTTGTGGCTGCTGTGGTTGCTGTGGTTGTTCTTCATTCTCTTGCGCCAAACTCGAGTCTTCATAGGGTATAATATGAGTAAAAGGGTTCTCAATGGGCTTCTTTCTCTTCTTTACAATCACTGGCAGTGGCAAGGACTCTCCTGAAGCCTGCTGTTGTAATTGTTGTTGTTGCTTTTGTTCTTCCAAGAGCTGTTGTTTCTGTAAAAGAACCTTGTCCACCTCGTCCATGACTGTATCTTCTTTGATCTCGGGGAATGGTGGAAAGTAAGAAGGCACGTAGTCGGGCAAAGCAGCAGCGTGAGGTGGTGATGCTGGCGATTCATCCATAGGCGAGGATGACTCTGGCGAGGGTATATCAAACTCTGGAACATCACCAAATTTATATTCAATCATGTCTTCAAAACTAGGCTTTCCGCCATTCACCACACCTAAATCCAAATGAGTAGCTATCAACAGATACTCAAATGAGGAAGCTTACCTTGTAATAATCTGCCTGGGTCTGACTGCGCTGACCAGCAGGGTGACAGAGCCTTACCCTCATCCTCAAGCCATACTTTCAGAGTTTTTGCATCCAGTGATACATCCTCCAATGCTTCTACAAGATCTCTTGGTGTTCCTAATGTTCTGCCATTTAGATTGGCGTAAGCTGACACTGTTGATCCCAAAAGCTCAATGTACTGGCCAAAAATGTCGGTGAGTGTATCGATAGAATGGCTGTTGGCTGCTTCGAATCCAGCACTCTGGATAATTTGTTGTGTAGCTGTTTTCAGTATGGAATGGCATACATTATCAGTCATGGTGGCAATAGTAATTGATACAAAAGAGAAGAAAGAAAGATCCCCAACGCGCTTGAGAACATAAATGTTTCTTTGCAATGTACATCCTAATGTGACGTCAATTAATGAATGTCAAAAAAAATACTGCTCGAGATTTCTCCTCTTATCCATCTTTCTCTTCCTTAATATGTCTTCTACTCAAGATCTTGTACCCGACTCTGAGACACTCTGTGTTAGCAACGACCCTCACCATCCCGCCAACTTGATTCCCGAGTTATGTCGTCTGTTCTATCAATTAGGCTGGGTGACAGGTACTGGGGGCGGTATCAGTATCAGAAATGGGTGAGAACCATCTATTACCAAAGTCTATATCAAATCGCTCATCCTTACTCATAGCGATCATGTCTACATTGCTCCTTCAGGTGTTCAAAAGGAGAGAATGGAAGCTGCTCAACTTTTTGTCATGAACTACCATGATCGTACACTATTAAGAAAGCCCTTGGTATTGAAGCCATCTGCCTGTACACCTTTGTTTTACAATGCTTACAGCATGCGTCAAGCTGGTGCCTGTATCCACACGCACTCTCAAAATGCTGTCATGGCTACGTTGTTGTATTCAGGAGAGACATTTGAAATCTCGCATCAAGAAATGATCAAGGGCATCCGTATTGGATCTACCAAGAACAACTTGCGCTATTTTGACAAGCTGGTGGTGCCTATCGTGGAGAATACACCTGAAGAAGAGGATTTGACCGATAGAATGGCTGCTGTAAGTTGTTGTTGGTCTGCGCTCCATAGTTTTTTGTGCTGAACTTGTATATAGGCCATGGAGAAGTACCCTGATACCAATGCTGTGCTTGTGCGTAGACATGGCGTCTACGTTTGGGGTGGTAAGATTGCTTGAATCACTGCAAGATCAGGCTGGAAAACTAACAGGCTGTGTATCTATCTTAGAATCTTGGGAGAAGGCAAAGACCATGACTGAATGTTATGATTATCTCTTTGAAATTGCCGTCAAGATGAAGTCTATTGGGATCGATCCTGCTGTGAAGCCTGCTAGCGAACCTGATTACGAATAAACATTGCATATGCTATATGAATTCCTCATTATCTCTATTGATTGCACCATCACAGAATTCAGCGACGCACGTATTTCAAATTGTCGGGAAAGGATCAGATATTCAAGGGCAAAAAGCGGTGAACATGGTTTTTTGAGCATTCCTAGGCCAATACAGTGAAGCCACCGTATGTAAAGATTGTATTCAGAAGGTCGGGTTGTGAGAGATCCTAAACACAAGTAAGCAAATGCTATCAGGCTTTTTTTTTCCCAGTGAAAAACGCTTTAGGACGATTTGCAGCTTGTATAATGGCAAAAAAAAACAGAGAAATCACTCACGAGTATAAACAAGTTTAGCCTAGTTTTCACAAAATACAGCACGGAGCCAGTGGTATCGTCTGAAATAGACATGTAAGTGCATCGAGGACTTGGTGCACTGAATGGCTGGCTTTTGAGACGCCCTGGATACACAAATCGTGTGTGTAACTGTTACAGCACGATGAAATCCAGAAAATTCAATCTGATCTATTCTACAGGATGATCAAAATAGGGCAGCTTGCATATGTCATATGAATAAGATGTTGGTTTAGTCATTGTGTTTGCTTGGTCCAATGCTGGAATTAATATACATTCGTTGACAGTGGGGCGATCTTTAAACAGTTGAACCTATGAACAATGAAGGAATTATCTACAAATCACTTTCAAATCATGATATCTGTATAGTTTCAGCCGATTTTTATTTGATTTCAGCGCGAAAAGAGTGCCAGCAAATCAGACACCAAGAATGGGGATGGTGGGCACTTGCTCGGAGATCTTCGTTTGTAATAGCCAACCCTATCTTTGGAAAATACTACTTAAACTGAACCAATTACACCAAAAAAAAAAGAAGTTGCGATTGTGCATCATTCTCGTCATAAAGATTCTGCGACACAAATGAAATTTCAGAAAAGCACAGACTCGTATCCATGTGAGAGATTATGCAATGCTGACAAACATCTGTGAATCACTGACAACTAAAGATCAACAGCACATGGATCATGGAATATACAACATTCGAGGTTAAAGCAGCAAAACGCTGCTCTTCGGGTGATTGTTTATACCTTTGCAAAAACGTGGAAATAAGAATTGCAACCATGGCGTGAGTAATCGCGATTTAAGAAAGAGTCTAAAAGACTGTAGTAAAAGTGCCTGTTGGTTGGATTTCTTTACGAGCGTCCATTTTGTATGTCAAAGCTAAAAGTATATATCTAGCAAAGCCCTCTTTTCTTTTGGATCCAAATGTTACAAACAATGATGCTATGATACAATCATTGCTTTATTTTTGGTGGCAGTATAGACTCTTTATCTAACTATTTGATTACTAAAATAAGCTCTTTTCGTCCCTGTGGATATCAGTTCGTAGCACAAATCATAGCAAAAACCAAGCCAATAAATGCCGATTTTCAGTCCATGCATGAAAACGAGTAGCTGGCTGGCTTGGGTTCGTGCTTGATGTATTGGAAATAAATGGTCTGTAGACTGGTTGTAACGAATAAATGGTTGTAGACTGGTTACAGTAGATTTACAGATATAATAAATATCGCCTTTTGGAGCTCTTTTTCCTTCCTGTTTCTTTCTGTTTGTATTCCCAAAAACCAAATTCTACCGTTTTCATCCAATTTTTCTACTTTTGACCATTGAACAAGATGGAACATCAAAATGAACACCCTCCTGGTATTCCAGGAGGAGAAAGAGTTGTTGGAGGTGCTGCCAACAGCGAGAATACAGACTACGTTTTAACACCTAAAGAACGCCGTCGTTTGGCACTTGAAGAGGTACAGTATATACTATGATGACATGCTTTTTTCCCCCTTATCCTAATGCAATTGCCATTATAGATCGATAACGCTAAATTCGGCTGGTTCCATATTCGTGCTTGTATCGTATCTGGTGTAGGTTTCTTTACAGATGCCTATGATATCTTTGCTATCAATCTGGTCTCTACCATGATTGGTTATGTCTACTGGCAAGAGTCAGGCAACAAGACGCCCTACAATGTCGATACAGCTATCAAAGTGTCATGTTCAGTAGGCACTGTTATTGGTCAACTTCTATTCGGTTATCTTGCTGATCATGTGGGTCGTAAGAGAATGTACGGTGTCGAGCTCATGATTATCATTATCGGTACAGTGGGCCAAACCTTGGTAGGTAACTCGCCTGCTGTTTCTTTCTGGGCAGTCATTACCTTCTGGCGTATCCTTGTTGGTATCGGAATTGGTGGTGATTACCCACTCTCCTCTGTCATTACCGCCGAATTTGCTACTACCAAACGTCGTGGTGCCATGATGTCTGCTGTGTTTGCCATGCAAGGTATTGGCCAAGTTACTGCTGGTATTGTTGGTCTGGTCGTCACTGCTGCTTTCAAGAGTGCCATTGAATACGATCAAGCCTATCTCGATTACGTTTGGAGAATTGTCATTGGTATTGGTGCTATTCCTGGTGTTTGTGCTCTCTACTACCGTTTGACAATCCCTGAAACCCCTCGTTACACCATGGATATCGAAAACAAGTTTGAAAAGGGCATTTCTGATGCCAAGGCCTTTATTGAAAAGGGTGCTGCCTCTGGTGACTACACTGAAGAAACAGCTGTCCAAGTCGTCCATGACGGACCTCCCAAGGCCACCTGGAAGGATTTCTGCCAGCACTTTGGTCAATGGAAGTACGGCAGAGTGCTCTTTGGTACTGCCTACTCTTGGTTTGCTCTTGACGTTGCTTGGTACGGCCTCGGTTTGAACAACTCTATCATTCTCAACAATATTGGCTTTGCTGGTGGACCTGATGCCTACAAGTAAGTCGAATGAAAACTGTCTTCTAGAAGCATGATTTATTAATGACATTTGTGTTTAGTGCCGTTTTCCGCACGTGTGTGGGTAACGTTATCATCAACTTGCTTGGGTCTGTTCCCGGTTACTGGATCTCTGTCTTCACCATTGATAAAATGGGCCGCAAAACCATTCAAATTATGGGTTTCACCATGCTCACCATCATGTTTGTCATTCTTGGTTTTGGTTACGATGCCATTATTCAGAAATCTGTTCCTCTGTTCATTGTCTTGTATACCATTACACAAATCTTCTTTAATTGGGGCCCCAATACCACTACTTTTGTCGTACCTGGCGAGTGCTATCCTACTCGTTATAGATCAACTGCGCACGGCATTTCCGCAGCCTCTGGTAAGATTGGTGCCATTGTTGCTCAAGTCGGATTTGGCTTGCTAAAGGACATTGGTGGCCCAAACAAATGGATCAACCATCTGTTGCAAATCTTTGCCTTCTTCATGCTCACTGGTATCTTTTCGTCCTTCTTGATCAACGAAACCAAGGGCAAATCACTAGAAGAGCTCTCTGGCGACTATGGAGATGACTTCAAGACTGCTCCTGCCGCCGTTGCCGCAAGTTCCCATGATGAGAGTGCGGTTGACAACAAGCTTGATTCAAATAAGCTTTCTTATTAATTTGCGTAAATTTCTTTCTGTCACACCCTAAGCTTATATATTCTAATAAAAATATCCCAAACGCCGATTTATTTATATATAAATACATGTTGTGTATTACATTTCTCATTTAAATGCTTGATTTGAGCCATTCTTTTGGCAGTGAAATTAGGATAGATTAAAATGTGTGCTTACGAGCTGTTGGCAAACAGTGATGAATGACAGGAGCCTTTTTGCTCACTAGTAGCGCCATCTCCTTTTCTTGGTCATAAGCAACACCCAAAATAGCTCTTTATATTTGGGAAAAGCGAACCCCCCCCCCATTTGGACTGAAACAAAATCAGCCAGAAATATCTCAGTTAAAGAAGTTTTGCAAGACACCATTCCCTTTCTTCCTTTTCTTTCCCCCTTTTGATCAAGCATCAAACATCGAAATTGCACTCGAGGCATTCAGTACATCTTAAATGACTTTAGGTCAATCGTCTTCCAACCCTAATTCACCTCAAAAGTCGCCGGATTCGAGTGCTTTTCAGTGGCCTCCAGTAGCAGCTCCATCTTCTTCCAGCAGTGATATATCAGTCAAGGAAATCATTGACAAATACCATCCTAACAACAACGAATTGCTCAAACATGCTCTGATTGCTAAATCTGAAGAGGACAAGGTACGCCTGTTGTGACTCACCATCACCAAGAAACTTCTAATATTAACTTTGTATTGTATATATATATATAGAGATTAACGGCTCAGGACGTTTTGAAAACGGAACAAGCAAGACTCTATCTACGTCAAATGGATATTGAATTGATCAAGGAGCAATCCAAATTGGCTGCTAGACAACTGCCATTGCACCCTGTCTACGCTTCTCCACAACAACAACAGCAACAACAACAGCAACAGCCTTATGCTTATTATGGTCTTGCTCCTGTGCAACAACAGGTATTGGCGCGTATCACCGGTGGTTCATCAGCAACACCATCAAAACATCACCACCAACCACCTCACACTAGTATACCACATTCTCAGCAACAACAGCAACAACAGCAACAACCCTATTATCAACAGCCATCTTCAAAGGAATACGGTTACTACAATCAGCCTCCACCGTCTCCTGGTGTGTATCCCCATTCTGCTCATCCGCTTTGTCCTCCTGATAATAGATTAAACCCTTCTGTTCTTCCAGCACCACGTCATTATCAATCTCAATCTCACCTTTTACCTACACCTTCCTCTCAACAGCCTACGACGCCCATCTCGCCTGGTGGAGGAGGTAATACAAATGACGATTTCAAATCAAGAAAAAGAAGCCATGCTTCCATTTTGCATGAGGAGGACAAGCTATCTCATAATAAAGTGATGGAAGCCTTGAAAGCAAAGATACAAAGAGGAAGTGGCTCACCACTCGCCACGACGGCTCCTAGCTCGGCTTTTCGTCCACATGGAGACAAGAGACAGCGCACCCTGCCGAAACCTAATACGACAACATCATCAGAGGTGCCACCGATTTTGACACATCCTCCTCAGCACCACCATCATCACCACACCCCTCCTCCTTCCACACCGTCTCCTCGCTCTGCAAAGCCTATTCTTCCGCCTATAGATACCAATGTAGGTCGTATGCCTACAAAGAATTTGCCCTCTCATCCACCGCCTCCTTTGTCGCCTATGAAGACCTCTAGCCCACCACATGCCGCTATATCCTCTATTCGCTCAAGTCATGCATATAACAAAGACGCCAACCCAAACCATCATCCGCATAACAGCTCTCCTTGCTCTTCCTCGTCTACTACTTCTCCTACCCATACTGCTAATACTAATACTTCAACAACATTGCCCTCCATTTCTGACCATCAAAAATAAAGTTTTTTTCTTCTTTTTGGCTTGTTTGAGCCGAGGCAAGATTATTCAAGTGTGGTTATTTTTATACCATTGTGTCTTTTAGATTCGTTTTATCATGGAGGCGATTGTAAATTTCTTCAAGCCAGGCGCAATTCATCCGGAACTGATGCGAGAAGATGTTCGGTCCAGTGCGAATCTGATCTCTGTTCTTTTCCAATGCCATGATCATAAATCGTTGTTGCAACATAAAAGAATGAAGAATTACGCTTTTTGATGCTTTACAAAAAATGTCTATGCGTTTACCAGATAAAGGTGGATGGCCATGTTTTAGATTTATGGTTTACTGCTGCCTTTCAACGCAGATCCGTCCCCCCTAAAACCTTACACAGGTAGTGTATTATGTTATGAATCACTCAACAAAATGAGCCCTTTTTCCAAATGATGATCGAATTTCGGAGATGGCTTTCAGATACACAATGCGCTGGTTGCAAGAAATGTCTTTTACAGAAGAGTATACTGTATATACTTGTAGGGCACGGACTAATTGGCATGCGACGTTACCAAGGGAACAATACCTGAATGGCTTGAGAGACTACCAACTGTAAGCCCAAAAATCAGTGATTCAGCTGATGCAGATATGGAGATGACGTTGGAAATACAAAACCTGTAGTATGCCATGTAAATTTCGCAATGGCTAATGCTTCTTCGCAAAGGTACATCACATCCAATGTTCAAAGTATTATGTATGTTATGTACACATCAATTGCTACTTAATGACAGAATTATTATAAACTATAGAGTAATGTTTTTTAATAATTGCTTGTTCTTCTTCCTGACTTGCCGTTGCATGATTTCTATCGCAAATCTTTAAATAACCAGCTTGTGGTTATGCGATGATAGCAGTATGTCTTACCAGCTGGCTCCATGCTTAAAAGGTGGATTACGCATTTCAAGATCTTCCACTCTCAATTCCATGTCCACATCCTCGTTTCCAATAGCATAGATAACGCGTTTCAAGGCGTCAGAATCAGCAACTATTGTAACCAAGTCGCCTGGTTAATTCAACGACAGTAAAGGTATCTCTGACGCACATAACTTGAAGGGGATCAGTTATTGACGTGAAGTCAGTGAGGCTCCTCTTTGTAAAACGGTTCAACCTGAATAGTAGTAAAAGCATGAGCTATACTTTGGAATCATCGCTCGCTAGCTTTTCTCTACTCGGTTTTTGCTTCTCTTTTGATTTCTCTTTGAATCTTAAATTAAAATTCGCTCTGAAAATAGCATGTCTCTATACCAGTTTTCTGCCACAATGATGTTGGTGCAAGCCAAATTTGCGTAGCTAGCATGGTTGCTGAGAAGTTGATGATTTTAGAAAATGGTGTATTTTGAGCGCTCAATGGAGGTGCATCCTTTCTCTATTGTTAGAGCTGCAGAACTATACGTTCCTCCATAAACTTCTCGAAACTACATGACTGAGGATACGTTCACTGTATTGGGGTCAAGGTTTTAATTATCAAAAAGACTCTAAAGATATATCTTACGGAATATCTGCAATAACGGTTGTATGTTTGAGGCAACATCAGTAATTTGCATCTAGCTGCACTCACAAAATGCCGCTGTGCTGAAATATAATATGATCTCACATTTCATTCATTGACTTAGCAATATTTAGTTATAGGCACAGATAACAACCATCCTAAACTTAATTAAACAAGCCTATATTACATATCGGGTTTGATATGTAAGTCCTCCATTATTTCTTCAAACAATCCCTAATGCCATTGAACACAACACACGTACCAATCGACATTTCCCTAATCAGTAAAAAGCGATAAAGAATTTATGACTCCGATTTCGGAGTTTTGAATTGCTTTGAAAACCCGCTCTAGCCTAAACGATGGTGCAATTGAAATTTGCGTAGGTAGCATGGTTGTTGAGAAAAGGGAGATTTTAGAAAGTAGTTCATTTTTGTTAAGCACAAAGAATAAAAGGATTATTATTTGTAGCTTATAAAAAATGTTCGATATTACAAAAACAAGAAAAGACTTATTTGAATAAGATCAGACACAAAAACTAAAGATTTATTGATGAAGACAAGAGTTATTCTATTTATACTAAGTTCTGAATGCCAAAGTAGCAATTTATCTTGTACAACGCTTATCACATCTGGTGAACCTCAGTATTTAGATAGCTGAGATGCACTTCAATTATCATAGCTTGTCCATGTTATTGCACAACACAGACATATCTGCCCATCAAGAATACCTTAATCTTTATAGACAGTTGTAGCCCTTCTGGCACAACAATTATGAATGTGGGATGTATTATGTGTAGTGAAAGTTGTAGAAGAAACTTTTTTTGACTAGGAAATGTTTGATGTGGGGTTATAGAAGATGATGGCAATGAGTAATGACGAAAAATGTTCCAAATTGAAGTGAACTAGACTAGATTCCCATCATAAACAAAGCCCAAAATAAATGTCATCTCAATCAAACCATGCTACCATCAGCAGATAAGCATGCATAATAATAGTATTAGCATGATGATAGCAAGGGTTAAATGAGAGATGACAGATACTAAAGTAAATGTCAAGGGTATTGTAATGTGTTGTAACATAAATATACCTAAAAAGGATACAGGCTCAACAATAAAGAGCTATTCTTTACGCATGATTCAAAAACCATATATTGAAATACCGTTCTTGATCCATCAGATCAACAACTAAATGACCCAACAAAAATATATAAAGTAATGGAATCACTGGCAACTACTAAACTGCTGCCAGATAAGAGATATAAACCAAATAATATAAACAGAGACGTAGAATATACATTTTATTGCACATTATCCTAATTTCAAATAAAGAAGGATTTTAACAGTATTCTATTTGCTTTTTTAACCCCTTTTTTACTGCACAAATGACCGATTTTCAAAGGGCCATATCTCTGAATTTTACTAAGCGAACAAGAGCTTCAAGTTTAATAGCTTCGGTTTCTTTTTCAATTCTTTATACGATGGTATGGTTATTATAGATATATAAAAAAAATTGAATATCCCCTGCTTGTAGCTCATAAAATATATGATTTTGAGCAAATTTATGAAGGGAACATACATCTGGTACTTGAAACCCTTATATTAAAATGGATGTAACATAGAGCTATTGAATGGTCTATGCTTTGTGCGAGTCCAGTGAGTATTTGTCGAGATATGGTCAAAAAAGGGTATTGTGGAATTTGAGGCTTGATAGACTAAAATTCACGGAAAAAAAAAGAATACAGTAGTCGCTCTATATAAGGCCGTCCTATATAAGGCTATGCGGGGAATAAGGCTGAAATTTTTCAGGTTTTTTTTTTTACCAGCTATTTAGCCTTAATAGCCTAATTTTATATAAGGCTACAGATTCTAAAAATTTTAGCCTTATTTCATAGTGGTGATCGCTGAGATTGAATTTAAGGCCAATCAGATAATAAAAAATATATAGCTTTTATTGAAAAATAACACATTTAAACAAAATAATCACGTAAATCTGTTTGATTTTTCTCTGCTACTTCCTCCGATCTGATATCGTTCAGATTCCTACGGATAGTTTTCAGCATAGACTTTTCTTTTTCATCCATTGGGATGGTATGGTACAAGATAGTTTCATACGCATGCTTCAACTTCTCTCTTATCTCCTTCGTATCAACATCGTAAATCTCTACTGGTTCTTCCTCTACCTCAAGCTCTTGTGATCCATGGGTAACATCATCGCCATCCTCAAATTCAACAATCACGGGATTAAAAACGATTGCATCAGACTCATCTGCATTTAGATCCAAGTCGTTTACTTCAGTTACCAATTGAACCCCATCATTACTTCTGTTTCCAGGAAGTTCAGGGATGATTTCGTTCAACTGGCTGACTAGATCATCGTCTAAAGGTAGCTCGAAAGATGGGAGTACATCCTCCGAGTCGACTCTCTGTCTCTGAGCAAACTTAAAATCAAGGATCTTCGTATGATCCCAGCAATTTTGGATTGTTTGAGGCTTAACTTTGATCCAAGAATCAGCAAGAAAATACAGAGCATCCACCTCATCCATTCTGTATTCCTCGGTAAGATCAAGGCTTACCCCAGCAAGATACTTGTTCACTGCCCTGTAGTATTGGTGCCAACGAAACTGAGCCTTGAAGTTCGCAATGATTCCTATCGAGTGTGTGATTAGAGATGAGTACGTATATCAATGAAATTTGTTGATTTACCGGCATCCAAAGGCTGCAACTTGCTTGTTGTGTTTGCTGGAAGGAAAATCAACTTAATATTGCTGAATTCTTCTTTCAATTTATGCACTGAAGCATTGTCAACCAAGAGAGCAACTTTTCTTCCGGCGTAAACGAAAGACGCATTCAAACGTTTTACGTACTTCCTAAAGATGTCGGTGTTCATCCATGCATTGGGAGATGAATGGTACTCCACGTAATGGGATTGCCCGATGTTGGTGGTTCTTCTGTACAAAGCAGGTTTTTTGTTTGCTGCCTTTGGTGTCTTTCGTTTCCCAATTACAATGGGGTGCCCTTTATAGGATCCATCATAGTTGGTGATTAGTCCAACTGTGAATCGGTTCTTGCTTTTCCTTGAACCACCTAAAGGTTCCTGACAAATGGTGCGAGTTGGTTGTTGCTCGTAGTATAAGCCAGTTTCATCAAAGTTGAGAATATCTTTGGGATCATATGGCTCCAACAATTCTTCAATCTTTCTGAGTTCTTCGACAATCTTAGATGATGTTAAGTCGACTGAGCTTTTTTCACCATATAAATGTCTTGACTTGACACCAATTCTCTTGAAAACATCGGTTAGCCATCCATCGGAGAAATGGATTTGCTTATTCTTTGGCAATTCATGCATGCGGTACTTTCTGTGTGCGACTACTTTTGCAAAAGCTGCAATAGTTCCACGATTGACAGGAAGAGATTTTGCATTCATGGCTTGAATGTACTCCAAAATGTCATTGTCCAATTGTGGCATCGTCAAGGCTCTGCTGCTTTTTCCCTTCAAATTTCCTCCTTCGTAAGCTTTGATCACCTTGTCCTGTGAATTCAAGACGTTCGATACAGTTTTTTGCTTGACTGAGTGATGAAGGTTGAATTCCTTTTGAGCCCATTGACCGAGTTGCATTTGCGTCAGATTAGGAAAGTGCATGTTGTGCATAATAATGCGATACTTTTGCTCGATTGTGAGGCGATCTCTTGATCTTTGATTAAGGCACATGATAGGATATTACGTTCAATAGAAGTAAAATAAACAGATAAATGAATGTTACTGGGGAGGTATCAAGTTGATTTATTTGATCAACTATTATAGTAATAGATTCTACGCGCACGACTTTTTTGACAGAAGTCACGCGCGCCAGTTAAGGCTATGCGGGCAATAAGGCTAAAAAAACCTCGCCAAAAAAGTAGCCTTATATAGAGCGACTACTGTAAAAAAACAGTAATGTCAACTTGATAAAGGTATATTTTATTATCAAACTGACAGGTGTAAAGTAAACTGAAGTCTCTCTACTGGCCAGGTAGATGATCCTTCTTATATACTATAACAATGGATAAAAGTTCTATTAATTAGATTGACAAATAAGTCAACTCAGATCAACTAATGTCTAATCATGCTAAAAGACAACTCCAGCAAGCTAATCATGATTTAGCTCTGTCTGGATGAATAATTAGACTCTCATCCGAAGTACCCTGATCTATCCTTTCCATAAGGATAATTAATATCGATCTAGTAGCATGTATCCGATAGGTACAGTCTTCTTAGTCTATATTAATAGTACATATCTGAGTGTATATCGCTAAGCATACATCTTTAGCATGTATCTGGATATATGGCATGTCTATAGCATATCGTATGCATGTCTATAGCATGTCTCATATATAGTACAAGTCTGTAGTACATAAAGTATCTGTAGCTAGTATCACGGATATAAGCATGTGTCTTATAGCGTGGATCATGAAGTGCACATCTGAAGCAACAAGCTCATATTGCATTAATCTTGGTGCCTATCCAGATATGGTAAACATCCGTAGTCAATGTCGGAATACAAGTATAAGTCTATAGTGCCATCCATGTCCGTGGTGCCATCTATAGCCTATATCTTATATAGTATGAATCTTATAGTACTAGCGTATCTGAAGTCCATATCTTCTCATGATCATAGTATAAATCGATATCGTACATCTAATCCAGTGTACATACAGTTTATATCTAAATCTGGTAACTGGATGAACTGTCGGAATGCAGATCATAGTGGATGTATTCCACAGATACAGCTTATTTACATATGCTCCATATGTGCATAGTTTATTACTGAATTCAATCTACGACATTATGATTCAGGAACAGTTATATTATGTGTGAATACAACAATATTAACCTGTTGATTTCAAGTTATCAATAGATATCTAACATGATGGAGAATCTTGCTTTCAAGGTTAGATAGTTGTAGGTTGTTTTATTTTTGAATAACTACTTCTCCAATTTAAAGTATGTATATTCCCCTGCTTAAAAATGACATCTCCAATATCCGTTCAATTGCCAACTTAACCTAGATTCTCCATTAATTAAATTTTGTTCCCCTGTGTTTGCTTTGCAAAATGAAACCTTGCTTGGTTATATGCGATGCTTTCTTTCAATAGTCAATTTTTTGACCCCCCAAGATTAGAATTTACAGAGGCAAAAGTACGTTTTTTTTTTATTATTTATTGCCACGGATACATCTATGTGGTTCTCAAGTCTATAAAATAAGCCTAGGGCGTAGTATGGCTAATAGAAATGCGCAAAATAGATTATATGTGCGCCACTACAGCAAACGTTGGCTCTGAGCGGTCGTTTTCGACAATTTTGCTGCTGGGGTGACCTATCGGGCGTTACAGATCTAAGAGAACTGATTGTTACAGTTTCAAGTAAAATCTCAAGGAATAGATTACTTTTGGGTTTATAAAACGAATAATGTTATAGGTAAATTAATACATATCTTGTAGATGTCCCTTTGAAAATCATCAAAAATATGAAAAACCAGCTTGTTTGAATACAAGCGTTGACAATGCTATCCAGAGTGATACCATTGAAGCGTCTTTCAATTCTGTACAAACTTACTATGCACGGAGGACAACAACTGTTATTGAGAAAGGTACGTTAAAGCGATCAAATGGTCCAAGCATCGGGTATATCGCTGTTGAGTTAACAGAAACTCGCGGTTCTCAACAGATCTAAAACTTCAATGACAGTTCGAGAATGGTGTCCCAGCCAAATGTGTGGTCAATGTTGAACTCATAGTTCGCCCTAACCTGCTTGATAATTTGCTGATATAAAATTTTGATGGGTACTTGACATGTTGTTGAGTATGCTTCTAAGACTAGATAAATGTCGCTTGTTTTGATCTACTCCATTAAGCCTTCAGGGTATACACATTTTCCCCGCATAAAATATGCCATCGCCATCGTATTAGCAACTTTACAAACCAAGTTTTTTCAGTAGCCAAAAATGCTTTGTTTAATATTGATCCACAGCATATCCTACTTTTGTGGGGTTCTGTTTTATATCTCATTAGGCGGCTTGAGATGGACTGCCGAAAGACTATTGAGTCCGATGTCAACGAGAACAGTTAAACAGTGTACTCAGCAATCACATTAGCCAATGGATACATCTAGTGGTAAAAGCTATAGCAAGCAAACTGTGCGTATACTGCATACTGAACCGGAGATGATGAATTCAGAGTCGACTTAAATGTTGTGCATACATCTAATGTCTGAGATGTAATACAATGAAGGAATGTGGTGTAAGAAATGGCTGTTGCTTTCATGAGCGTTTTGATAATAGATAATTTTCAAAATGGATGCTTCATGTGAGCAAAACTTAGGCCATGCTCAATAAATAATTCTCAAAAGACATTCAACATTGTGATAGCTAAATCAATGCATTAGTGGATGGCATGCCTTGAGATCCAGCACAAATTGCAAGCCTGTGTTCAATTCATCGTAGCCTAGACAAGCAAGACAGCCCAATTTCCGTTAATTCAGAAAAGAGGGTCTAGGACATCCTTCCGCTTTGGCGGCCTACAGAGGTATCTCGCAATCAAGTGTCTCATTCTCCACAGCAATGCCAATTCTTTGTGACCTTTCTGTTTTGGAAGAGCTATTTAAATGTCCAAAAAGGAAAGAAATGCATTTGGTTTATTTTTCTCTCTTGTTCATAACTGCAACAAAAAAAATGGGATTCCTCGACGAACTCAAATCGCGTAATTTCTCTCTCTATGCTCAATGGTAACTAAACCGAACTAGCATGTCATACAGCTGTCTCATTCTTTCGTTTGTATATAGGCTTGGTGTCATTTCGATTGCTTGTAAGAACAACTCCCAAGTGTATTATCCCACATGGATGTTGACCAAGAATTTCTCTTAGTATTGATCGCTCTTGGCGTTGTTACATTAACAAGCAATCCCATCTTTGCCATCATTGGATGGTAAGCATTCAGCTAGGCATCATGGCAATGACACGTACTGACCAGCTCTCTCTCTTTCAGGGTGATAGCTTTCATTCTGTTCTTTGTGGAAGTACCTCTTTGTACAAAATTTTGTCCCACCAGCCCTCGCTTGTAAGTTTAAATTAAGGTTAAATAGTGATTAATGAGAAATGCTGATACAAAATATTGTCGTATAGTGATAGTTTCATTGCTCGATTTGAGAATGCTTACTTCCGTGGAGCCGTTTACATCATGTAAGGATAATTTGTTTGGATTGAGAGGGAGTATTGATGGATCCCACTTGTAGCTTTTCTGTCATTATGTTTTTATCCACCATCATCAATACAACCGTCTTGGTTGTGCCTGCTGTTACGTTATTGCTCACATTTATATCTTACGGTAAGCCTGGATTGGATGATGTTATAAATACACATGGACTGACACAGTGCCTGGGTTTCATAGTGATTGCAGCTCTCAAGAAGCAACCCTATGCAAGTACCAAGATTTTGGGTGGTACTGGTGTCGATAATGTTGTTTAGGTTCACTAAAGAAGGAAATGTTGGCAAGCATCCGGATCTAGTAGTAATATCCAAATAATAAAAGAAGGGTGTTTGAAGACAATGAAACAGGAGTTGGATGCTATCGTCAAGGTGATTTCGTATCTTTGGGTGGTTTGGGTGATCAGTTTAAACCTATTGATGTGTAAACATTTCAATTTTACCAGATGTAACTTTAAAAACTTGAGCAGTTACACATGGACTACACACTTTTTCATTCGTTTAATAGGTTGCCATTCATGTATCCTGCAATAGATGACCTCTCAAACCAAACTACAGTGGACTCGTAATAGTTTACAATTGACTTTACCAAGAAAACTCGTCATTTGGTATTAGACTCACCAAGGTGTTTGGAAATTTGAAAGAGTCATTGTCTTGAAAGGCTGTCGTACAACCTTTGTACCCATTCGTTGGAAGCCACTCTGTTTGTTTGTTATGTTAACATGGCTCTGTTCAAATGAACATAACAAAGATACCGAGAATACAATATGTATGTGTTAAATTGCCTACAAGGATCGATTCAATTCAAAAGAAGATCATTCTAAAGAAGCCTTCACTGCTGCTGCTTCACTATGCAAACCATCTGGCTTCTTTATCAACTGGTGCTTTGCACATTGTTTAATATCGAGGATTCGTCCCTGAAGCCTGGGGTAATATACACAACGTGAATTGAGCTCCGTTTTTCGTTCTCTAGCATTAGACTCTCGCATGCCGTTAATCTTAAATTAACGAGGGGATACGCTATTAGCTTACATTGAGTTTTCATTGGAAATGAGGCATTAGGTAAGAGATCGCCCATGTTTCAGAATAATAAAACTTATTAATCCCTAAAATCATGCTCACAAAGAACAACCCTCAAGAACCACATCACTGATCTGCTTCAACACAGAAAACTTGATTCACATCAGTAAATACACACAAATGTAAGTTTATGTATTAAATATTAAAATGATATCCTTTGGTCGAAATTTACAATTCATCAAATTGACGTGCCAACTCATCCAACTCGGACTTGGCGCCGTTGTACTTCTCAAGAAGCTCCTCATAGTATTGCTCCTTTTCAGCCAATTCAGCCTCGAGGCTGACAACTTTGCGATCAGCATCCTCAGCCTTTGCTTCAGCCGCGTTGTATCTAGTGTGGAACATGAGACACAGATAATCTAATATAGATGTATAACAACTTACTCGGCAGAGACAGTTTGTAATTTAGCTTCGGTTTTATCCAATTGTTCCTCCAAATTCTTTGCACGGATTTGAATAGATAAAAGCTCATGATCCTTGCTGGTGTGTTCATGTTCAAGTTGCTTGATCTTGGCCTCATATTCTTCAGCGAGAGCGTTGGCTTGTTCAGCTTCAGCACGAAGACTAGCAAGTTTCTTTTCATGTGGATCAATATCGAAGATCCTCTCTCCTCTCTTTTTGCAGTAAAAGCTGATAGCTTACCTCTTTAACTCTTTCCATTTTGTGTATATAGTTTTCTTTTTCTTGTAAAAAAAGTGGAAAGAAAAAGAGAAGAAAGGAGGTGTAGGAAAGGGGGCTACGTGTAATAGATTGGCGAAAAAAGACGGAGGTTTATTCATATTTATAAAAGCCAATGATGATCAAGTGCCTTTATGGTCTTTGACCCCTTTAGGAAGGAAAAAGCTACTTTATTTCATATTTGTACAACATCAATCATGAGTTTTCTTTGAGCATGACCTTGTGGGTTGGCTTTGCTTTGTAAATAGTGTCCTGATGGTATCAATAGATACATAGACGCATTCTTTCAGGTTCCAGTAATGCAGATTTGGATTTAAAGGTAAGATTAAATCGGATACCAAAGGTGCTGTCAAAGCCGGATGCTCATAGGTATCAAAGTATGATTTCGAGTCATCTGGATAGATGGTGAAATCATGGTACCGCTGGTATCGATCAGTGCAATCCTCTTCTACAGCAATTGCGCTATGATCTGATACGAGGCTCTTGTCGTCAACAAGCAGCTCATGGTCCAAGTCTTCGTGGTGTTCCTGATATGACATTTTGTGGTCCACTGTATCACGAATGTCTACTGTGCTGCAACTCTTTTTATGATGCGATGACGGAGCAGCCACCACTGTGTTTGTATCTGACTGCCCGACTGACGTTGATTCCCGTAGATGCTGCTCCAATGTAGATAAATGCATTGTAGACTGATTGTTACTGCTATGCTGTGCATATCTGCCCGCAGCCCACCAGGCTTTGATGTACGAAAACTTCCAAATGTCATCCACATGTTTCCACCAGTAGGTAGACTGCAGTTCTTGCTCTCTTCTTCTCAAATCGTTTGTTTCATCCACTTGCTGAAAGCGGCCAATGTAAGGGTGTTTGATGCGGTTTTGAAAGAGGCGATTCAGCTTGACTTTAAACCATACGGTGAATATGATCAGGGGCAGAATCGTCGTGGCTGCGGCTAAAACTCCTTTCAGGTACAACAAACCTACCATGGTAAACTGGAATATCAACAGGCCATCTGATGTGTAGCGAGTGATGCGTCGGTAATGGCGTGATCCATTTGTCTCGTATCGGCGGATATAACAGTACATGTATTGATGTCTATATACGACAAGAGCAAATGCAAAATAGAACAAAGCAAATATCATGATCAATGGCTGAATCACCGAGTAGGTCAAGGTAATGACAAGCACAAGAATGTGATTTGGATAGTAGTAATAGTACAAAAATGACCATGGCGATGTGTATTTGAGCCTGAGCCTCGGTGTCTTTGAGAAGATGGGCTGAGTAAAGAAGACATGGCCAAATATCTGTGATCCAAGCTGTATTAACTCCATGGCATGTGTAGATGAGTTGAACAAGACGTAATTGAGAAAGAAATTAGCACCTTGAGGCAGTGCATTGGCTAGCAGTTGAATGATCATGGTGGGTTCGTACAACACATCCAGCATAGTAGTGAGAAATGTGGTGCCCAGCAAAAATACAATCAGCACATTGAAGATGGCAAAGTGGTAGTATCGACCGAGCACAGCATCTTCAAGCTCAGAGTATGAGACAAAGTCTTGCTGTTTGGAGATTTCTACAGGACACAGTCATTTAGTTTTCGATCAAGGCCAACATACAGAACAAACTTGCCCAATACGATCCACGGCAACAAACTCATAAACAGTGTCACTAGTAGTGTAGGTAGAATATTTTGAATAAAGGATCGTACCACAAACGAAGATGCTAAGAAGTATCGTAGAAAGGCAAAGTGATGTGAGAGCGATTGAATAGAGGTCAGACCAAGGATGAATGTGATGGGAAACAGCCAAAATATAGTAAGGGACCTGTTCAAGTTGTTGGCTATCCTATAGCTGAGATGCACTGCTGGAATACCTACCACACTGCAGCGAGCACGACCCATTGCCGAAGTGTGCCTGTTACTCGACTCTTTCGTCCTCGTCGTAGCAAACTTCTCCATAGCACATCTCTTGGCTCAGGTGCCATGCGAGTATCAAATACACCAGGCTTCCAAGATGTGACAATCTGAGCACATATTTGAGCAGAATGAGCAGATCTAAGCAACGCGTTGAGTACCTGAACTCATTTTTCATTGATAGAACCTACTTGAAGGTGACAAATGCAGCGCCTGTTGGCATGTAGTACTCGGGCGATCGATTGACGTCTCGAAGTCGAGCAATTTCTTTATCCAGCTCATCAATTTCTTCCAGAGCCTCTTGCACTTGAACAACTTGCTTTTCCAGGGACAATTCCATCTGTTGATCTTTGACATGAGATAACCAGTCGAACCACACAGTCTCTTGTTTCGGTGATAATAGTTGATGCTTTCTCTGTGCAATGCGAACAATGCGTATCAGCCAACGTTCTAAATTGTCAATAGCTTTGCTTCTCTTTTTGAGCACTGACTCGACCAGTTTGATGGCTGTGTTGGATACCAGTGTAACATGCTCGACGTCTCCTACTTGCGCACGTTCAAAGTGTTGTTGCAGGGTCGACTGATTCCGTAGTTGATGTGGCACATGCGTAATGAGCACAGACCTCTCATGCAGTTTGTTTGTAAGTGGTTGTTGCTGTAACAGATCAATGTGGTGGATGTGGTTTACGAACAGCAGCCAGAGCCAAGATAATGATATGCTGAATGCAAAAACAACATGCACCCATACGATGGGGTTTCGGTTGGGTATGTTGGCAATCGACAAGTAATACAAGGTGGAATTGCTACGAAAATGATCTGTATCGTTGCTGTGTACACTAGGAAACCCACCGTACAGGTTGTTTGTTGGATGCGCTGATGTCGCGCTGTAGTCGCTTGTTTCGTTCTTTGCCAACGATGTAAACTCGCTTGCCAAATCAGATTTGTCTAACGAGGCTGACGCACCTGTCCAATGTAGAGCGAGTAGGATGGGACATACGAATAACGACTGCACTGTTAAGAAATGAACGACCATGCGCAAAAACCGTATGTGCATTGTAGCGTCAAGCCCAACTTTGTTAATGTATTCCTTCTCGTCAATATACAATGTTGATGTGATCCATGCAAACAAGTGAGATGGCTGCTTTGGCACTGCGTTTCTATAGTTTACAAGGTGTTAGACGCACATACAGCGACTCTGAGCAAATAGATACATTACTTGAGTAGCTGTGTGCGAGGTGAAAACAAGCACTTCATTGAGTCTGATCTTTTACAAATTTCAAACGCTATAATACAAGTTGCAGAGACTGCGCAAGAGATGCCAAATGTCGTTGACAACCCTAGAAACGTTGGTACATAGTATGCTGTTTCGATGGTGGCCATTTTGGCTTAATTATCTAATAGAAGAGAGAAAAGAATGATGTTGAGAAAACCCAAGACTTGGAGGCAAAAAAAAAAAAGTGTATCTAAATATAGGGGTTCAATGTGTGCTAGTGTAATAATAGGGGTCGATCTTTTCTTCTCTCTTGAAAGACTACACAATGAATTGGAGTCGAAATAAACGCAAAACAAAAGGGTACATAAGGGGATATTTATATATACATTTCATTTTGTTTATTCAAACAGTAGGGTATACACTGCACGGGAATGTCTCTTTAGTTTTGATCGAAATGATGACCATGCTACGTTGCTACGTTGTTACCAATGTCAGCCTTTGAAGTTGAGTGAATGCCTTGGATTTTTCTTGATATAGATTCATTTAATGTGAGCGTCCATGCCAGCTATAGGCTCTAAAAATGCCATTTGACAACAAATCTATCATAATAACACCTTACTGTGTGTTTGTTTATCTCGTATGAAAGAATGTTACTACTGCTGTTCACTACATCACCACGATCGCATTTGATATACAGACATTGCTTATATAAGTTTAGGTTAGGCTTTTATTCTTACTGGCTGATAAGCGTATTGTTGATAGTTACTGGACTATCATTCAGATAGAGTGTCGCGTAATACTCGGTTGTGGGCACAGATCTTTTGACTTTGGCGAGCTTACCTCCCTTGTCCATTTGAGCCTGATATAAGGTGTAGTGAGTGTCGTTGTTTCTGTAAACGCAGACATACAAATATTTATCGCTGAAATCAAGATCAATCTTCTTTAACTTTTTGTTTTGTCTGAAATCGAGCTTCAAAGTGATCATACGCTGCGATCTGTGTTCGTCTTCATCTTCGGGCAAAGCGTAATACGATCCTCCAAAAACTTCTACGTCTTCCTGTGGAAACAAACCAAAGAAACAGGACTCGATTGCAAAGCTCTCCAAATGAGGGCACAGACGAAGCATCTTGGACAGCTGTTCACAGCACGGCTCCAAGGCAAGAACGCTTGGAAAGACGAAATTGTCGAGATTGATGTCCTTGACATGAGACTCTACAAAAGGTTGGCTTCCAAATGCTTCGGTGTATAGGATGTTATGCAATCTGAGGCTGGTGAGATGCTTGAAATACGCCAAGAATTTGGGCAACCAGGCGACACTGATAATCTGCTTGTCACCGTTCACATCCAAGTGAGTAAGCTTTGGAAAGTGCTTGAGTGGTTTCGTAATAAAGTCGCCATAGGTGTCGAGAACAGGTCGTGGCTTCCGGCCGTCATATACTGCAGCCTGGCCATCTGGATCAAACTCAGTGCTGTCGTGAAGAGTGATCTTGACAGAGGTGATAGAGTTTCTTTGATCTGACTGCGCTAATGCTTTCAACTGAGACTCCAAATCATCCAGATACGCTGAAACAACAACGCGCTTCAACTGTGTCCCATTAGCATCCATGATACCGACCATGTCTGGTGTGATGGGCGTGAATGGAAAGTCAAACGTCTCCATTTTTGTGTTGGCTCTGAGAATGGGAAGCAGGTGCTCCTCGCTTAGCTGTTTGTCGTACATGGTGTGCTGAAGATCGTCCGTAACAAAGCTCAGGGTAAAATGTAAGAGGCTCTCGTACTTTTTCCCAAAGTATTTGAGCCATTCAAAAGTAACCTCCGCATCTTGAAATTCCAAGTTGTCGTCGTAGAACATGAGGATCTCCAAATGCTCCAGAGACGGTGCTGGAGCAGGATCAGCAAAAATAACCGCATTCCCGGAATCCAAGACCTGTTGAGGATTTGCATAGGGGTAATCCAGTGTATCGTTCAGCCGAAATGTAAATTTGTGGAGGATCAGCTTTTTCAGTGCTGGCAGCTTTTGATGAATCAATTCGAAATCATACATGGTTAGATGCACGCCAATCAACGTGAGCGATGTAAGTTGAGATGCATTTTTCAAATTGGCGATAAGCTTGTCCTTTGTTCCTTTTACATTCGTTTCCCATAGATTATTGTAGTAATGAGGTTCATAGTATTGCAACGACAGACTTGTGAGATGATGGCATGGTTTGCTGAGAATGTAGCTGGTCAATGGATGAATGCACATGTTGACCTCTGTAAGAGAACGCAGTGTTGAACTCCAGATTTGAAATCTCAATACAGCATCCTCTCCTTCTAGCACAGGCAATTTACCAATGTCAGCAGAAGCTTCTACTTTGAATTTCAATGTCTTGAGATTGTTGAAAAAGACTGGAAACCTGACAAACTGCTCATCATCTGGAGAATCCCGGTCGTTGTAGATGAGTTCATTGATTTGGTGTGCCATGTCTGGATGGCGTTCAAAGTACTCCATGGCTTCCAGGACTTGGGGATGATCGTATAAGAACATTAGCGGGGAGAAGAGAACGCCCAGTTGCATGATCTTTTTATACCAGCGCCTGTTGACCAAGACACATTGAAGCTTCTCCTGTTGCGTCAAATGCGAAAAGATCAACGCGTAAAGCTCTTTTGGAAGTCGGTCCATGATGCGTGTTGATAATGAAAGTGAAAAAATAGAAAATTTGATTCTAAACCTTATTTAAACAAAACTTAAAACTCTGAAAATGCATTTAGTAACACAGAGAGATAGCTATCAAATGAAAAACGAGACACACAACATGGTTAGAATAGTCGGTTGTAAACTCGCCGATCAATGATAGCCCTAAAGTAAGATCTGATATATCAAATGATTTACATGACCTTAAATTGAGCCATGGATCTGAATGTTCGCTGTAAGATAGAAACAGGTGCAGATAAATCTGGATTTAGGACTTACGCAATCAAAAAATCGATCGCATTTTGTTGACATTTGAAAGACGGTGTGATCCGCTGATGACCAAAAGACAGCTTCGAAACGCTCACAATAATTCAAGTTAATTTCTGCTGGTCAAAACAAGACAAACGCTTGACGTACTGATTAGAAAAAGATAGCGATTTCGCATCTCGCATTTTGCATTCAAATGAGCAATTTCCAATGATTAAACCGACAAACTAAATAGATGTAAAGATGAAGCAAATCGAAGTACTCGTAAGACGCTATAGTACTTTCTAGTTCACGACCCTTTCATATGAGCATCATAAACATAAAGCCTTCATAAGAAAAGCACCATCATTTATGCCAGCTAACCTGCTGCTGCTGGAACCAATTAAATCTCGGACAATCACTTTCTGTTTCAGCTTGGTTCATTTCTTTTGCGAGATTCGACTATATAATTTGCAATGATTATTCCATACAACCCTAAGCTTTTTAGAAATACCTTTGAAGGCACATTCAATGGAACTAATTGCAAGAGGTGTTTTGAATGAACATATTAAGCAATTTCAGAAACTATTAAATGCCGTTTTGAGCCAAAATGTCGAGATTTCGCATATATAGGCTCCACAACAGCGGATTTAGGGGCTTCCCTGATTTCCACAAAAACATTTTGATCTGATATCATAACATAATCAATGTTCCCTAGGCACTTTTAAAGCTCAGAAAGGAAAGAAGTTGATCTAACAAGTATTTTGATAGACTGGCGTTATTAAATATAAAATACAAGGAAAATAGTATGGCTAACAACAGTGCTATGTAATTCACAAGCCAAAATTAATTTAAACTCAGAATTTCAGTCCACTCCAGATTGGCCAAATTTTGGCATTTTTCGACTTGATGGAACTATTTTAGCAGATTTGACTAAGTAAAATATGATAATCATCCTATGCTTCTTTAAGCTTTCTTGGAGTACTTTTCAAGGCGCATCCAGTGGTACCAAGTAAGAGAGATGTTTTGAATAAACTTATTGAATAATTTACGAAAACATGAAAAGAGGTTTCTGGCCAAAATGTCGAAATTTTACATATCAAAGTCTCACAAAGATGATTTCAGAGGCTACATTGGATCGATAGAAACATTTTGATTCAAGATATACCATAGGAAAAGTCTTCGTTATCAAGGTGAAAAATGCGATCGTTTGATTTTCAATGAAAACCATGAGGTGCCCCTCATACTTTTTGGTCGATTTTTGGCCATGTTTTTTTGATCCCCAAAAAGTTGAGCAAAGGTGTCAGAAAGTAACTGCCAGATGTGAGCAATTGCTTGGTGCTATTCCGACAATCTAAAACGGCCTTGAACGCGAGAAAAACGCGGCTCAAATGCATTCAGATTTTGCTGTATTAGGCACACTCTTGACTAAAAAGGGATAATACCTGCATGATACTTGCCCGTATATGAAATTCCTACGTGTATATGAATGTAGAGCATCACATAAGGATCAGATCCACAGATAATATAAAGGTTTTTATGTATAGGTGGAAGGTCGAAGTGAAATTAGCAGTAATTTTGATAAGATACGCAAGAGCAATCAGTAGCGCGAGCTGCTGCTGCGCAGGTTGGTCCCCACTGAAGCGAAGCGAAGGTAAAGAACCATCTGAAGCATCAAATTTCATATGAGTAGTGATTATTTATCAATCAACAATCAGGGCTCTTCTAACATTTTAGCTATCTATATTTTGCGATGTTAGCCAAAGGACCGCGGCAGCGCGAGCCGTTTGAACGTAGGCTGGTTTCTACCAGCTGCAAGATTATCAATCTTTCTTAGAAATGTGAGCATAGCATTCTTGCAGAGCTGCTAGGCGTAGTTGTCTTGAATAAATGGGCTCAAAATTCAACTTCAAAAGCAAACATCTGTATGAGGTATAGGCTCAAACAACCACATCACGGTAAGCTCTGCTACTTTTCATTTAACGGGAGTTTGCGCCTACATACTTGTTTATAAGGCTTAGTTTGTCTGTGAGGTCCCGTAACATCGCGTTTACTCAAGAATGAAAATTAGGACTTCAGAGCCATTCAAAAGTTTACCCTCACACCACTCGCTAGAATTACTAATACCTGGAAGAGCATACAATATAACGCCGTTGAAGCACTGTATACGAATAGTTATTATTCGAGATGCGGCCACTTTAGCTTACAAAGTTCATCAAGAATTACAACAGCAGCGTACCACAGCATTGGATGGAAACGCCATTTCATATGTCGATTGATTTAACAGATCAATTACACGGATATTCTGGTCATTATTCCGCCGAGATTTATTTAATAAAAGGATGGATCCCCGGCAGGATGCTTGGCTGGCTTGATGACAAACGCTTTTGGTTTTACCAAACTTTATTGATTTAGGTTTACATGGTTGAGGACTGAAAAAGCAATTGACATGTGCTTTTTATCACTTGCAAGGTAAGTGTATTACTTGGCAACAACTAAAACGTAATAGTTCATCATCTCATATGTACCTAAAACGAGTGTAGCAACTCTCAGTTATAGAACAGCCAACTCAACAAGGTTTACTACAGTAGGTGATCGAGTGTCGCGCAGTGAAACGTATTACCTGCGCTGAATGAGGTCTAGTTTGCAATTACATTGGGTCAATTCTATCCGTAACGAATGGGGTGTGCGCCCTGTATGCCAATGCCTCTGTTCCATTTGCGTCAGATCATCCGTGAAAAAAAGGTACAAGCAAGGGTACCTCTATGTTTTCACCACAAATATCAACCACTGAATCTGTATATTTGTTCCATACATATTGTTGTTTGCTTTATCTGGAAACATTTTTTTTTGATGTGTACAGGGGTCTTGGGGGAGGGAGGACGAAGAGGGAGATGTATCAAGGCAGTTGTACAAAGTGTGATTTGTATGGTTACATGAGAATGTGTTTTCTCCATGTCAATTAGATTCAGACGGCTACCTTGTTCCAAGGCAATGCTAACTGATGAAAACGAAACATTCTAATGTTTTGTTATCCAGAAATTTTATAAAACATGTGAAAATTCGAATAGTCATCAAAGAAAGAGTAGGCACATGGATGCTCATGATCATGAAACCAGCCTGGCGAGTGTAACCAGTTGACCCAAGCTTTTCTGAAACAGAGCGATTACAATAATTAAAGTATTACTTGATTTGTAAAAATACAAAAAAAAAAAAAAACTTCTATCAGATTCCCTAAAGCCTCATAAATTCAGTTGCCATCCTTGCCTTCTATATGGTTTTGAATTAAGGCATTCACAGCAAGCAAGCGGCTCAAGAAACATGTTTGTAGCGAGTTATGTTTTCAAATAATGCTACTATTTGTGGCTCAAATTCGCATTCTTCCATGTTAAGTAGATGGGCAATTTTTTTTTTTTGTTTTTTTTGTTTGTCATCTCATCATGCAAAGAGTGTGGTAGTATCTCGATGAATGTCGAAATAATCGTCCCACTTTTTTTGCTCATAACGAAAATATATTATATCATAGCATTATCTAAGCTGTCTTATATAACTAAACTGATCGGGTAGTCATCTCACAAACGTGTATGTATGTGATACAATGTCAACCTTGCAACAAGCCCAAAACAAGAGTGCTTTAACGGATTCATCTCAGATCTACTGCATCTTGCAGAGTCAATTAAATAGTATTCTAACCCTTGCCTGAAAAAAAAAATTGTTTATTAGAGTCTAAACATCATAAATAATTCTATTGTAAAGTGTATACACGTTGGTATTAAGAGTAATAAGGTGGGGAAATGAAGCTTGTTTCAAAAACGGCTGCGGAGAACGAGAAAGAAGGGTGGGGGGGGGCATGTTTCTAAGATTGGGATGTTATAATATGGACATATGTACTGAATATAAAAGTTTAAATGTTTTGAATAATCGAAGAGAATGAGGGCGATCTGGTCAGTTTAACTGCTTGCTTGGAATCATAACATGAAAGCGAGCTGAATGTGGTTGTTAAACTTGCTCTTCTCTTGGGAGGAGGTGGAGACAGCTGGAAATCCTTGTCATATGTCATGGGTTGTGGTGATTCCCGTTTTGTGCTCATTTCTCTTCTTTCCATTGTAGTAGTGGTAGGAAAAGGATTATGTACACTAGCAGATGAATGTGATCTAGTGGTAGGATGAGGGCTGCTGGCAGTGGTAGCAGGTTGATTGGCACCGGCAAACAATTGGATGTCTTCGCCTCCATACGTGAAATGTTCAAACAAAAGACCTTCCAAGGATTTCACGTTCTTTTCAGATGACACCGGAGTGGCGGTACTCTGACTTTTGCTGATGCTGGATTGAGAATGTGCTGTATTACGTCTTTCAGGAGTAGGAGAGGCAGCAGCATATCTATTTTTTAAATTACTGTTACTCGAAGATGGTCTGGGTTGCTGTTTGAGTGCATCTACTCTGTAACTGGTATACAGTTGATGCTGAGATTGACTGGAGCTTCTAGGTCGAAGACTGGGAGCACTGCCGTACTTTGCATTAGAGGATGTGCTAGGTTGTCTCTGAACTGTGGTAGAAGCGGTTCTGCTGAGCATGGATGGGGGAGGAGATGTTACTACTGAGCTGCTGCTCTTTTGAAACTTTGATCTAGAGTGCTGCAATTGCGGTGGTTGTGCTTGGACAGGTAAATTCAGTTTTCTAGGAAGTCGGCCCAGGACCTGAGATGAGTTGATGGATCCCTGGCCCTGTACAATCTTCAAGAACTGTTGTTCGTCAAAATATTTTAGCGCTGCCCAAGAGGGATTAAGGAATGAAAATCGTTTCTTAATGGAGTTGAGATTTTCTATATTTATCAGACAGATGTTAGATGTGATGGGATCATTGATATCTTGCTTAGTGAATACATACGCTTTCCGATACCGCCGTGTTCGAGCATACCATGCAATGGCTTATGGGGAGCAGGGAGTGTGCCCTTTGTACCCTGTTTAAGAGGTGCTTTGCCTTTTACGAGTCTGCAGATGTTACGAGCAATGCAAACACCGGAAATGGTAGCAGCATAACCCGTCTTTTCTTCAACAACATTGGTGACATCTCCCCCAGCAAAGATATGGTCATACTTGTAATGATCTATTTGGAGAGTGGCCTTTACTTTGATGCGACCCCAGGCATCCAGACAGTTGTCAAGAGAGCTATCACTCACACTTGATGTGAATAAGTTGCTGTTAGGGCGAGTACCGGTGGCGATAAAGACCTTGTCATAGCCAGAGTAGACGCGACCACTAGAACCAAGGTATACATTGTCATTGGACGAGTCAAAGTCCAAGATCTTTTCGTTGCAAACAACGGTGACGCCGAGATCTCGAAGGTATTTGCTTGCTACAGCTTGTTGACGAGGATCACTGCGGTTCACAACATTGGTATGGGAGTCCACTAGGGTAACATCCTTCTTTGAGTAAGCACCAGGAAACCTATGCTGGGATATCTCAGAAGCGAGTTCACAGCCGACCAGGCCACCACCAATGATGAGGACCTTGCGAGCTTTTAAGAGTTCTAAATAAGATTCCTCTAAACCAGACATGCGATACAAGGATGAAGTATCAGTCGATTTGAGTTGCGATGAGTAGGCGCTGCCCGTGGCCACAACGAGGTAATCAAAATAGATCTAGCATAGTAATTAACAAATGTCAGGCTATACATGCTGGGGCGAAAATTAACATACCACTTCACCATTGACAGTAACTGATTTACCGCCATTTGCGAGATCTTCTGCATAGCCAATGATGACTCTGCCATTCTTGACATAGGCATCATGTCGAACTCGGAGAGAGCTTGTTTGCTCAGGGTTGATAATCTTTTTGACGATGCCCGGTGTATATTCAAACGAATCTATAGCATGATGTCATTAAAAATGTATTTATAATTTGTCATATGTGATGTACCTTTTGTGTCAATTAATGTAACATAAAAACGTGGCATTTGGTCGAGAATTGAGGCAACTGTAAATCCCTATAGTAAGCATGATGAGTACAGGTGATATAACAGTGTCAATGTATAGACTTACAGTGAATCCGCCACCAATGATGACTACACTGACTTGCTGATGTGTAATGTTTGTTGGACTGACATTTCTATGATAATTAGACGAAATTGATAAATACAAAAGCACGAGATGTCGTATGGTGTGTAACTCTGTCTTTACCCAGTTGGAAGATCCATTGTTTGGATAAATTCGGCCAATTTAGATTTCTATTATTAATACTGTTTAGTATTTTTTGTAGAAGCCTAAATTTGGATATTATGTGTAATACCAGCATGTCAATAACTTGTGCTTCTGTCTCTTCTAAAATAGTAACAGCATCGACTCTGTCTACAATGGCCCATTCTAATGATCGTATGTCTTCTCTGACCTGATCTTGTGTAGTGACATTGAGCTCCAGCGGTGATCCTCTGGCAAGAAATGTCTTGTATATTCTGTGAAGTGTGACCTCAACTGCTTTGGCGTCTGTCTCATGCTTTAATTGTGTAATTGCCTCAATGAACAGCAAGCTTTCGTGAGACCATGTTTGTCGAAGAAAGCATTCGAATGCACATAGTAATTTGGGATTCGACAATACTTGATTCAATGTGTATTGCGTGGAGGAAATGGTTGAAAAATGATCATCTGCTGATGAGCTGGATGTGGATGATGAATAAACGGATGATGAAGACGATAAAGAGCCTTGAGATTGCAAATCATCATGTGTATAATGCATTTTCTTTGGATATATTCTAAAAAGATGTAAAATGGAGAAAAAGAGAAGGAAAGAAATGCCTTGCAAAAATAAACATGCCAATTATATACGGGATCAGACTCGTTTTGATACAAGCCTACCCCGCAACGGGATAACCTTACAGGCGAAAAATAACATCTACATGCTGAAATGTATATTTTGCAGACCAAAATAAGTTGTAAATGGCATGATTATTTGCGCCAATCGGAAACACCAAGCTCATTTGCAATGTACAGCAAGCTGCTTGTACGCCCACCACCTCAAGAAATGGGGGGTTCTCTTTTATGTAGTTCGTGTTTGGAAGCACAAGATTCCACCTTGCAATCCAGCTGGATTTTTTTTTTTTTTTTGTCTCGGTTGGGTCCACCCTCTCTGCTTTGAGCCATTAAAGTTCCTCATGTTTCATTAAAGTTAAAGTGGAGGTAAAAAGCGACAGATACGGGTTACTTCATATGTAGCAGTAAAGCTCGTTGTTGAAAATGACAAGTTTAAATGTCAACTTTATGTACATTTCTTGAACCGAGTGCAAAAACTCACTTTGACATGTCATGGCTGCTTTGGATGCTCAGTACTGTAATCTCCTGAAATCCAGTGCCTGATCTATGCCAATCTTTGCTTCTTGGTAATACACATTCGGCTGCCACTAGCACATTTGTCGCTGATAACCTCAAGGCAATGCACTTGCGCTCAAATAACGTGGAGGCACATGCTCTATACATGTCCAATGTCATAATAATAGAAAACACAATCCAATTGTAGTAGTATGCCATCCCTGAAATCCAAATACCCCACATTCGTGATCTTAAAAACTTTATGTATCAAATGTAAAACTTGCCGCTATCAATGATGAAATGCAGGCACCCATGGAGAGGAATCAGCACCCGAGCATTTCACGTAATAACAGATCAAATATCAAAAAAAAGAGGCTATTTGGATATGTATAAATTACAAATTCATTCATTCATTTTTTTTTTTTTTTTTTTTTTGGTTTGTTTATTCTACAATATGTAAATCTGTATATATAGCCGGATTTATAAGAGTGGTGGTGGCAATTGTGTAAGAGGGAGAGAGGGAGAGGGGAGGAGAGTTGTGTAAAGTCTATTAATGAATATGATATTTTACCAAACAGGTCTGGAATCGTGCTTGGCCATGTCAATGATTCTCCAACCACCAGTGACAGGGTTGTTGAGATCCTCGGGTTCCTTGGTGAGGACACAGGCGTAGGTCACTTGCTCAATGAGATCTTCCTTTCCGTAAACAATCTCGCCACTCTTTGCATTACGGAATACGATAATCTCTTGTGTACGGAATGACAAAACCAACACAGGAACGTCATTTTCTAAAATCTTGGCAGCAACCAACTAGTTTGATACAGTCAGTGTCGTGTCAATTTGGTTTTTGCAGCACGTCACTTACATCAATATCACGCAAATCTTGAATCTTGCAATCACTGATTAATCCTTGTTGCATTTGTGCTTGAATGACAGCAGTCAAAACATTGTATGTCTATGTATACGAGTCAATACTCGGTTTCCTTGCTATTTGCCTAGACTACTTACTGCTTCAGAACACCATAATTTCAATGTCTCCACATCACCCTTCAAATAGGCTTCCATGAGCTCAGGAACAATGTATTTACGAGCATCAGTCATGAACTTGTCCATGTTAAATGTAGGATCAATGGCTTGGAAAGCACGAATGGCTTGTGCTTGATCTGACTCTTCAAAGATAGAGCCTACAGGAACGATGAGTGTCCATGCCACCAACGCTACCAACACAGCAACTTACCAAACGTATCTGAAATACGGTCAGTGAAAGCACGGGAATAAGAGACAAACACATTGTCGGATTCTTCATAGTTTCTTCTTGCACGGAAGATACCTAATGGATGTCACACTGTCAATGCCCAACTCGAATAGAGCACCTATTATAGAGATGCTTACCTTGCATGATAGGACTATCTTCCTTGAACTTGGTCCAACTCTCCTTCCACTTGGAATCTTTGTGAAGCACCATGTTGGCACCAGCCTCAGGGTTTTCAGCAACGTTCTTGGTAGCACTCTCTGTTGTCTTTTGTGCCTCCTCACGCATCTTGCGTCTAGTCTCCTTGTCAACAAAACCGCCATATCTACCACTGTCATCCTTCAACACTGTCTTGAAAGAATCAGTAATTTTGCCGACTGTTTCGTTCTTCTTTAGGGGATCAGTAGTTTTGTTGATTGTCTCTGCTGCCTTTTTGATCTTTTCTGAGGTATCCTTTGCGAATTCAGTTTCTGCTGCCTTTTTGAAGGATTCGTTCACAGAAGATCCCACCTTCTCGGCAGCCTTTGTGAATTTCTCAGTTGCTTGCTTTAGACGTTCAGATTGAGCCGATTGTTGAGCCTTTTTGTTCAAGGTGTTAAAATCATGCATCTCTCCAGCTATCACTCTCCAATCCCATGGTTTGCCTCTACATTACCTTTGCCTTTTCATACATCTCCTTTGCCTTCTTGAGTGCCTCACTGTCATTCAATCTACCAGCTTCATCTTGCAAGTTTTTGACCTCCTTGCCCTTTGCCATTTGCTCCTTGACGGTATCAATGAACACTTTGAAAGGTGAACTATAATGACGGACAGTTGTCTTTTGTTGGTAACGCACAGCGTGAGTGGTTAAACGAGCTCTTGAAGTTGAAGTTAATAAGGCTTTGTATGCAGACATCTTGTATTGTAATTTGTATAGGCCACCCTTGCTAATTCAGAAAGAAGTATGTATAAGAAAAGAGATGGAAATTGAAAGAACCAAGTGGAATTATAAAGACCCAGGTTTCCGAGATGGAACATAAGGGTGGGGGTGGCTTGCGAGTTTGAAGGGATACCCTTGGTCAATATTTGTAGTCGGAGTGGGATGTGCGTGTCCTTTCACCAGTAGCAATGGTAACCGTAGTAAGCTAAAAACTGCTGCGAACTTGATTTATGTGGTATCGCAATCAATGGCTGTACGAACAAGAAGCTCCTGACATGGCTTGCCTCTTGAAATGTTGATTTACATAGTAATGTCCCTGGGATTGCTGGCAGTTGGTCATCGCATTCAAATGTTACACTAAAACTAACTTCAAGAACTGGCCCAATCAATGCATGCCCAGGCTGTTCAGAATGGATTTGAACAGGGCATCATCAATACTTTTGTCTACAAAGCAAATTGATGTAGCATTTAAACAACTGAATCATATTGTTAATACCTGCAATAGTGGCTGCTTTAGTAGTCAAATTGAGCTAGATACCACTATTTTCTAGTCCTAAATAATGAATGCTCTCTCGTACCTTGATCAAATGCGCATTAATTGTTACACAGGACTCTGAATCCACCCTTCTTAAACATGCCTGGAATAGGAATACATTTAATGGCTTGTTTCTGTTTAATGTGTACCTGTCAAACAGGAATATATGTGTGTATTAAAGCGATTTTATTCAAGTTTGAGTGATTTTTTTAATCAGTGCTCTCTTCATAAACTGTTCTCGTGATAGCATACGGGTGTACTATATGTATGGATGAATTGCGACGAGCTTTGCATAGGTGTCAAATGTTGTCTTACCTTCATAAACTGTGTTAGATCAATTCTCTCCGAGTTCAATGCTTTAGCCAAAAAGTAGACCGTATCAGATATAGCGTTATCGTCTGCCACCAACTCAAAAATCCTATGCATCTGTGATCAGTCCATCATCTCCCTTGTTTGACATATAGGCAACTTACTGATTGGCCACAACAGTTGTCCCACACAATGCCTCGTCTACTTGAACATCGGGTATCCCATTCACTTTCTCAGTAACATCCACAATCTCTTTTGATCTTGATTCCAAAACCAGGTTATTGTATATCAATCGCTCCTTGATATCAGTCAAAGCTCTGAATTCTTGATCAATGCTAATTTCGCCTTCATTTAATTGTCGGTTTTGAAGCAGTAGTCTATCCATATCACCAGAGACTGACAGATTGTATTGTTGTAATTTATCTGTCACTTTTCTGTAAAGCGATTCCTGAATGCTGTAAGTATTGTAGTTTTGTGTACTGTTGTTATCTATGGCTCCGTTGCTGTTGCCTCCTGGCCTTGATGTTGATGTCTGTGGTAATGGAGGATAGGGCATAGTAGCAATGGCTGGAAGTGAGGCTGATTTGGGTAAGCTAGTATTCAGGTTCATTGACTAGGAGGCGTGGATGATGCATTAGCATGTCAAAGTATCCATTCACATTCGCACTACTTACAGCCAATCCTTGGTTCATATTATACAACGCTGTGCTCTCTCCCATCCATCTGGGCATAGGTGATGCGTGCGATATAGCTGGGCTTCCATTGTTAATAGGTTGAGAGGGCATCGACTGTCTTTGCTGAGAAGGTGAAGCTCTATCCAAAAGTGATTCTTGTTGCATTTGTGGCGACCCCATATTGCTTGTTGCAATGCTAGTTGGCTTGGTATATACTGGTGGTTCCTGTGCAAACACTTGCTGTAAAATGGCAACAAGCTCCAAGAAAGTGTGCTTCTGTAAGCAAATATGATGAGCTCGTACGTACAAGGCACAGTGACATGGTGGAATACCTACTTGATCACTTGACCAACTTGATCTATAATGGTGATAACACATGCCACTTTTATCAACATGTCTGCCTTCTCTAATCAACATATTAGCAGTAGGCTTCACATATGGAATTGGCGAAGACTTGGGATATTCTTTAGGGATCCAAAAAGCTACCGGGATGTTGTACGGAATAGAGCGATAAGTAATAGGCACTGTACCATGTAAGCATAACAACAATTCTGTATGCCCATCGTTGGATGCTACAAGGCAAAATGTATAAGTTACGCCGGCATTCTCGATCAACAAATGAAGCTGAACGTACTGTAAGTGTCCATCTTTGGTTTCAGCGATAAATACATTTGTAGTACTGCATCCACATCTCGAAAGGTTCTCTCTGGGTCTTGATACTACATTACGTATGAGTCTTTGGTGTTGTCATATTATTTATGGAGGCCTGCAATGATATCAAAATCACGCATACTTACATGTTGCAGTACTGTTCTTAGCCAGCTTTTGATATCCATAAAGAACTTGTATCGTACGTTTGTTACGTTGATATTAAGAAAAAAGAGAAAGAGGGAAAACATCTTGATAATTTGCTTTATATTATTTAGCATCCGCCTTCTACGACCACAAATGTTGTGTGTGTGTGTGTGTGTGTGTGTGGCATCACACACCACTATTGCACTACTGAAATGTTGCGTAAACAAGGACAGATGATGTCACTTTGGATTTCTCCTTCAAAACGTCCTCTTGAATCCCTTGACTCACGACTGCATGTACTGATAGTAGAGCAACACGATGACATTCCTAAAATGCAATGACGAGAGCCTTGTTGTCAATGCCTTGCTTTGACTGAACCTCCAAGAGAAAGGGAGTCGCCGTTTAAAAGGCATTTGATGATTCATTACATTCAGAGGAGCACAACCAAAGTGCCAAGCTTAATCAATGTAATCCAATGTAGTTTATTGCTTCCAAAATAGCGCCGCTGTCGCTTTACAAGAGTAATCAATACATCGCGTGGCAGTGAAGAGTAAGCAGAGCTCTAATACATACTGTTAGATGACTGGAAAAATGATTGATTTATGTTATTTCCAAAAGGAAATCTCATTAGATTATTTATTATATGCGTGCGCAGACATTGTTTATCAGGTCAAGATGAACAGTGGAGATGTTCAAGTAGTATGTCCCCAGAGAGCCTAATGCATATTTATAGAAAATTGCACTTCAAAGAGTAAAATCAACGAAGCTTCTCCCCAAAGTATCATTTGCCAGAGGGCAGTTGCTTCTCCCATTGAGGATTGGCATTCGCACGAGTAGTTCACAAACAATTGAACCTAGCATACCTCGATGCAACATAGGTAGTCGGGCTAACCTATAACACTTTTCAATCTGCTATATTCCTCCCATGAGCTTTCAAAAACATCAATTTACGTCCATGGTAAGCAGGAGACTGGGTGGTTTGGTTAATATGGGCCACCAGCCAAAATGGGGTCAGTCTCCGCTCATCTTTTTTTTTTTTTTTTTTTTTTTTCTGATTTGTTGATTTTCAGACTTTTTGAACACGATTCGACCTATTTTGCTTGATTCGACTATGTAAATTGTGATATTCATCCCGTACTCCCTAATGCATCTTTGGAGTACTTTTCAAAGCGAATTTAATAATATTAATCAAAGTAATTGTTTTAAACAAGTACTGCGAGCAAATTTTGAAAATATGAATTGAGGTTTTTGGCCAAAATGTAGCGATTTTGCATATGCTGATCTCAAAAAAAGTGAGCAAAGGCGTCAGGAAGCAAGTGCTAGACAATAGCAACTGTATGGTGCTATTCTGGCCGTCTAAAACGGCTTTTAATACGAGAAATAACGCCTCAAATGCATTCAGTTTTGGCTGGTTTTTGTTAACTTTCGAGTAGTAAAAGCTGATTTTAGTATATTCTCTACTTGTATACGATTTTCCTCGTTGATACAGACGTGAAGCATCCTAGAAAAGTCAAATCCACAGTGAAGGGATGCCTATGGAGGGGTTTCAACGTGATAGTTGGAAACCCAATAGTAAAACTTCATCATACATGAGCAAGGCTCCATATAGGTTCTATTGAGCAAGCGTAAATCAGACTAACAGAGCAAAGGTTATAGTTGGACACGCTCTCCAGCAAAGTTACATTAGCTGATTTCACATCTAATCTTCAAAAAGCGCATAGTGTAAGCTATTAAAGTCATTTTCCTTGAGTAAATCAGTGATTATGGAGCAAGAGCTTGCCCAACGCAAGCATTCAAGCTAGAGCAAAGTATAGCTTTCTATAGTGCAACATGCAACAATAGCTATAATCAGTTGCATAGGCTGCTGTATAGAGTAGTACAATCTATGTAAAGGCTGTGTCTAATTAGAGTAAGATGCGCAAGCGCAAGGCGAACACTTTTTTCCGAAAATATTGCAGCATAAACCGACTCATGCACTGATCTAAAGGTTTCTAGACTATAAGGATGGATTGGCTTCGGGCTACTGACGGCCATGTAGGGAGAAAGTAGTGCCATGTATTGAGATATTCTTGGTGAATGTGCCAATGCATCATGTGTGTACGCATACTTTATTTCACGGCTGCAATTCACTAGATTAGATCTAAATTCCTTGTTAAAATCAAGTACAACCACAAAGCTTAATCAATGCATCTAAGAATTACATTTTCACACTGTAAAAGATCTGTATAGCTTTCCATCTCATCGAATGCTTAACGTCATGCGATGCCTGGTTATATTCAACCGGCGGTTATTTTGAAACCACATCCAAAGAGGAACAGCATACCGACAAGTTGTCATGAACTGTAACGTTCAATATGATGAAAATGACGTTTTCCATTGTGGTACAAATGCATGACGCCAGGCAGTGTGGTACAAAAGATGGGCAGCGAAATGGTATTTGTAATGAAGCATCTACTACTATGGAACATTTAATAAGGGAAAGACCTGACGCGAGAATGAGTGAATTGTGTTTAAACTCCCTTTTGTTGGTTGCATCGACATTGAACGGGGGCAAATGTTCTTTCTGTATCCATCTATACATTTCATCACTTGACTGTATACATTTTGAAACGTAGCAGGACAGAGTGGTCGTGGTGGTGGCACAACAACATTGATTTATAAACCCCCCCCTTTCTTTTTCATTTCCTTTCTTTCCTCTTCTTTTTCTCTTTTTCCCTCATTTTCAACAGCATCATACGATGGAACCCATAGTTAAATCTGTCACGATACCTCCACCGACGGACGTTTTGTACGAGGCAACAGTAATAACACAACCACATCAACAGCGATCCATGCTGACTCAAGTGATAGGCTTTGTGCCTATGCTCTTACTGAAAGTTGTTGGATTTGCAACAATCTCCATTCCAGTATTTTTCTACCGAGTCTTGACATGGTCCTTTACGCTCCATCTCAATTTTTCATCCCTGCTGGTCATTTTGGCTGTTATTGCCACTGTCGCCTACCTGATTGTCAGATATCGATTCTTGACGAAATACTCTCGCTTGAAGCCCATCAACAAACCACCCAAGGTCGCTTCTTCGTTTGATTTGCATCCTGATACGGGCGATGAAGATTATGCAGATAAGCCTGGAGGCTACAAGAACTATCCGGACGAATTCTTGTCAGCCTTCTTATCGTCCATCAAGATTTTCGGTTACTTGGAGCAGCCTGTGTTTCATGAATTGGCACGCCATTTGCAAACAAAGAAACTGTTGGCTGGAGATACTCTTTTTAGGAACCCGGAGCAAGAACGTTCCTTTTACATTGTGGTCGATGGTCATGTGCAAATGTTTGTCAAGCCTGATAATACCAGTGACGAGGAAGATAGCAGCGATGAGTCTGATTACGAGGAAGGGATTGCAGGTGATTACAAGCCATGGAAGGATGACGACGAGTTTATGGATCCGGAAAACAGCAGCAGAAAACGCGATAAGTTCAGGAAATACACCTTGATCAACGAAGTCAGTGCTGGTGGCACGTTGTCCAGTTTGTTTACCATTTTGTCAATCTTTAGAGAGAGCTTCAACAGATCAGAGGCCAAGGAAAGACAGCGACAGAAATCGACCGCTGCTGCTGCAATGGCTGCTGCCAACACCAAGGCACATTTAGGCAGAATGGCTCCCATTTCAACAGACATGAGCAGAGAGACGTCGAAGGATGAATGGCGTCAAGTGTTTCCTGGGCTGGAAGAACCAGTAATGTTACAATCTCGACCTGATTCTGAAACAAGTGTGGGTGGTGGATTGAGGAGACGCAGCAAGACCTCGCAACTGCATCAGACCACCATGAGCGATATGGAAGACAACTACTTTACGGGTGAACAAGACACACATGCATTGACAACAGACGCACTGAACAGCATCGCCATGCCTGTGCCTCTTCGCAAACTGTCCGGCACCTCTTCTCCGTCAATATTGGCTCGCCCTGAGCTGTATTCACACAGCAGCATCGCACGTCGTTCTTATAGATCTGTTCATCCAAATATCATTGCACGTGCAACTGTTGACACAACATTAGCTGTTATACCCGAGGAAGCGTTTCATAAGCTGACACAGAAATTTCCTAAAGCAGCTGCACATATCGTACAAGTGATTGTTACAAGATTTCAGCGTGTGACATTGATGACAAGTCATAGGTATCTCGGTTTGACAAAGGAATTGCTACGTTTGGAGAAGCTGGTCAATGAGTCTGCTAGTCTGCTGGAACTGCCTCCCAACTTTTTTGCTCCTGGTGGCATGGATCGCTTGAGACGCAAGTTCAATGACGAAGAGACTTCATCTGAAGAGGGTGATGGCAGTATGGGCCCTTCTGAAATCAGTCGTAGCGAAAGCTCTGGCATCATTCAAGCAATTGGCATCATTGACATTCCTGGAACACCCTCATTGCACATCAATAGCCCTGCCAATGGCGGCACAACAAACCTCGGCACTTCTCCTGTTTCAGCAACCAAAGGGGGCTCTCCTCACTTGACTCGTCAAAAGCTGAATCGTAAAGGCGAATACAGTGTAGAGGATGATGAGCATTTGAGGACCTCTGTGATGCACTGTATCTCGGATGCGCTGGGAATCAAAGCCAAACCTACTTCAGTGTCTGGTCACCATGGCAGCGACCCCCATTCTCGCTCATCTCCTCGGGCACCTCGTAGATTCCCTCAATATCCCATGGATCTTTTTACCCACACCGGCAGTATTGGCTCTACTGGTTCTCCTTCATTAGATCCTTATGATGAATCCTACTATGACGACGATATGGATGCTCGTTCCACTACCTCTTCTGTTCACTCTGGCAACAATGGTTCTGACGTCTTTAGTCACAGCAAGCATGTGGACCCCATCTCACCTGAAGACGTTCAAATCTTGTATTTCCCCAAGGATGCTGTGTTGGTCAGAGAAGGTGCCCATAACAATGGTTTGTTCTTTGTTATTGATGGTCTGCTAGAAGCCTCTATGACGCCTGCTGCTGGCGAAGATGTTTTGGGAGACAACAAGGGCAAGAGCAAGAAGGGCAAAAAAAGTCGCCAGTCTGTGCATCATCGCAAATCTCGTATCGTTGATTCTGATTTTAACCTGACACCCACATCCTCTACTTCCTCTGTTGCTCAGGCTGAAAAACATGCTGATCCAAGCAGGGTATCCAGTACAAGTGCCAAGCAAGACAAGGTAGTGGCCTCGGATGCTCCTGCTGGACGTTCCAATGAAAATGGCAAAAACGAAGATGATCAAGAAACAGCCAAGAAGCCCTTGTTCATTATCAAGCCTGGTGGTCTGGCTGGTTATTTGGATGCGTTGACTGGTTTCCCTAGTTTTGTAGAAATCAAGGCCAAAACTGATACCTATGTGGGTTATGTCTCCAAAAAGCGACTGGATCGTATTACTGACAAGAATCCTTCTGTCATGCTGAAGCTTGCCAATCAACTTGTGGGTCACGTCAGTCCATTGAGTGAGTACAGAGCCCCTGTCAACTTTTAATGATCTGATGTCTAATGTATGTTTGTCTAGTTTTGCACATTGATATTTCGTTGGAATGGATGCAAGTGAATGCTGGTCAGATTATTTGCAGAGAAGGCGAACCCAGTGATGCTATTTACATGGTACTTCATGGCCGTTTGAGAACGATTCATGAAAAGAAGGAGGGCGAAATCGAGATTTTGGGCGAATTTGGTCATGGCGATAGTGTGGGTGAACTTGAAGTGTTGAGTAAGTAGTGGTATTTTCATGATTTCTAGTTGACATTCAACTTACACTTGTCCAAATAGCTGGTGTTCCCACGTCGTCTACGCTTCATGCCATCCGTGATACTGAGCTTGCACGCATGCCCAAGACTTTGTTCAACGCATTGGCGCTTCGTCACCCTGAAATCACATTGCAAATCTCTCGCATGGTCGCTTTCAGATCGCTGCAACTAGTGATGCACAGAAACTCACCTGGCTCTGGCGGCTCCAATCCTTCCAACATGCTTCATCTCAAGACAAGTGCTGATGCATCTGCTGCCATCTCTTCCATCACGAGCAACGGCCCCAACAACTACCCCGAGCTGTATGGACGCAACAATGTCAATCTCAAGACGATTGGTATCATCCCTGTAAACTCCTCCGTGCCTATCTCTGAATTCGCAGAGAGTCTCAAGACCGAGCTGCTTCATTCAGTGGGTGCCACATGTGCTCTTTTGAACAGTGCTTCCGTAACCACCATGATGGGCAAATACGCCTTCTCTCGTCTCGGTAAACTAAAGATGGCCTCATGGCTGGCGGATCAAGAAGAGAAATACCGCATTGTGCTGTATTTAGCAGACAGTGGTGTCACTTCTCAATGGACGCGCACGTGTATCCGTCAATCGGATTGTATTCTGCTGGTGGGTCTGGGCGATGGGGATCCATCTGTGGGTGAATACGAGCGTTTCTTGATCAACATGAAGACCACAGCACGCAAAGAGCTTGTCTTGCTCCATGGCGAACGATCTTGTGCATCTGGTACGACCCAAAACTGGCTCAAGAATCGTCTCTGGATCCAGGCTCATCATCACATTTACATGCCCATGAAGCAACATGCTGCGCTCGCTGTCAATGAACGATTCAGACCACCATGGCTAGCTGAGCAAGGCCGCAAAATGACAGCTGGCTCTATCAACATGCTGGCCAACGTGAAGGATCAAATCAAAGAGTACTATTCTGCTGTTCCCAACTTTGGCCGTCTCTTGGATGTCAAAAAGACAAACACCAGTTCCATCAATGCCATGAGCTCTCCTGCTCGTAATGACTTTGCTCGTTTGGCTCGTCGTCTCTGCGGTAAATCAGTTGCTCTCGTCTTGGGTGGTGGCGGTGCTCGTGGTGTGGGTCATGTTGGCGTGATCCAAGCCATTGAAGAAGCTGGAATCCCTATTGATATCATTGGTGGCACGAGTATCGGCAGTTTTGTCGGTGGTCTGTATGCTCGTAACATGGATTTGGTCTCTGTCATTGCTAGAAGCAAAATGTTTGCTGGCCGTGTTTCCAGTATTTGGAGACAGATCATGGATCTGACATACCCTGTCACTGCTTGGTTTACTGGCCACGAATTCAATCGTGCTATCTGGAAGTGCTTGGGCGATAGTCAGATTGAAGATTACTGGTTGCCATTCTACGCTGTTACTACCAATATCACCTTTTCTCGTATGGAAGTGCATACTACAGGCTACGCATGGCGTTACATCCGTGCATCCATGTCCCTGTCCGGCTATATGCCACCCATTTGCGATAACGGCAACATGTTGGTGGACGGTGGCTACATGGACAACTTGCCTGTGTCGGTGGCAAAAGATATGGGTGCTGATATTATCATTGCTGTCGATGTTGCATCAGAAGACGACACCAGTCCTGTCTACTATGGCGACTCTATCAGTGGTTGGTGGGCTCTCCTGCATGGATTTAATCCCTTTAGAACATACAATGTACCCAGTATTGCAGACATTCAAAGTCGATTGGCCTATGTCAGTAGTGTTTCCAGACTGGAAGAAGCCAAGGTGACTGACGGTACACTGTATCTCAAGCTTCCTGTGCAACAATGGGGCACATTGGAGTTTGCAAAGTACAATGACATCTTCCAAAAGGGCTATGATGTAGGCCGTGAAGTTGTGAGCAAATGGAGGAAGGCCGGCTATGCTTCAGGCAGAATCTCGGAAGGGGATCAAGATGGACAATTAGCAGGAAAAGAAGTGAAGGGAAAGAGAGGTAGAAGAAATAGTATCTAAAGAGATACATTCACTCCAACATCAATATACACATGTACACATCTGTACACTTTCCACGCACATACTTTGTTAATCAATAAATTAATAATTACTTGTTATTCGCACTGACTTGCTGTTTGTATCAAACCAAAATCACACCAAATTAGTGCCACACATGACCAACCAGAACTCAAGATCTTCATTCATGCTGATATACAAGCTCCGTTTCGATTTACAGTTTCTGTAAAAAAAATCAGATAAAGGGGTAATAACATTTGGACGAAATGGGGTCTGATTTATTGCACCATGGATAACCAGCGATGACAGAAACAGCAGAAGCAGCATTTATATGCTGTAATTACTAATCTGCTAGCAATTCAAACAGAAACAAAAAGAATGGCCGTAATAAACAAACGATTTTTTTTTTTTTTTTTTAGGAATTTTATATTGTTTGCCAAACATTGTAATTTACCACAGAACAAGAGAATTTATATTTATAATTAAATGTGTAAAAGGAGAAAATCATTACTATTATTCGTTTTTTTTTTGTTAATACAAGTGTCTATTACATTAAACTTATTTTTTCCTCGTCATCTTCATCGTCTCCCTCTTCAAATGCTTCTTGTTGTTGCTCAAAATCGTCGTCGTCGTCGTCCTCCTCATTTTCAATGCCTTGTTGTCGTGCTTGCTCTAGCATCGCTTGTTTCTTCATACCAGTCAAAATAGAAGCAGCCTCCAACAGTTGCACTTGCTGATGCTTTGTAAGCGAGAGTTTAGAGGATGCTTCCCAGTATTCAGAATGCTCCCATTGATGTTTAAAGAGACTCTTGAGATGTTTGTATAATTTACCACATTCATCACAGCGATGCGTGTCTGATAGTGCAGGTTTCTTGCGCTTCTTTTCTGTTGCTTTGGATGAATTTTCCATGTCACTATGATCATCGTCGTCTGATGTGAATGGCAATAGTCTCTTTAACGAACCGGATGATGAAGATGAGGAAGACGAGGTGCTGGCTGTGAGAGATGGAGTTTTAGTGGATGCTACGCGGTGATCTTTGGGTGATTTAAGGGTATATGGGGCTTGCTGAATTGTATGTGGTTTTGAATGGTCTATTGTATAATTTTCTGATGAATCTGTTGTGTAATGTACTGCCGCTTTTGCTGACACTGGAGAGGTAGTAGTAGTAGTAGTAGTAATAGTAGTAGTAGTAGTGGTGGTGGTGGTGGTAGCTAATTCAAGTTCCCTCTCTTCTCCGCAAGATGAGTTGGGAGGCGATGGAAGATTGTTCTTTTCATGAATAGCAAGACCTTCGTTCAAAGTACAAGCAGTTGCAGATAGGCAAGTCATAATGAATAGAGTTGTGGTATGAGAGAAGAAGAAGAAGAAGAGGAAGAATTAAATAACATGGTCAAAGCGCTAAAAAAAAGTATAATTGTTTGGTGGCTTGTTTTTTTAAGGGTCATGAGCCATGAATTTGTGTGATGATAAGGGGGTTGCTTATAATGTGTGTTCTTGAGTCAAAAAGCACTGATGGACGTAATTTGCCACTAGCAAAAGAAAGAGCGAGGGAATTTTATAGGGAATATTTTTTTTTCCCCACTTGTTGTTGTTGTGGTTACACTGGTAATCGATTTCTGTATGCAAACATCAAGCCATTAAGGTTCATCAGCTTGTTGATTAGTCCCTAGTGCCATATTTCGCCTGTTTGAGAGCTATTGAAAGATGTGTATTTGAGTGCGATATTCACTGAACGGCCTTGGTGAATTCATTCAATTGTAGCAAGCAGATCAGCTTGATGACAGCCATTGCATCCGATACACAATGCTCTGGTTGATGTAGTTTATTAGGTAGTATATATATTTTTTTTTAGTTTATTTCTTGGTAATCTCTAATGCTGTTCCGTCATCTTCATCATCGCCGTCTACGGGAGTCGAGTCTCCACTAAAATTGATTTGATCTTTCTGCTGATCGCTCTTGATCTCATCTTTAAGAATCCAAGACATGAGACCTCGGATCGAAGGTCGCACCATGTATTTATCCTTGTAAACTGCACTCATCACGACCATGACAGATGCTGCAAATGCCAAGTTCTCTGCAGTTTCAGCTACTCTGTGCTCCCACCATCTTCCCTTTTGATGGGGACTGAGGATGCGTTCCGTGAATGAAAACAATGCTCTAGGGACGACATAAAGCGTCATTTCGCCACGACGATGCTTGCTTTCCACCAGCAGCGAGAGACCACACAGCATGGCTCCGACCAAGGGACCCAGGGTATCATCTAAGCGAGTTTGATTCACACCCAACACTTGATGGCCTATTCTTGTTCTGACAAGACAAATGCTGTACCAAATGATGGCAATGTAAGTTCCCAAAAATGTGGAAGATCTGACTGACGCTAGTAAGATGTGAATGATGGAGCTTGCGGGATTTTGAAGTAGACGAGATGTTCTAAAGAACAAAGGAGGGGCTAAATGCACAGAAAGATAGACCTGTTGACACAATGAATATAAACAAATAAACGACTGTATGTGTGTTTACTTACAGGGAAGATTTTGATGAAACCTTTGTAGAATCGACTTAGCGCATTTACTTCACAACCGTATGGATTTCCTTCATGAATCACAGAACAGTCGATTCTTCCAGACAGCGGATCACCATAAGATCTTGGTAGGCCCAACTTGACGCAATAATCGCCCAAGAGATGGCCAAAACCCGTATCTTTCTAGTACAGGCATGCGTGTCAGTGTCTCTTTACAGTGTGATTTCATATGTACCTACGCCATAGACCCACTCTCCTTGTCTGATGGCTCGCAGTGCCTTTAATAATCTATCGTCAATGCCTGACATGTTTGTAATCCAGCCAGCATAAGATCTATATGTAACATCAAGTCAGTGATACTACCATCCAATGTATTCCGAAACACACATGTTACCTGGGCAATCTCTCAGGTTCGTAAAACCATGAAAATATGATCTCTGTACTTGCCAGCATAAAGATGGCAATGTTGCCATACTCGAGTGTCCATTCTGGTACTTTTTGTCTCACCTGTGGAGAAGCGTAAATCCTGTGAGCAAAGACGTCAAACGCACGCACAAGCACAAAGAACGTCAAATCCAGCGTCTTGATGTTGGGATACAGGCGTCGAATCGACCACACACTGATTAAAGCAGACCAGAATATAGCAGATTTCTGAGAGAGCACCTCCTTCTTCTTGTTGAATACATGGCGCAAGAACTTTTGACCTCCAAATGATGCAGCAATCAAGACTGGAAAGCCGTTACTTGTGATACTCTTCTTGAGCAACTGAGGTATCATGGTGAAAATTGCTTTTTGAATAGCGCTTGATTTGCTCTTTTTGTTCAGCAATGCCTTGACGATGACAGAGGCCAGTGCTGGTGCTGTTGTCACAGACCATCCAACGCCATAAGCGCGTAGCAATGTCTTGATGGCAGGCTTCAGATCGCTACTCATGACGCTTTTAAAAATAAGGTAGAAAAGTAAAAGAGAAAGAGAAAAGAGGGAAAAAGCAATAAAGGAGTAGTGGGAAATATAAAACTCGAAGGTTACGCATAAACACATGAAAATTAATTAATGTTTTCAAGTTCTATACATTTGGAGTGGGGTAAACCAGTAGCTAGATCAATGGTGGAGGGGTAAATACGGGGCCCAACCCTGCTTCATCAAAGACGCTCGAAGCAATCGCGCTGATCATGCTGTAGATCCACACTAGATTTTCAAGACATAGGACCCAAGCACCTCAATATAGCCTAAATTTGACATATTCCATGCGTACTACCGATGCTTGTGCGGCGTATAATACAAATTTATTACGTGAATTACACTTTCAGCTAATCAGCGTTTCCAGTAATTGTAATACTTGTCGCCATTCTTCTTCATATTCTCGCTCATCTCATCCCATTTTGAATGCGGCAATCCTGTTGCTGGGTCAATGGATTTGATGTTGCGCTGTCTATCTCTGTCCTCTCGGAGCCATTGTAAGCACAAGGTTGTTAAGGGTGAATCAATACGCTGATCGAGCTTATGCTTCTCTTTAATGGCTTCAAATTCGGGAAAGTTGGAGACGTCGTTGATAGAGAGACATTTGCCATCAGCAACATGAGCAATGTGAGTTGCCCAATCACCTAGCCCATCAAAGATGTGTGTCGCATAGACCTGCCCATGTGTGTGTCAATAGTCAGCCTTATGGTGAGCCGTGCAATTACGCTAGACTTACAATAGTGCATCCTCTTTCTTCTGTTTCGATCTTGAGAAAGTTCAAGAAATCAGCTCTAGCAACCACGTCCAAGTCCACTGTAACTTCATCCAGCAGCAAGAGCTCCCAAGGATGCAACAATCCCATTACCAATTGAACGCGACGACGCTGGCCGTCTGAAATTTGGTGCATGCGCCATTTGACATCGACATCCAAGACATGTAAGAGTAACTCGGTGCGCTCAGGCCAGCGATGACTACCCATGCTCTTGAGCAAGTATTCGACGGATAGATCAGACTTGACAACCGGGTTGTTGGCCCATTCTGTACCCAAGTAAGTGATGCCCTATTGTATCTGCCATGAGTCTCTATAGGCCAAACAAGGCAAACATCTACTCACCTGAGGAGCATCCAAGAAGGCATCTTGGCCGAGCACTTTGATATCACCATGAATCATGCGCTTACCAGCCAAGATACGCAATAGTGTCGTTTTTCCTGCACCATTAGCACCTACTAAAATACAACGATTGCCTGCGTCTAGCTGTAAATCCAAATGATCAATGATGGGAGGACCGCCATAGGTAAAATAGAGATCAGCTACGTTAACAGAGTGCTCGTAATCCTTGTTAAATTTATTGGTAGACATGGGGGAATAGTTGTAAAAAGAAAAAGAAGAATGGAATACTGACATGAAGGTTAAATACCTTTTATGAGGCATCGGAAATCGGTGATTGATATCAGAATGTTGCAATTTCTTCGATTCCATATTCGTCATTGGGTCGTTTTGCAGCAATCGAAATCTACTGCAGATCGCAATCATTCATGCGCAGAAATGTCTCAAGAAGGGTTTAACTCTAACGGTGGGGTGACTTTTGCTATCACTTGGTAGATTTGACCGTACAATAGTTCTATTAGCATCATCCAGTAATAAAAAGAAACTAGTTCGAATGATTTCAGGTGCTGGAAATAGTGCCAAGTCGTGTAAATTGGGCGCTCTACTCTAGCACCCTTTGGGATGCTTCAAATTGGAAAATCTCCTCAAATATTTAAAATTCGGGCACGTATTATTATCCGTAAACGTAAACCAGATCCATGACTACTCTCTTCATAGTATCACATTGAATAGAGATGAGGAGCAATCTCACTTGGCCTATAAAATTGTGTTGTGTGGACATTTCAATTGAAATGGCTTCAAAATTCAATGCTTTCACGATATCAGATGTGATCAACTGGATTCGCCTTGAGATGTGAGCACCTAAAGATATCTGCCATTTGATCCTCATAATGGCTTACTGTTGTACGTGGTGGATCCCCAATCTTTCCAATTGTACGATAAATTAGAGAGCTGAGATGTACGCTATATACCAAATGGCTTGATATCTCATAACATAATAAATGTTCAGTCCCTGGACACTTTCAAAGCCTCAAAAAGGAAAGAAGTAGATCTGACAAGTATTCTAGTAGACTGGCGCTATTAAATATAGAACGCAAGAAGACAGCATGACTAAAGATAGTGTTATGTAATTTGCCACCTACTTTCTATACGCTTCAAAAGCATCTATTACTGTATCGCCTTCATGATGAAAAGGGCATTGAGTCTGCCAGCCTACCCATAAGCCAAAATCAATTCAAATCCAGACTCATGGTCTGTTCCAGATTGGCCAAACTAAAGCACTTTTGGACTCGATTGAGCTATTTTCACAGATTCGACTATATAAGCTGTGATGATCAGCCCGTACTTCCTAATATATTCTTGGAGTACTTTTCAAGGCGCATCCAATGGTGCCAAGTAAGTTAGATGTTTTAAATAAATTTATTGAGTAATTTACAAAAATATGAAAATAGGTTTCTGGTCTAAAAGTCGAAATCTTACATATCAAAGTCTCACAAAGATGATTTCAGAGGCTACGTTGGATCGATAGAAACATTTTGATTCAGGATATACCATAGGAAAAGTCTTCATTTTCAAGGTGAAAAACGCGATCGTTTGATTTTTGATGAAAACCATGACGGGGTACCTCATGCTTTTTGGTCGATTTTTGGCCATGTTTTTTGGGTCCTCAAAAAGTTGAGCAAAGGTATTAAAAATTAGCTGCCAGATGAGAGCAATTGTTTGGTGCTATTCTGATGGTCCAAAACGGTCTTTAACGCGAGAAAACACAGCTCAAATGCATAAAAAAAGAGAAATTTGACAGCTTTCAACCCTTAATATCTCGACATGTAGGTCTTTCTGAGCCACCAGAATAACTCTAAACAAATCTACTCGAGTAGCAGCAACTTTTTGATACCTTTGCCCAACTTTTTGAGGACCTAAAAAACATGGCCAAAAATCGACCAAAAAGCATGAGGTGCCCCGTCATGGTTTTCATCAAAAATCAAACGATCGTGTTTTCCACCTTGAAAATGAAGGCTTTTCCTATGGTATATCTTGAATCAAAATGTTTCTATCGATCCAAAGCAACCCCTGGAACTTTGTTTGTGCGACCTTCATATGCTAAATCTCGACATTTTGGCCAAAAACCTCATCTCGTATTTTGTGAAATTGTTCAGTAAGTTCAGTCAAAACATCTATTTTACTTGGCACCATTCGAAGTGCCTTGAAAAGTACTCCAAGAAGGTATTAGGAAGTACAGGTTGATCATTACAACTTGTATAGTCGAATTTTGCAAAATAGTTTAACAAAGTCGAAAAAAAACAAGATTTATCCAATCTTGAGCAGAAAAAATTCTGAGTTTGAACATATTTTAGCACTGCTAAAATATATGTAGTAAACACAATGCCATCAGATTCTCAATCACACAATGATAGTGCTTTTAAACTAATTATACTAGCAAACGAGGTTGTTTAATTCAATTAAGTATAAACGCTACATCTAAAAAAAACGGATCTATATATGTCAGAAAAAGAGGGGAAAAAGCGAGGGAAATGGTGATGGAAAAACTGTGTATTTACAAATTATTGATTTATTGACCACCGTAATAAACGTGTTGCACGTCAGCCAACTTCTTGCCTCTCATTTTAGCAATATCTTGAGGTTGCTTCTGATGCGACAAAGCTTCAAATGTTGCCTTGATGACGTTCATGGGTGTTGTAGAGCCTCTGACCTTGGCACTGATATCTTGCAAACCAATGCATCTACAGATCTCATGAACATAGTGATTTGTGCGAATGCCAAAGCCTGGAGGTCTTGAACGTAATTCCAAAGTGGTTGCATGAAATTTGTGTGTGAGATCCATTGCCAAAGTGCGATTGTCATAACGCTCAAAGTAGCGCATGTTCTTGATGGCTCTGTTGGTAGCTTTACGTACAGCACGGCTGGCTTCTTCGTCCTTGCCTTCACCATAGCCTGCTAATCCATTGCCATTGCCAACAACCACAAGCGCATACATGCTGGGCTGCTTACCCTTACCATTCATGTTGACAACACGTTTAATGACGAGTGCTTTCTTCATCAGACTGGCTTGTTCACCAGCACTGAGAGGCGAATCAATGATGTCTGTAACGGCATTTAACACAACTTCAGAAGGGCGATGTGAGGTGAATAATTTAGGCTGATCTAATGATTCTGGCTTTTCGGTGGGATAGTCGAGGATAGAATCGAGTTTATCGAGTTGAGGCACGTTGTCCTTGTTGAGAGCCTCATGTCTCTTTTTGTGTTGTCCATTGCTGCCGACAGAAGCATAATGACGAACTGTACAAGCTGTGGCTACATCCAATCCTGGTCAACATTTACCAGACAAACCATCCAATGTCCTCTTACCTGATGCAATTCTGGGAGCTGACACAAGTGTCAATTTGTTCAAGGATCGTCCAAGAGACAACATTTCAGAAAGATAGAGTTAAAAAAAAAAAAAGCGGAAGAGCAAGGGGCTTAATTTTTGACAAGGTGTTGCACCCAAGAAACCGCTTCAATCTCAACCCATCTTGGCCAGAGGGGGGAAGCCACCCATTTCAAAACTCCTCAAGCCGTCTTCTTTGCTGATGAACCCACATCCTCTCACCCACCTTCTACAGCTTTGTGACGTCAACGATGAGGAAGGCTGCCCTTCTCTTTGCGTTGTCGCTTGAGAGGGGGTCGAATTGTTTTGTCCAAAGAAGAAAAATAGCTTTCAAAAAAGAAACACCTCTTCTCTTCTTTACCCCCAACTCTTAGCAATCAACATCCCCCCCACTCTTTGTTTTATTTGTAAAATAAAATATAATGAACAACCTCAGAATCATTAGATCTTTGGCTATGAATATGCCTAATCGTGCTATGGGTAAATCTTTGGAGACATGCTTGTGATTTGGATTGGGCTATTTACCCCACTTTTTTTTTTTTTTTTTTTTTTCACCTTTAGGACCTCGTTTCGTAGCAGCACCCATTGTCAGTCAAATTGCTCAATTCAGCTCTACTCGTTTTGCTCAACACGCCTCATCCACCAGAGACATCAGCCATCAAATCAGTGGAAAGCCTCAAGGAGCACTTGATATTGCAGCCCAACATTTATTGTTGACAGAATTGATGAGAGGCATGTGGGTTGTGCTTGAAAACTTCTTCCGTCCTCCTTACACCATCTACTATCCTTTCGAGAAGGGTGCCATCTCTGCTCGTTTCCGTGGCGAGCACGCTCTTCGTCGTTATCAAACTGGTATGCATGTATTTGTGATGGCATCTTGAGCCTGTGACTCATGTGTTGACCTTGTAGGTGAGGAACGTTGTATTGCTTGTAAATTGTGTGAGGCCATTTGTCCTGCTCAAGCCATTACCATTGAAGCTGAGCCCCGTGAGGATGGTGCTCGTCGTACCACTCGTTACGATATTGATATGACAAAGTGCATGTAAGTCGTGGATTTTGCTACAATTGCGAATGGATGTTTAATATACCGGGATGCGTAGTTATTGTGGTTTCTGTCAAGAAGCTTGTCCAGTTGATGCCATTGTTGAGTCTCCCAACTACGAATACATTACCGAGACTCACGAAGAACTTCTCTACAACAAGGAAAAGCTTTTGGCTAACGGCGACAAGTGGGAAGCTGAGCTTGCTAGGTAATTTAAGTCTGCATCAGGCCGCCATGTACTATGAAACTAATCTCTCTATTTCTCTCGTATGTAGAAACTTGCAAGCTGAACATCCTTATCGTTAAACTATATAAACCCGTCAATAAAAAACAAGTCGATATACATATTTATACAATAATGAATTGCTACAATAAACAAGGGAGAAAATATAAAAAGCTAGGTTGAACATTTGGATCATGCAAGAGGGATCTACTGTGGATTGCGTGCACTTGAGCACTTGTCTCACAATTTACAGTATGTATTAGGGCCACAAATCCTTGGTCAAGCAATGTTTTTTTTTGCTTGCTAAAGTGGCATAATCAGTAAGCAAGCTACATTATATTCGGATGCTGCGTTTGTTTACTATGCTCAGCCATTTAAACTATGCTTTTCCATTTAGAAAATAAGATCCAGTGGAGACATTAGCTGTTCTTATCCGTGCATGCACCGTAAGCATTTTTTTTATTGATTACAGTTATTACATGTCTGAACAATAAGTGCCATGGGAGTTGATCTACATTGTATACTTCCCCATTTCCAACCACCTACTCTAGACAGAGCATTTGGCAGCTTCTCTACGAGATCCTGACAAACATAGTGGAAAAAGCAGATCTCTCATCAGAAACTGATGCTCATCATCATCCCCATGATAAATGCCATGGTAAATTATGGTTCTCTAAAAGCGTTTTATTTATAATACATTTTTCTTTACAAATTCTTTTGCAGCGTTCAATCCACGTTCATGATATACAGCGCCAACAAGAGCCAGGACAGTCTGTGATTTGACGGCAGTAGAGATGGTGTCTTGTGGCTACAGAGTATGTGTTAGAAGATCAACATTCAGCACCTGTCAAAATAACCAAATTACCAAATGACATTGCACACCAGCCTCTAAACCTAAAGCATCAAACTTGGAAGCCAAATGAGCAGGCCCAAACACACCGCTGACAGCCTTCTTTAAATCTCCAACACTCTTTGTCTTTTCCATATTAGCTTCCATAGCAAAAAATTCGAGAGAACGATGACCGACAAATTGAAGGCGTTCATTTGAAGGAACCTTGCCATGTTTGAAGGATTTGTGTGTCAAAGCCTGAGTCAATACACTAGGTGTCAAGTTGAATTGTTGTGCCATGGTTTGTGCATTGAAAGTGGAAGAAGCACTTTTCTCGGCGAGCAAAGATCGACTGATGTGGAGGGTACGACGGCTTTGTTGTGCTAGCAAATGATACATGCTTAACATTTCATAGTTGCCATTTGACATGCTTGATGTTTCTTACCTGCCATTTTAAGTGTGCTTGTTCTCAACATATTTGAAAGAGAGGATGACAAAAAAGAAAGGGAAAAATAGCAAGTTGATAGCTGGGGTAAATATCTAAAGGGGGGTGTGGGTGTGTGAGATGGAGGGCATGCTGGGAGTGGTGAGAGCAGTGGCTTTTCCATGAGCTTAAACCTCCGATTATATTCCTGTTGCTGAAAGACGCGTTTCTGTTGAACATCCAAATAGACAAATACCTTCTCTCTCTTTTTCAAATTAACATCTTGTAAACCATGTCTGCACCCAGGAGACCTAGAATCGACATTGACTTTTACGAGCAGCCAAAGACTATTGGTTATTTTGAATCCATCATCAACGCTCTGCATGTTGATTTAGACAAGGAGAATGCAGATACAAGCTTCAGCGCACCAGACTTGTCTTATTTCACAGCACACTTTCAAAAATTCCAATTAGACCACTTGGGCAAAGATGCTATGGAAAAGGCAAAGCGTCAGCGCAAGACACTGCCCACGAGCGTCCCTTTCTCTCTGTTTAATGTACATCAATTGGACCCTGAATCAGCACTATACTTTATTTTGAAGGCTGCCTACAAATTCAAATCGGATAACGCCATTGTCGATTGGAGGTTTGATGCTAAAGATGAGATCCCAACCTATTTGGCCATGGTGCAAGTCATTAAAAAGGCACTGCTTGATGCAGAATTCGACATCAGTATCCCATGCGTCTTGTTTGATGCTGCTGTAGACGAGCAAAAAAAACAGAAGCTAAGCTTACTCGTGGAGGCATTAGGAGGTAAGCGCTGAAACTATGTGAATCAGGATTGGCATCTAATTAGGCACACGATAGGTACTTTGGCTAAACGAAACTACGAAGCAACATTCATCGTCTACGACGAGGAAGCTGCTTTGGACAAACACCACAAAAACTGGAGAATCATCAGCAAAGAGCAACAGGATGAGAACGAGGATGAGCAGGCACTAGTTCACTGGATTGGACTCCCTGATTCGTACAACAGCAGACTGTCATTAAGCGCATGTCCTCAAGATAAACAGCAGGAAACAGACTTGCCACAAGAAAAGCAAAAGGCACCTTGGAACGTTGCGTCGAATTGGATAGAAGACAGCGCTAAATACAACGAATGGATGTCACCTTTAGATTATGTGATTGAGGAGAAGCAAAAGACACAGCTGCCCAGAAGAAAGCGACCCACCGAAGAGGAACTAGAGGAGGAAGAAGCCAAAAAGAAGCAAAAGACACCGCCACCCACGCAAGAAGACATTGCTCGTCAATTCATGCCAGTGCAGCAGCATGAAATCATCATCCCATCGTACGCTGCATGGTTCGATATGGCCACTATTCATCCTATCGAGAGTCGTGGACTACCCGAATTCTTCAACAACAGGAACAAATCAAAGACACCCACCATCTACAAGGAATACCGTGATTTCATGGTCAATACATACCGTCTGAACCCCTTGGAATACTTGACAGTTACCGCATGCCGAAGAAATATGACAGGCGATGTCTGTGCCATTATTCGTGTGCATGCATTTCTTGAGCAATGGGGTCTGATCAACTATCAGGTGAGTCTTTTTGCAGTGGCGTTGATCCAGCCTTGACTAACAGGAACATCCATGTAGATGGATCCCACTGCCAAACCAACCGCTATCGGCCCTCCTTTCGAAGGCCAAATCAAGATTGTCGCAGAATTACCACCAGGCCTCAAAAAGAGCATCAAGAATGAAGCAGAGGATGTCGACATGCCAACTATCACCACACACCATACATTAGGCAACGAAACGGATTCAAACGAAGCAGAGCTATCCAACGACGTTCCCAGCACGACCACCGCCAAAGACACTTGTAAAAAGACCAACCCTACCTTAGATTTAAATTTAGATTTGCGTGTCGACATTTACGAAGCAGCTGCTAAAGCGTACCAAGAAAAGAAAAACAACGAAACCTGCGCTTCTTGCAAATCAACATCAAAAGACGGCTACCATCACGACACAACATTTGTCTGTTCAACTTGTTTCGAGGCTGACAAGATACCTGCTAATACCAAAAAAGAAGATTATATCAAGAAGCAGCTGCCGCCAAAGGAAGAAGCATGGACAGAGCAAGAAGACATGTTTTTGTTGGAGGGTCTAGAAATGTATCCTAATGACTGGAACAAGGTCGCTGAGCATGTGTCTACAAAGAGTCGTGAAGCTTGTATCTTGCACTATCTCAAACTGCCCACAGCCGACCCTCGCATCGATCCTCAAGTCAAGCGTCTGGGATTATTGGATTTCAACAGAAAGGATCATGTTGAAAACCCCATCATGTCTGTCGTCGCCTTTTTAGCCTCCAATGTCAAACCCAAGGTAGCAGCGTCTGCTATTCGTGATGTTGAAAACGACGACGATCAAGACATGGAGTTAACAGACGATCAAGCACAAGTGGACTCGTTACAGGCAACATACACGCTGATTCAAACCAAGATTGCACAATTCTCATCACGCATGTCAGGATTTGAAAAGATGGAGACATTGGTGGACAAGGAACGTCGCCATCTAGAAAAGGAGCGATTCCTGATCCGTCAAGAGCATTTCGCGATACGCAATCAAATGGACAGCATTTATGGACGCATGTTTCAAGAAAGACAGGCTAAATTATTGAAAGAACAGCAGCATAAAATGGCATTGGAGTTACAGCAACAGCAGGCAAAGGAAGAGCTGATGCCAGCTCATGCTGTTGTGAGATTACCTCATGAAATGTTGTCGCCAGAAGAATTGGAGGTTCAGAATCAACTAAGAGCAAAATACCCAGTTCAGTATCTACAAAGACAACATGCTTTATCTACGCAATTACAACAGCAACAGCAACAGCAACAACAACAACAACAACAACAACAACAACAACAACAGCAACAGCAACAGCAACAGCAGTAACAACAGCACAATGCTAATTACCATGTTCAAACACAACAACTCTAATCTCATATAATACTCTCTACCTCCTTCCCCCCCCCCTCTTGATTCATCTCTTATTACATATACAACAGTGACCAATGCTCCCTCTCTTTTTATCAAAAAAAAAGAATAAACACTTCATCTTGAAAACATGTTTATTTGTTGTAAAAGTTATTGCGTTTCAACTCCATAGCAGTCTTGTAAGGTGCTGTAATGGGTGGTTGTAATGGATCCAGTGCTTTGTAAGATGATGTTAAGGGGTACGTTCTGTCAGCATCGTAGCCACTAGGATATATATTGTCAATATACTTGATACACTCGCCAAAGACAGTAACTTACTTGAGATCACCACATGCAATAAAAGGCACAATGGTTCTATTAGGGCCTGTCAATTCGTTCATGCCATCGTACTGTAAATCCAAGAGTGGATTGGCCATAGTAGGTGTATAATCAGCAGGTGGTTGATAATTCTGACACACAATGAATGCTTCGATACTGGAATTACGAGAGCTTCTAGGTTTGCTGCAGGTGACAATTGGGAAGAAAATCTTGAGTTGACTGTACAGTAATGTGATGTCTTTGCCTCTGAAAATCTTGGCTACAAAAGTGCCTCCAGGACGAAGGACATGTGTGGTGATGTTGAGTGCCTACCAACATGTTTGCATAAGAATCAATTTTAGTTGCATAAATGAGACGTGATCAAAACAAGCTTACAGCGAGCAACAATTGTGCTTGAATGTATTCATCCATGTCATGAAGACCAGTAACTAATATACATGAAATCAGCAAATGCAAACAGGCAAAAAGAAAAAAGCACGCCTTACCATCGGGTGCACCATCACAGATGACAATGTCTGCCATACCACCATCAAAATATGAAATGATTTTCTCGGCTGTAGACTTTTTAGTGATATCACCTTGGAGTTGAATAACGCCATCCAAAGGCGCCATTGCTTGCAAATCAACTGCAACAATCTTGGGCTCAGGCTCCTCTGGTGTTTGCTTGTGGTTTTCACTGTAAATCCAATTGTAAATGGACAGATCCAAATCAAATGCTTATCGTGCGTGTACCTTAGACGCTTTGACAGTACTTGAGACCAACTTCCTGGAGCAGCACAAAGATCTACAGCCCTTTGGACACCTTGCAAGAAATTGAATTCTTCATCCAGCTGTAATAATTTGAAGGCACTTCTTGCCCGCCATCCTTCTTCTTTGGCGAGACGATAATACTATATTAATGGGTTAACCAACAACTCAAGGTCTTTTGTCATGGCACATACAACATCTCTTTTGTCCTTGGATGATTTACCCATAATGTGATTTCTGAGAGGTTAAACAAGTCGAGGAAAAAACTCCAAATGGGAGTCGTTTTGACATTAGGAAAAGTAGTCATAGGAAGAGTAAGAGAAGGAGGTTCATTGAGATGATCAATGGCTATGTTTATTTACAAAGTGTATGGAGGATAAAGGTTTTATAAATCTTCCTTCTCGGGAGGAGGACCGCAAGGCTGAAGCATTTTCTATAGTACAAATTCGTCGTTAGGATGGATACGCAGTGGGTGTTCATTCAACACTTACCTCTAATAAATTGAGTTTGACACGAGCCTTGCATTCATTTTGAGCTACGGAGATGTATGAAAGCATAGAGTTATGGCCTGCAAATGAAGCAAGCGAATCTCTGTATTGGTTTGTAGCCCACTCACTAGTAGTTGCTTAGTAGCATTCCATAGTGATCTATTTTAACGACTTACTATTTCACAGTATCAGCATGTCCAGTACCAACATATTTTGATTGTACTAGAACAAAAGCAGAAGATCAGCATTTCGTAATGACACACAATGCTTCATACTCACAGTGCTCAATTTGACTATTGATGTTGAGACGATCCTGCATACTGCGTCAGTAACTTGGCCTTCCCATAGTATACAGATACTCACCATTGTTTGAATGTAACTCAAAAGGCAAGTAAAAGACGAAAATGTATCTGGATGGAGTTGCTGAACCAAACGACGCAGTGACTCTGTAAACCATCCAATGACCAGGTGTATCTGGTGTGCTACTTGTTGCGCCTAGGCCAAACCATGACCAAGAAAATGCATTTCTCTATTGGAACCACCTTCATTGAACACATATCTTGCGAGATTGAACGGTTTGCCATTCTCATTCTATGCAAAAATTGCTTATACAGTCGCTAAATCGCCTAATATGCGAAAATTAGCAATAATAATCGTCCATCTCCTCAAGTCTATCCATTTGAAAATGAGATACACCTGTAAATACAGTAGCCCCGTCTTGGTTATGTCGAAAAAACCATTTGCCATCACCACCCTACATCCTGGAGAAGAAAAGCAGGGCTTCCAGTGCGTACATCCACTCTAAATGAGGATATTTCAATGGCCATTTCTGATCGCTGTAGGCCTTCATATGCTCTCAGATCTACCTAGATCGATTCCTGGCAACTTCTAGATACTTCCTGATGTCCTGGTTCATTTTTTTTTGGTCGAAATTTTTCATCGATTTTGGCTCCAATATCTCTTGCTTAGTATAAGGCAAAATTCATGAAAATCACAAATTGTTGTTTTTTCTCCTCGAAATCGCGACTTTCGCTAGGATGTATACTAGATCAAAACCTGTCTAGCGACTACACGCATTCGCTGAAACTGTTTGGTCTGCTATTGTTTAATCGAAATCTTGATTTTTGACCGAAAAGCTGAATTTCGCTTTTTCGCGTCCTTCTCGAGATACATCGCGTTTAAAAACAATTGATTTACACCGTTGGAATCAGCTTTTTATGGCAAACTGATATAGCTTAGAAAGCATATAGGTGTTACTAAATAAACTTTTGAGCAATTCGATGTTGACATTTAAAAATGCTCATTTTTGGAGTTTTGACCAGATCGAATTTCAAAAAAAAAAAAAAAAAAAAAAGAATAGCAGCGGAATTTAAAATTTCGACGCCTTGCCACTGCAGGCACAGACTGACAGCAGTGCTTCAAGCAGGCATATGGCAACCGATGGATGATAGACAACGAGAGGGCTTTATTGAAACACGATATCACTTCATGACATGACCTTCACTTCTTTGTACACTTCCAGAATCTGAAATAATTGATCCTTCCCAGGATATTTGTTGCTGTTGCTGTTGCTGATCATCTGTCAGGTACAGTTGACTCATGCCAGATGTAGGATCGTATTGATGATGATGAGAATGCAGTGTGGAAGTTATATTAGCAGCATTCATAGCAGCAGCAGCAGCAGCAGCAGCAGCAGCAGCGGTAATAGCAGGATTGTTGGGATCCATCATGATTGCATCTTCATCTCTGCTGGATGGTGTCATCATCATGCCCATACCCGAGGTGATGGGTGATACCATGACGTTGTAAGGTGATTGCTTGTCGCTTGGCATGACCATTTTGTTTTGCACCATCACGACAGGTTCTGTGACATTGGGAGAATAATAACTACCTTGTGGATGCTGCTGTGCTTGCTGCTGTGGATGTTGTTGCTGTCGTTGTTGATGAGGCGAATTTGAAAATGTATGACGACGCATTCTACCAACTACACTAGCATTGCCACTATCAGCAGCGGGAGAGGGGGATATCGCCATGTCACCATGATGATTTGGCGGTATTACAGAAAGATAATTGGGGGTTTGATTTGGAGGTTGCATCATGTCCGCTTGATTGTGAGGAGGAGGATACATGTGAGTATCATAGGTGCTTTTACTGTTTGCATAGTACATTGGCGATTGACCTTGTTGAGGGGAAGGCGTCAGTTGTATCTGTGGTTGTCGAGGAGACGAGTGCTGAGATGATGACTGTTGTGGTTGTTGGCTCCAACTCGAGATGGGCATTTGTTGCTGTTGCTGTTGTTGGTAGCTGGCATATTCTTGTTGAGCCATCAGTGTTGCTAATTGAGAGGGATCCGTAATGGATGCACTGGATTGATACAAGGCAGCAGATTCACTGATCGAAATGGGCACTGAAGACAGTGTATTTCTTCGCACTTTAGACTTTTCCGGTTGTATATACATGTTGAGTTGTTGTGGTTGCTGTTGTTGCTGTTGTTGTTGGTGGTGGTAATGATGTACAGGAGCAGACATGCGTTTTTCAGCTGTGGTCGATTGATGGCTGTAATACTTGGAGAATTCCTCAGAGGGAGACTGACTGGATAGCTTTTGAATAATGTCCACAGACAACATGTATTGTAGACGGGCAGATTCTCGCATGGATTTATCATCAGCATGAGCCATTTCGTACTTGTGAATAGTGCAAGCCATGGCCAAGCAGTGGATGGTATGTTGCACACCTCTCGCTGGATAACTAAACACATATCTCGGATACGATTCCAGCAAAACGTCTGCAATGCCAGTGATGTTTGATGCTGAGACGGCGCACAGTTTTCGATGTGGAAAAGCAACAAATTTGTGCTCCGTTTCAGGTGGTGGATGTGTTGCGTATGTGCGATGCAGTAATATGACGCTGAAGTGGTATGTTATGTGTAAGAATCCAATGAATGGATCACCAAGAGGCTGCTTTTCAGCAGGGTAGCTGTCGAGATCCTGGGTAGGCGCATAGATCAACGACGGAGGCACTTCGTACAAGAAGTTTTCCAAATGTGTGTGCAACGAAAAGAGCCTTGCTTGCTCCTCAATGATTTGATCTTGGGTTCTGCTGTCGCCTTGTGCACGCTGTCGAGAGTAGATTCTTCGGGCCATAGCATAGATATCAGACAGCACCTTTCCCAATTGAATAAAGATGTTCTGATTGGTGATCAACTCCTCCAATGCGGGGCCTTCCTCACCTGTCACCAAAGGAAACCCTGTAGTACATTTATGCACGTCAAAATAAGTAGCATGTCCTTGTTCAATACTCATTAAAAGATCATACATGAAGGTAGCCCAAAAAGTTCTACGCTTGGCTTCAATGTCATATGAGTCCCCTTCCAGCTGACCGAGGCCAAGGTCATTGCACATTTGGCTTGCCATGCGCAAGTAGGTATAGGATCGATAAAAGTAGCCTGGACGCTGGTGATATTCTTGGTATTTGACGAGCAACACGAGCGCTTGTACTGTGCTAATGCGCGGGGAATCGATAAACTCATCCAGTAAATCAAGCGCTTTTTGGTAAAAGGTATATCCCGGGGGTATCGTGGCGTTTGTGCTGGCAATGATGTCTGGGGACCATCTGGAAGCAACAGCACACATGGCGTAGACAAGCAACCTTGATGGCGAATTGGTTGTGCTATGCATTTGCTTCAGGAATGACGGCTTGTGGATCATGGGCACGTATTTGTGAACATGCTCAAAGTAAATCTCTGTCAGCGGTTGTAGCTCCTTGAGAATCGCTCGAGAGGAGAGGTGATCGGGCACAGGTAACTCAACTGATGTTGCAGTTACTGACTGATCGGACAAAGAGGCAATCTCCGAGAGGGTATCATTGCTGTGCTCTTGCTGTTGTTGCTGATGGTGGTAGTGCTGCTGTTGCTGCTGCAGAGTGGGTATACGATCGGTGCGTTCTTTCAGATCATTGACATACACAGCTTGGCCTATTTCGTTGATAGTGAACCGATCCATGTTGGTAAAGGTCATGTCAGAGGTATATGGCGCTGAGTAGGAAACAGTATCTGCCAATTTCGAGGTGAATATTTTCGTTTCCAAGCTTTTCATTGTTGCTTAATTTTCTTACCGTTAAGCGACAGAACAGGCTGCTGAGACTGGTCTGAGGGCGGCTGCTGCTGCTCATCAAACATCTTTTTAATCGGGTTGGCCATGGATTTGAGAGCCTTTTCAACGCGTTGCAATCTGTTCTCTAGATTTTCCATGTATTGCTTTGGAGGTCCTCGCTTGGGTGGCAATTTAGCAAACACACATTCTGCATTGGATTTTCTACATCGACCGCAAGGCTGAACGCCATCGCACTTGACCTACAACATTGTCAGTCTCTACACCACGGGCAGGAAAAATTTTCTCTGCAAGCGCTCACCTTTCTCTTTCGACATTCATCGCACGCTCTGCTGATTTTAATCCGCTTGCTGCCACTCAACGATTTGGTTCTCAGGGAGAATAAACCACCAACCTCCATGTGTTTCTTGAATATCGACAGATTGGATATGATTTACAATGATATGTCTCGTTGAAATGGGTATTTTATATACAGAGTATACAAAATCTGCTTCTATGGCGATAAATAGGGTATACAAGAACAGCTTTTTGTTGGAACTGCTTGGAATTGAACAAGACTCGCACAAAAAGACAAGGGTGGAATATGTATAACAAGAGAAAAAGAAGAAGAAAAAAAAAAAGATTGTAGTAGTAGACAGTGTGGGTCAAATAAAATTGATCGAATCAGATAGAAATCTAATTCACAAGAGGCTGGGTTCGTATTGACAATAACTTGCAATGGTTTCGAATCAACCCTCTCATTTTTATTCTGCTCCCAAATAACCCAACTAGGCTTGCCTGCTTTGAGGCTTGATCTCTACACCTGCACTAGAGGCAAAAGCTCGCATGACATCTGTAATGGATACAACACCAATAGCTCTTTCTCTCTCATCAATGACCCATACGCGGTGAGATTTAGTTGCCAGCAATTTGGCTACAGCGAATCCCAAGGTGGTATCCAAACGGACATCAAACACAGGTAATCGGTCCTATAATACACATCGGTACGTGCTCCGAGAAGAACTCTTGAAGTAAACATGCTCACATACCTGTCCATCATCAATGCCTTGCTGCGTGCGCACCAAACTGACAAATTGGAAGCAAGTTTTCCATAGTAACTGATGTCTGTAGCTCTTCATGACATGCTATCAAGTAAGTGAATCACGTTAGTTGCGAGTCATATTATTAATATAACTGAGACATGCTCATTATGGCAGTGGCTGATTTAGTTTAATTATTTTACCTTGACGTCTGTCATACTGATATTACCAAGCACCACGCCCATGTGTCCCAACACAGCGACAGACGAAATGCCATGCTTGCCTGGTTTTCATGTTGTCAGACCCTGTCTTTCTCTCATTCACACAGACTTACTCATCAATGCAAGTGCATCAAGAACAGGAGAATCCGCATTCACTGCAATCACATCAGATACACCCAGGCCCAATTGACGCAACTAACAAAGACAGTTCAACCATCCCATCCCATAACAGAGACTGTAGCAACACACTTACAGTCTTATTCATCATGCATTCAATGTCTGGGAAATGTCGCTGGTTGTCAAAGATGTATTTCGCAACTGTTGACTGAGACAATATACCCTATAGATCCAACTTGAGCACAACCATTCGTCCTGTTTGAATATGCTAGCTTACCTTGATACTGCCATCTGGATTCAATACACAAACTACACCCACATGTTAAACATATAGCCACAAAAAAAAACCCATCTGTTGTACTACACATGGAACTTTTCTTTTCCTACCTCTGTGAGTGCCATATGCAAATTCCTCAACCGCTGATAACAATGTTGCTTCGGGCATTATGGAATAGAATGGATTCTTTTGCGATAGATCTACCAGCGTAATTCGTGAAATCAGTGAATGATGTCCAAATTCATGCAAAAAGCAAGACTCTTTACCACTGGCTAATTTGACGGGTACTTCCTCTCCTTCCAAGGCACGACGCACAATGTCTTTAATTTCAAAAGTCAAGTTTTCTCTGGCTTGAACATCCAACTCCTCCTCCTCATCGCCTGGGGGTGGCATATTTTGAAGCACAAGCAGGATATAAGCGATAACATCTCCATAGTCAAACATGCCCACATAAGAGCGGGCATGGACAATGGAAGTCTCTGACGCTTCCTTTACTTGTGCGTCATAAACAGGCGCAGACGATATGTTGTTGTTGATCAGCACATTGCAAGCTTCTTCCACCGGTAAAGAGCCCTCACTATGGTCCTTATCAGTTGATGGATGTCCAACGCGCGTGCGTGAGAGCCTGCTGTTGCTGGCACTTACATGGTAATCACTTCCTGGTCTTTGACGAGTGTGGATGCTTTGACCATGGTCCAATCACTTGGAGTCGTTGTAATTCCTTCTCTGTGTGCCATCTTATTATATTGACTATGTGAAAAGTAAAAAAAAAAAAAAGAAAAGAAAGAAATCTGATTTTACATGTCCATGGAAATTTGTTTTCACTTACATCATAGAGCCATGTTGAATGGCCAATCACATCACTTGTTTTAGCAATGGAGCATCTGGTTTCATTTGCTAAACATGCATTTCAAAGGACTCTATCTCTCTCACTGGCATAGCCTGCAGATGTGCCTTACAGCATCAGCAGCGCTTTGATCTGAGAGTGTGCTTTTTTTTCCATGTAGCCTTGATACAGCGTCTCGCAATAGATTGACATGCTGCATAACTTAAACTCACATTTGGATTTCGCAATCTGATTCATTTGAACTAGTAAAGTTGTATGGCCTTGCTACAGAAAAGATCAAACCATCATGTCTTTTCAACGTTTGATAGCTACGCTTACTAGCTCAAGACATTACTGCTGATCTATGATGCAAACACAAGGTCAATTGTCTTCAACATTAACATGTTTTTGTGTGACGTACATGGTTGTGCACCGTACACACAACCCAAGACGCATTATTTAACCGTAGTAATGGTTCATCTCATCCTTTTTCTGTTTCTCCACACTTTTTTTTTTCTTGACTCAACATGGCGGCAGCGTTTGGCTTTTGCAGGAATGCTTTCTTACGGCACGTCAAGCCATCCATGCCAATCGCGGCTCGACAGGTGTTTAGACAAACTCGAACGTACGCAACGCCATCGCGTTTCCCGCCTATCAGATATAGACCGCCTACCCAAATGTCAGATGGATACAATCGCTTTCAACACAATCAAAAAGTTCCACTTTACATGTCAAAGAGAGTGTGGGTCTTTGTTGGTACTGGCACAGTTATTTATGGAGGTTATTATGTAAGTCACCTGGAGAAAGTGCCCATCAGTGGTAGAACTCGGTTCATCAATGTGACGCCTCGACAAGAAGAAGGTATGGGATAAGCAATGAAAATAGGAACCAGAGTTGTATTGACAGCCCGTTTGATTAGCGATGGCTATAGAAGCTTACAACGAAGTGATGCACCAGTTTGGTAGACGAATCCTGCCTGCTAATCATCCCTATACCTTGTTTGTCAAGCGAGTAGCGAAGCGACTGGTACAGGTATCCGGCATGGAAAACATGAAGTGGGAGTTTTATGTGGTTGATTCGCCCGAGAGAAAGTAAGTTTGTTATATCAACGATGGATGTTACGGGTGCGGATGACTCATACTGTACGGAAATCAAGTGCTTTTGTTTTACCGGGCGGAAAGGTGTTTGTGTTTACTGGTATTCTGCCCATCGTTAAAAATGAAGGTAAATTTAGAGGGCGGAAGGTCGTTCATGCGCACAGAGCTTTGACAGATTCATAGACGGTATGGCCGCTGTTCTGGGCCATGAGATTTCGCATCAATTGGCCAGACATAGTGCTGAGAAGCTCAGCTTTGCCAAACTACTGTTGGCTCTACAATTCACACTCGCATTCCTGGGCATCGATCCATCATTTGTATTTAACCGTTTCTCGCTGAACTTTTTGATGATGAAACCATTTTCAAGAAAATGTGAGACTGAAGCAGATGATATTGGCTTGCAGTTGATGGCATTGGCTTGCTTCGATCCAAGAGAGGCAATCAATGTTTGGAAGAGAATGGAGGCTGTTGGCGAGGTGGATATTCCTCAATTTGCTAGTACACATCCAAGCCATAAAACCCGTATTCAACATCTTACAAAGGAGGTAAAGTTGGGCCCTGGTGATGCTATTGTATAATGTGCTGAATGTTATTTTTATTGCAATTAGTTGCCTGCAGCATTGGAAAAGCGTTCTCAGAGCGATTGCTCCAGTGAGATGCGATCTTTTGCTGATCAATTTAGAGACACTTGGGTTCGTTGGTAGACTACTGTTTGATAACAGTCGTGATACACTTTGTATATTGTTGTTTAATATTGTGCTATTTACTACCAAATAAAACTCCATCAAACAAAATTTCACGCAATGGTGGAGATGAAGGCTGTCTGAAAGTGGGGCATGTGATGAGACAAGTGCTGAATTATACAAATGCCAAAACCCGGTCAAATGTCAGTTTCTCTACTTTGAATCCTACAAAAGTTGGGGATAGATATGCTCGCAATGGCTATGGATGTTGGGAACCTTAGATCATGTTGAAACATTCCACTATTGAAATACCAGGATGATTCCGTATACATAGCAAAAGATTGATTTTATATGGAGAATATATCTTTGGCAACAGCTATTTTGTCTTTTATTGCTTCCGATTACACTTTTACATTGAAATTGCCTAACACACGCTTCGAACCCGGGAAGTCGGATCAAGGCTCGATATTGATACTAATGTCTAATCACACACACATAGATTAGTATGGTACATCTCCTAACATTGCCACCATTAAGCATCGACTTTCTTCGCTCCAACTTTTATAGTAAATTGAATGAAAGCACATTACAATCAACAACTAGCTTCATACACGACTAGGTTAAGGGCAACATCTTGATTGGCTTAGAGCTACCAACAAAAGTATAATTGGACAACTTGCTTTCAAACAAAAAAAGCATAATCCGTTGCTTTTGAAGAACAACCTGACCGCAGTATTGTGTTTGTAGCAATAAAACAAACAGACAGCCATAATCTCAATCCATCTCTTAATGCAATATCACTCTACCAGGTACAAACAATGAACGCAAGATTTATTTATCACGAATTTATATACAAAGTTTATTCGAATCAGAAAAAAAGTCAACATCTGACTTTCTATTTCATGCTATTTCAAACAGATCAACTTGGTTTGTCTCTACTCTCCTCTCTCTTTCGTTTATTTTACTCTGGAAACCAACAGCTGGTAATCGAGCATCAAGAATTACGCATCATCTCTCAACTTTTTTCTTTTACTGATCTCTGACACACGAGCCGTCCACATTTAGATAACAGACAAGTAACATCGATTAAATTACAGGGCCAAAATCAAGCATTTGGGCCAGTATAGCGCAGAATGGGAGTTGTACTGTCTACACTGTCGTTCGACAAGAGGTTTGTAGATACCTATCAATTCGTGTAGCATAAATTTGACAGCATGATACAATGTGGATAGGAGGGGAAGAGGTCTGGACGACGTCACTGAGGCTCCGCTTGATATCAACTCGCACAGGAGACTTCCTAATATGAAGAGTGAGGAGTTCCCCTCAATAACTGACGAACCTTCTATGTCTTCCTCTATTATCGAAACAACTGTATTAAACCAAGACCACAATATCAACGAACAACATAATGTTACGGGTAAGTACTTTGATCAAATACCGGCAAAGAGCCCAACAAGGTGCTTTTTTGATTTTGTCCATTTCCTCATCATCTTGGCTTTTTGTAGACATAACTACCAAGATTAAAATACCCAAAAGAGCTTGGTCAGCATACCATTTATTCCATTTTCCAGACAACCTGAAGAACAATTCCATCATCAACTCTCCAAAATTGATCAAATCACCGAGGATTCGACCAAAACCAAAAGACATTTCAGAGGAAGAAGACGAGGACGAGGACGAAGAAGACGAAGAAGACGACGAACCAGTTGAAATGGAACAGCTTATAGCAATGATGCGAAACCACAAAGTATCTGATGAGACATCCTCATTCAACTTTAACTTTGGTACAGGTAAGACCAACAGTAGAAACAAGATGCTATCTATCGCTTCTCCTCCACCACCACCGCCTTCACCAGCATCGCAATCATCAAGCAGGAGCAACAACAACTGGTCTCCATCTCCCGAGTTTAAGTTTTCGTTTTCAGCCAACATACCACAAAAGAACCATAATTATGGTATGATGATCCTTATGTGAAAAAAGTGAGTAGTAATGAACTAACAGGGATCAATACATGCAGTGGACTATTATGCAGAAGAAGAAGATTTGGAGTTCTTTCAGGAAAATCAGCAGCAGCAGCGAAATCAAACTGCAAATGCCACTGACTACCATCATCACATTGCGCATCGCAAGATCCTACCTATGCCAAAGCCTCGTTGGAAGAGATCCAGTGATAGCGACAGTGATTCCAACAAATCAAAGAGCTCCACCAACAGCAATCATAGCAGCACTAACTGCAACAGCACCAAAATATTTAATATACCAGCAGTGAATGAAACGGCAGATCAACGAGACAACTCAAAGAAACTGAAATCATCACCAAACGATGCGAGTATCGTCCAGCATCCCGTCGTGGACAACAAACGAAAAGAGAGAAATTGGAAGGATCATTTCGGCACCACGGCAGAAGTGGCTGAATTCAGTAACCATGAATTCTATGCTCTGGATAAGAAGAAATCGACCGTTCGCTTTGGATCTCCCTTAAAGAAAGAAATGGCAGTAAATCAACGCTACTCGTCTGCACAACAGACATCCCCGCCACCACCACCCGCTACTAGTGCTCTATCCACGCCAGCTACTTCCGTCAAGTCATCCATCCCCTCGCCCACTGTAGCAGCCGCAGCCGTACTCTCCACTACCACTGTAAGATCAGCATCTACACTCGCCATCAAAAAATCGGTTCCTAAAAAAAAGGGGGGCAAAGTGCAGTCATTACCACCACCTCCTCCACAGCCAAGCTCATCTTCTCCATCCACATATACCAAAAAGACTAATAACAACACTACTACCACTACCAAGAATAAGAAGAAAGCTTCCAGGAAGAAGTCGAATAGAGAGGAAATAGCGCCAGGCGGATTTTTATCGTCAGATATCACACTGTTTGAGAATCCCATTTCATCGGATGACTGGATTTGTCTCTTCTGTCAGTACGATATCTTGATGCTCGGTTATGAAGATGCAAAGAGAAAGAATGGTTATTACAAGAGACAACGCGAAAAGAAAAAGAGAATTAAGGATGCAGAGTTACGAAGATTGGGCGGTGCCTTGAGTGAGTCTGAGGAGGATTATCATGACCATCATCACCATCACAATGAAACCTGCATTCGCAAACCTTTGTAAATTCACTATATCTGCTTGATCTCCAATCATTTGTATATTTCTTTTTAACCCTTTCTTTCTCTGAACCGAATACCATTCTCTTAATATCTTTTTATTTTATGATTTTGCGATAATAAACATGCAGCTGCACGTTATAGCACGCAGAGTCATTAGGTATATCTGGAGCTACTTGCGTTGGGTTTCTTTGTATTCACGAAGCAGAAAACGAGCTTCTTCTTTTGCAACCGCTCTGTCGTCCGGATTGTTGATGGTAAACAAGGTTGTTTCACCATTAGCGTCAACCAAGGTTTGGTCGTGCGCTTCAAATCCAGAGATACATGCAGCATTTTCAGTCAATACCTTGTATGAAATGCCGTCCTTTTTGATATCTTCACTTGTGTCATCCAACGAGATCAATTCAATATCCTCTGATGGCAAAGTGTAGTATTTGGTAAGATCGTTTTTGGCGATAGCCAAAGATGCTTTGTTGTCAATGACTCGTCTAATGTCAGTGCGAGTGAGTTGGCATTGCAGATATCGTCCTGTGTATCCCCCCTTCTTACCTTGAAATACTCCTCTTGTGGATACTTTGAGTAAAGATTCTTTCTTCAATGGTAGACGATGTTATCAATCTGTACACAAACACTGGTTTAGTCTGACCATAACGAAATATGCGGCCAATACTCTGTTCATCATAGAGAGGATTCCAATCTTGATCTATGAGCACAACACGGTTGGCAGCGGTGAGATTAATGCCGATAGCAGCAGCCTTGGCAGACAGCAGCATGACACTGTAACTTTCATCGGACTGAAATCTATCTACTATAGTTTGTCGCTCTGATCCAGGAGTTGTACCATCGATTCTGCATAATTTAGATCCAAACACGGGCAACAACTTTTGCACATAATCTATACAACATGATATTCAGTATAGTCAGACAGCAATAATACAATTCATACTTACCCAAGCATGCAATACTATGAGATACAAGCACCACTTTATCCTTGACAATTTGACATTCTTTGACTAAATCCACAATAAACGACATTTTCCCGGAAGCCTTCCATGATTCAATATCAGCTTTTTCAAGGTATTCGATTGCAAAGTGGAAACCAAGAGCCAACCATTTCTCAAACACATCTTGTTCGTTATCCTCAACAATGTCTGAATCAAAGGTCTCTTGATTTTGTAAAGCGCCATCTACAGCACCTGCTGGTACACTACTAATTTCTTCCATTATCTCATCTTCATTGATTGAAACAGAGTCATCACCTTCTTCTGTTGCTGCTTGCGTCTGTCGTCCCTTACTAAGTTTTTCATTTCTCTCTTTTTCCTGTCGATGCTTCAATAACTACCATGATAAAAATAGGTTACACTCCATATGCCATACCCAGCAAGTCAAGGACACTTACTGATTGAAAGATCTTGGGATGATTACACATTGCCCTCAACGCCAATAAACCGACAAGCGGTGCCTCAACAGATATCACTTTAATCAGCTCTTGATATCCTTCAAATTGCACTGAATTCATCTTGAAGCGAACAACGTATTCTGTTTTTGGTGGCAAATCAAGCGAGAGTATTGTTTCGTTTCGTCGATGTGTTACAGAATCTGTGAGGATTTGAAGAACGTACATTTTCATGGCTGCTTGATGCTTAGTATTTTTGCTAGAATCGACATAACATCTTTCGATAATGTTGCTGAAATAGCTTTTGAACTTATCGGGACTTCCAAGCAAGTTGGGGGCGATGAAATTGATCATATCGTAGTATTCAGACAAGTGGTTCTGCAGCGGATAGCCTGTCAAACAAATCCTGGAACGAGTCCTGACTTGATTGATCAGTGTGGATATGTGTGTTGTCGAGTTCTTTATGCGATGTCCTTCATCCAGTATAATAACATCTGCACCAGGGTTTACCAACATTTTGAAGTAGTCTTCCTTCCCTTTTTCGTCCTTTTTGCTCAATAACGCTCGGTATTGATCATAATTGATAAGCATGATACCTCCCTGCACATACCAATATTTCAGATATCGCATACGAGCCGAAGATCCAACCTCTACACACACGCCGTAGCCACAGTCAATAGCCGTTTGCATACATCAGTGGCCATAGGTACAAACCTGCTATATTAAACACTTCTCCTATGACATTTTGCGAATCACTAATTGACCATTTCGAAAACTCGTTGACCCAATTTGTCAAGGTAATGAGCGGTGCAATGATCAGTACTCGATTGCCCTGATCGATAAAATTAATATCATCCATATTGACGCTCAAGGAGGAATTACCGTTGGAAACTTGGAGGATGGATATCGTTTCAAATATTGATACATGGTAGTCAATAGAGCGATTGTTTGTAGTGATTTACCAAGTCCCATCGAATGAGCTAGCAAGCAGCCTTGCTTCTTTTTATACACGCGATCCCACATAAACTGAAGACCTTCAAACTGATGCGCTTTCATAACCTTCCGGTATTTGGCATCAAGACTGAAATTGATTTCATTCATGGCTTGCATTGTCGCTATGTCTTGGTAATCAGCTTCCTCGTCATCGTTTGCTTCCATTGCGTCGTCGTCAAACATGCCAGTCGAGGATTCATCGTGAAAATCGACCAAGAACTCGTCGAGTTTCCGTCTGTTTGGTAATTCATGGCCATTGAATATGGATATGCCAAATGATTGTACCGTCAAGAGTTCATCTGGGATCAGTTTATTGATCTTTTGATTCGCTATTTTATTCAGGATATTCATAGACATGTTTTTTGTTTAGATGTAATAAAGAATTAATTTGAAATCATGAAAAAAAAAAAAAAAAAAAAAAATAATAGGCGTCTCTTGAAAGTGACAAGTGTTAAAGCAACATGTCAAAAAATTATTTAGTAAATCTTGTCTTTTTTTGCGGCTCTAATCGCCTGTTGATATTCGAAATGCTCCACAAGGTCCCAATCTTTATGATCTTGTAATGCCTTTGATGGCACCATCTATGCAGTATGGGGTAAGAATTAGAAGCAGTGCTCACGGTTGAATTTCGTCCACTCCTTTACCTCTTCAATGGGATTATTCATCCAAATCACAGCATACTTGACCTGCCCAGTGGCATTTTTGAATCTTCTGGTCACTTTCTCGATACGCATGTCTTTGTATTTCGATTTTAATTTCTCCCTTGCTGCTTCAAGTTTACTGTCCTCGTCACTGTCGTAATTGAGCTCTGGTGGTATATACATGTGTATGGAGTCAGGTCTGACATATTGATCTCTCACTCGTTGTGATATCACAGGTATATAAATTGACTTTAGAACGCTATCCGCAATATCTGGGTACGTTTGGGAGGATTTCAATCTTTGTGAATACATTGTTTGGTAAAAAGTTGAATAAATGTGCAAAAGCAGTTTTTATTTTAGCGTGTATTTGATGCCCGATAAAGTTGCAAATCCATTGTCGTGGATAAAATGTTGACGATTGTCTACAAGATTGCAAGACCGATTCTTTTAGAGCATTCTCACAGGTTCAGTAATCCAAGGAAAAGTTGTCCAAGTGACATGATTTGTAGTGTTTTACTTTGATAATAGGGGGGAGACATCAGACAATCATATGCCGAAAACACCAGACACCTTGAAAATTTCTTTAGTTTCTTATAGGCAATTTTTGCCAGAAGTACTACTACGCGTAGATGAATAGAGTTTATAAACACGTAAGTATACAAACCGCAGAAGATTAGTGAAGCTGGACTGTGGTCAGCGAATCCTCGAGCGTAACAAGTGCTAATACTACGGAACGTAATATCGGCGGCCAGATATGAGATATCAAGAAGCATTTGCTGCTATCTTCTGTAGGAGGACCGATGATCCAAATTCGTGTAATGATGAGTATAGCAATAGAAGATGTTGTTATTATTTGTCTTCTTGATGGTAACATGCCTCCGTGGCCAATGATTGAGGTTTAGACAATAATAAATTGACCAGGGTCGTGGGCATTTATGATGGTTGTGTCATCATTAAACATTGTGCAAACCTCCTGACCTGCTGGTGTTTATACGACATTCGATCTGAGACGATGATTCTGTGTGTATCGAGCTAATTATTACACACAGAAACGCCGTCCTTAATTGGGAAATCCATCAAGAAGAGGAAGTCATTCTACGTTCACAGTACTGAAGCACTAGTAATGGAAGGAGATATTCTAAATTTAGCACTTCTACACTTCATTATTACACAGCGTCTTCCGACGAGTACTTAATAAGAAATCAACAACATTCACCGCACCTTACAGAGTCTAGAAGTGCCCAGTTATTTATCTAACTATGACCTATACAGCGAGGCAAAGGTTTGTTTCAGTGTGGCACCACGAAACCAAAACCAAAAGTTACTTTCAATTTTAATCTTTTCTTGGAAATCTACCATGAAAACGGTTTACATAATTTCCTTTGGGGTCTTCTGACAATTTTATTCTACGTTCATCCAATCTCAATAACAAGAGAATAAAAGGTTTACCCCATATCAGAATATCGCAGTTTGAGGTTTCTAAAAACATGCTGCTACTGTAGGGGGAAAAACTGTCCCGTTCGTTCAAATAATCTTGACTTTTACCCAGTGTATTGCCAAAACTCAAAAAGAAAATACCTCCCATATTGCGTTCGACAGAACAGCTAACAGGAATTACAGAAGCATAAAAAACTTATGGTTAGACTATACTTTTTCCCAGTATAACCAGCCAAAGTGGGAAGTGTCAAAACTGTTAGGTGGGTAGTTCTAGACGATATAAAATCGTTGATATCTTTACTTCCAATAAACGTATTGGAGAGACCTAAAAAACTACCCGCAGTATGCTCAGGTTATTTAATACTCCAGGAGCATTTTAAAAGTGTAAAAGAAGCTAGTTTTCTCATATTTTTTCTCTTTATTTCTTTGCTTTCATATTTTTTTTCAAAACTTTCATTATGCCTGCTCGTTTAATACAAGATTTGCGCAACACTCTCCAATCTTTACTCCAACGTGGTCTTTCGTTCTCAAAGATAAAAAAATATGTATCCAGGAGTCGGTAACTGTACTCTTACAAGAAGGCTCAGAAAACTCTCTTGCCTTGACCTTGCTATACCTGTTGACGGAAGACCGAGAAAACTTGGTGCTAAAACTATATCCCTAGTGTCAAGAGGACTTCGATCAGGTACTTTAGATAGTCCCGGAGCAGCGCAAAAAAGTTTAAGATTGATGGGTCAAGATATGTCAATTACTGGCATCCGCAAGTCATTGAGAAGAAATGATCTTAAATCTCTAAGAAAAGCAAAGATCAATTTTGTTAGCAAGACAAACAAACGGCTTCGATTGGCGTGGGATAAAAAGCATAGGCATCTTACTATTGCTGATTGGCGTCGTTGGGTGTTTTCGGATGGAACAAGAATAAACCTTTGGGGCTCAGATGGTAATTCTTTTTATCGGACGAATGGTGGCCGAACCATGCAGCCGTATCAAGTCAAGTCTCAAGTGCAGGGAAATGACGGTGGAGTCATGTTCTGAAGTTGCATAACAGCGGAGGAGCCTGGTTATGGTACTACCATTATCGAAGGCTCAATAAACTCGGACTTGTATGTCGATATTTTCAAGACATCATTGGACGACACTCTTGAGCACTTTGGGAAGACACCATTTGATGTGCAATTTCAACAAGACAGAGCAACGCCGCATACCTCGGGCATTACTAAGCGATGGTTCACCGAAAATGGGTTTAACCTAGACGAAATTATGGATTGGCCGCCCCAAAGTCCCGATCTTAATCCCATTGAACATGTCTGGTATCTCCCAAAGATTCGTCTTAATAAGTGTTCCACTAGACCTTCTACAAAAGAAGAACTAGAGCGGCGTATTAACATAGAATGGTACAAAATAACAGAAAAAGAGTGCCAAAAATATATTGATAGTATGCCTGCCCGAATCAAGGCTCTCATCAAGAGCAAAGGTGGTTCAACTCACTATTAATGATTTTATAATAAAATGTACATTTTTCTATGTTTAATTTTTAACAATAAAATCATTCGCTTTCAATTTTTGAAAAAGTCGTAATTATGTACAGATAGTACTACCTTCTCTCATTCAAACGATATATATCTCGACTTTCTATACAAAGAAATGACTAAAAACTAATGCAGAAAGACAAATTTTTAAACGAACGGGACAGTTTTTCCCCTACAGTACGTCGTGTGCCTGATGCCCCAAGAAGCTCCCGTTTTTTGGTTGCCAGCACAAAATCATATATACCAATAACCTACGTGTGAAGCCGGTGTAGTACTATGAAAAAAGCACAACTTACGTGTCGCGGTGGAGTATTATAGTATGTTGTTGGAACGATGGAAAGGTAAAGTTTCGTATGTCGCCCATTTTAAACAGAAAATTTGCGATATTCCCAAAATATGACCTCTTAATTACATATATCAGCTGATAGAGAAGGTGGTAGAAAGCACTGTACCCAGAAATGCTTGTCTATAGCTTGCTTTATAGTAGTTCTGCAAGGGCTCACAGTTACACTGCTGCGCATTTTTAACGCTTTTGACCAATAAACTGACACAGTTTTTACAAGAAGCGTAATAAGCATGCTAACGACTTCAGTTCAGGGTTATTATAAGCTTGCTTTAAGAGTATTGCCGGCAACCGCCGGACGATTCTCAATGATTCTGTAGTCTTCAATTAAGTAAGCGAATAAAGTATTATTATTATTGTTAAGCACAAAGAATAAAAGGATTATTATTTGTAGCTTATTATAAAAAATGTTCGATATTATAAAAACAAGAAAAGACTTATTTGAATAAGATCAGACACAAAAACTAAAGATTTATTGATGAAGACAAGAGTTATTCTATTTATACTAAGTTCTGAATGCCAAAGTAGCAATTTATCTTGTACAACGCTTATCACATCTGGTGAACCTCAGTATTTAGATAGCTGAGATGCACTTCACTTATCATAGCTTGTCCATGTTGTTGCACAACACAGACATATCTACCCATCAAGAATACCTTAATCTTTATAGACAGTTGTAACCCTTCTGGCACAACAATTATAATAAAATCAAAATAGAAGAGCAGCGTTTTGACGCTAGTATTTGTAAAACTGCCAATTCAACCTACTTTCTCTATTAATTAATTTTTGCTCCTCTTTTTGTTTGCTCTACAAAATGAGACCGCGTCTAAGTATCTGCAATGCTTCCTTGCAAAATCACTTTTTTAGCGCTCAAATCTTTGCTTACAGTATCAGAATACGTTTTTTTCATATAACATTACGGAAACGTCTACGAGGTGCTCAAGTCTATTATGGTAAAAATTTAGGGCGTGGCATAACTGATAGCAATGCCTGAAGCGGGTCACTCTAAGAAAAGCTAGCTTCGAGCGATTGGTTTTAGACAATTTGGATGGAGCTGACCTTTTCGGCAGTGTAGATTCGTGAAATTATTTAAATCCAAGTTCACTACAATTACCTGGTGTCTAATCTTGTATTACAAAATATGTAAGTATCATAAATTTGTATTTGCTCGAGTTTGAACAGAGCTTCGTGGTTTGCTCCCCCCCCCGTTTTGCTGACACCGACTCAGCCAGCCTGGATTCAGCCATTTCTCCTTAAATATGAGTGTTGAACATCGTAGATAAACTTTAAGTTTAGTTTCACGGTTAGATATGGCATTTCTTCTGTTGTGGATAATAACCATCAAAAGTGTCTTGCTAACCCAATAAGCTTCTCGTACAACCTGAGCTAGTTGTGGGATTCAAATTTACATAATACCATTGACGATCAAGTGATGAAATTATAATATTTTCACATTTCAAAAAGAACGATATGACACTGAGAATTAGAATAAAAGCATCCGTCACTTGGAAACTAAGTTCTGTACAATGCAGAATACCAGGGTCATCAAATAGAACTGTAATTTACTTACTTCCCTGGCAACAAAACGTAGTACGTCTTGTTTTTTTTGGCCAGGTTCTGCCCAAATCTAGACATTTTCAAGCACGAGTAACTCATGCCACAAAGCGTTTTGAGTGCTTGGAATAGCAACATACGCCTCCTCTTGGCCACGCTTTACTTCCTGATGCCTTATCTCAAAAATTTTTGGGTCATTGCAAATCCATGAAAATCCTCGTTTTCACATGAGTACTAGCAAGGGAAAATTCTTGAAAATCATACGATCGCGTTTTTCACCCTAAAAATAAAGACTTTTCGTAAGATACATATTAGATCAAATTGATCGTAAAGATGAGATACAACATTGAAAGCTTCTTTTATGAATCATTCATATGCTAAATTTTGACATATTCACAGAAAATCTGTTTTCATATCTTTGGGAATTGCTCGTTATTTGCAGTTTAAAAGCTGCATAAAACTAGCATCATTCGATGCGGCTTCTTTACTTCTCTAAAGATGCATTAGAAAGTTGGGTATAACAACGACAATTTTCATAGACAAGTTTGGCAAAAACGTTTAAAGGATGTCAGATCAGGTCAAGTTTGAACACGAAAATACCCACTACACGAATTCAAATTAAATTGCCGCAATTACGGCTGCTACGGTACATGACGACTGAGACCAAATCTACTGGTCGTGACGTCGGATAGGGTGCCCTCTCATTTTTCCATGCCCCCGTTTTTTACCCTTTTTGCAAAACGCGTTTTAGTATCAAACCATGGTAGTTTTGGACACCGTTTGATCAATAATAACACTCTAGCTTCCAATAATTATGCCTTGTACTGTTGGAAGAACTTGATACTGCTTCTTTGAAGTGGAATATATTATGTACCATTCGATAACGAGCACTGGAGGGCATATAATTGACACTAATTTAATTTCTTTGTTAGGTTGTTTCGATACTTTTTTTGCCTGTTCGACGTGGGTGCTGCTGCCATTCCTTTTCTGCTATCTCCGTTGTCTGCTTCTTTGGTCTTTGTCTGGTATCTGCTTGGTGTCGTTCGTTATTTGGTTTTTTTATGGTGCTGGTATTGCTGTTGATGTTGCTGCTGCTGTTAATCGGGTCTTTCATGGTGTACTGTTTTTGGTGCATGCTCGTTCTCTGGTGTCGCTCGTTCTCTGGTGCCGCTCGTTCTTTAGTCTGTCTATGGTGCTGGTGTTGCTGCTGCTGCTGCTGCTGCTGCTGCTGTTAATATGGTCTTTCCTGGTCTACTGTCTTTGGTACATGCTCGTTCTCTGGTCTATATTCGGTGATTGCGTATCCTCTGGTCTATCTACGGCGGTGGTAAGTGGTAAATATCTTCTTTCTTCTGGTCGCAATGATATAAAACTTCTTTGAACGTTTGTATTGTTGCTTCCTTTCTCATGATAATGCATTCATGATGTTTACTTTGTTGCGTTTTTCTTCTTCTTTTGTTGGTTGTGTTGCTTTACATCCAACTATTACCATGCATGTTGCTCATGTATGCATTTTTGTTGCAACGACAATGAGCTGTTCTGAACGTCTCTGTTGTTGTGTTTGTTATACTTTTCTTTGACTCGCTTTGTGTGAGTATCCCTTTATTACCTACATACCACTATACTCTTATAGTAGTATGTTCTTTTTTTCTTTCTTTTATTATTATCATGTTTCTTTGAAGCATACCTTTTTTTACGTTGTGTGGATGTGCCTATCCCTGAAGCTCAACAAGACTCTATCCGAGGCTAGGAGGTAGATAGGCCGCCTCCACTTGGTTATCACTACTTACTTTAGTGATGATTGAGGGTCTCAATGCCAGAATTTAAAGCTAGGTGGTGTAAGTAAGGCATGCTCTAGCACCTGAGGAAAATTTGATGATAGTAACAGCTATATTGCTATATATAGCGGAGCTTAAAATTTTGCCTTACATCAAAACAGGGGGAAACCCTCGCAAATTTTTTTTTAAGTCAGCGGAGTTTTCGAGTAATTTGATTGGCTGAGGGGTTGAATCAACAAAGGTTTACAACTAATTGATTTTCTGTTGATCTGCCATTTATTTTGAATTTACGTTTGTAATAAAAGGGTATTCAGAAAGACGCAATTTAGTTTCTTCTTTGCTCAACAGTAACAGAGGGTGAAAATATTTAATCTTGGCTTAAATAGAGATAAATTGTTTAAAAACAGTATGGAGTTAATCAGAAGGCAAAGAATACCAGTTATTACAATGAAAAAAGAGAGGGTTTATATACGTACTATTCGAACCGAGGGGTACGATGTAAGTTGAAGGTGCTGGATGGATTGATTTGGGTAATGATACAGCAATAGATCCAATCTATTATATTGAACAGACCACAACTGGGATCTTAACTGAGTCCTATTTTATGTCAAAGCTTATGATCTGATGCGACCTCTGCTTGAACTGGGTGTTTCCTCGCATTTACAGTCCGGTTTAGACATGATGATATATCAAAGCAATTCATCATTGTAACTGGGGTTGCATCGTTGTTGGTTTTGTTTGATATAACTTGTTCCCAAATCATGTATCACGGCTCAAATAATGGAATGGCTGGCTGCTTTTGTGCGATTGTTGATGAATGTCTCGACTGGTATAGGACTCGCTGTTGCCAAGTAATGCTGAGTGTATAGATGCTAGAGTTACTAATAATATAATGACACTCAGTAGGTGTTACCAAACGTCAGATTGAATGTACTTTGTGTTGTGCTATTGTGTGATCCATAGTTTACGTGGCCTCTGATACAGTATTTGTCCCTCCTTTTTTCTTTCTGCTGATGGTTCTGTTTGGGCTGTCATGGTTCTTTCACGTTTTGTTCAAATCGTTGGCAGGAATTCGCATGATTTTCAGTTAACATTGTATATCCGTATACGTATAATTTAAATGATGGAGCATGCCAGTATGCCTACACTTAATTGTTTGTTTATGGCTTATAATGTAGGATTGAATGAGGTATTCCTGCGATGAAATTTTGGTACTGAAATTGTAAAAGTATATCCGATAACCCACATAAGGTGTCTCAGGTATAGATGAGCTTGATGGCCATGATTAGGGACACTAGTCATGCACGATGCATAATACAGAATTGGCTTGATTAGATACTGATCTTACAGCTAATTAAAGGGGTTTTCAGTGATACCAGCACCAAATGCAGTGTCACTTACAGCTAACAGCCATGATGTTGTTTCCCCTTCTTACAGACATATACCTAGCGCTTTTGCAATTAAATGCAGCATTGACATCAATTCTAATATAACAATTAGTATCCCCTTGTATCTGAAAGTCCTAACAGTTAATATGTACTGAGTTATCATTGATTTGATCTATAAGCAGATTGAATTTACTGAATCTTTGATATCTTTCTTAGTGCCATTAGTGAATGAACTCTTTGAGGATGATAGTTAAATAGACGTCTTTTTTTTTTCTGTCTTGTCACAAGAGCAACATTAATTGTTAGAACCATGGCTATCCGGTAAGGATGATTTGTATATAGTTATCGGTTTCAGCTTGTGAAGCATAGGAATGTGTGTCTAGTAGTGCAGTTTGGAGGGAGATGCTTTATCGCACGATCTGCAGTTATCGTTGCTATCATTTATATCAGACATGAGACTAAAATCAGCTTTGGGGCCACGAAGAGCAAGAGGCAGGCCCATTGAATGACAGTGGCGGCAGTGTCTGCGATGGTCTTCACGATCTTTGGACTTGAGACCGCAAACATTGCACTAGTTGTTGGGATCAAAGGGATCCGGTAGTTGTGCTTGCTGATTGTTCAGAATGTCATTGCTATTCAATTTATACGTATGCTTGCAATGTCTTTTAAATGCTTCTTTTGATGGAAACGTTTAATCACAAGATTGGCAAAACCCAGTTGTGATTAAAGACTTGCCATGCTTGTTGGATTTGTGAAGTCTGTATTTCTGCCTTGTTTGGTAAAACGTGTTGCAAGGTCTGCAATACTGATTTATCTCATCCAAGTCAGGGCTGGAGGTTGGAATGGCTTGATCATTACCAGAACATGGCGTATTCTTCGGCCTGCCACCGATTGCAGCTATGATAGGCATACGATGGACATGGCTCAAATGCCGGCGATATTCAGCAGGGTTGTTGTAAGTTTGTTCGCAAGCTCGACATTTGTGTTTTGGGTCGTTTATATCGGGTTCTAGCCAAAAATGTACAAAATGTGTTCTAATTGCCTTCATAGAGTGGAGTAGCAGATAGTGTTTGAGATGGTTGCGGTAGGTGTTTTTTTTTATCACACAATCCACAATAGTAGTCCAGCGATTGATTGTTTTTTTTTTTGGTTGTACATCGTCAGCATCATCACCTTTCAAATCAAATCGAGCATTTCTAGGCATATCTCTCATTAGGGATCCTTAATGGCTACACACACAGTTAATCAATTATACTGGTTTATCACATTCATTTCTTGCTTCATATCGGACTAAGAAGTTGATGACAACATTTTCAAGACGGCAGTGCCTTCTACAGCTTCGGTTTTTATGCGAAGGCTACTAGAATGAATGTTTGTCTTGGTTGACTCATTTTTGATTGGGACATGATGAAGCAGCATCGATGCTTGGCTATGTTCAGGGCCCTAGCGCACCATGGCGTCAAGCTTACCAGAGTCATTGGATGTGATTGAAATGTAGTCTTGAAGGGCCTTTTTTTTTTTTTTTTTTAATGAAAAGTCTGGCCCTTGGGTATTTCACCTTAGGACGTTGTAGCAGTGATGATTTAAAAGTAAAGCTGAAATTCAGGAACGGAAAGAAGGGAGGATGATACTCAAACACTGAACTCCCCATATTAAATTCCTGACGCCTTTTACTACCGTTCATTTGGTTGTCCTGCTCGAGGTGCGAAATATAATGTAGCATTTGATATCTTTTGTAGATTCAAATAGCATGTTCACTTGAGCATTGCCAGCAGCAGACATTATCATCTCCTCTACTGCTTTTGTTTCTTGTTTCAGATTCGATCTTGGTTCAGATTTACGATTGGATTTGATATAAGCATTGGCAACCACACGCATTCTATGCAAACTCCAAGTGTTGCGGCAACATCGTATCAACTAATTTTAAGCATTTGTCATGTTAGTTGTCAAACATGGCTGAACATAAGATCAGACTCTGATGTGCCTATGAAGAATGACTGTGGTGTGGTTTGGAGCAAGCATTTGGTACATTGAATAAAGGATGCAAGGAGTGATACATGTGCAATTTGCAGTTGTCAAGATGTCACTAATGCGATTGAGTCAAACGTGGCCATAAGGTTTTCGCAACATGTCTGGGCGCATAATTTAAAAGGGACTCGGTTTTTTCCAACATTTCATCTTTTTCTCTTTCTCACTCTCTCTCTCTCGTTTAACCTACAATGGATGCCGCATTACTTGGTTTGGATCCTCTGTTCCTTACCAACGTCAAACTGACTATTCATGACTTGCTGAATCTTGAGCAGACAAATGAAGATCTGATTGGTATGCAAGGCAATAGCTCTTCAGTACTGTATCTAACAAATCGCATACAGGTGTTTATAAACTCTTTGAGCACAAAATCAAGCTTGCTGACATATGTGGCACAATCGTAGCTGTCGAGAGAAACAATTATACAACCAATTACACAGGTAGACATTCGAGATGCAGTTCTTGATACCAGCCATACTCAACAGCTGTGCATAGTGGATGATGGTACTGGAACCGTTACATGTAGTTACTGGAGTGCGACCGAGAAATTGGATTACAAACCATTGTCGCTTGGCACAACTGTGCGTATTACTGGAAAGATTTCAACCTATAAGGATGAAAGGCAGATTGTGATTTACGATATATGTACGTAGCCCTTGTTGAAATATGGACATGCCATCTGATCAGAGTATATGCAACGCACAGATCCAACATTTGATCCAAATCAAGAATTGCAGCACTTTGTACAAGCCATCTTGCTTCGAAAGGAATACGAAAAGCCTTACGAATTACCTACACAGATGAAATCACATGCTAAAGACTTGGTGGAGCAAATACAGGTCGATGATGAAGATCAGCTAGTCTATAGCTCACAAGCGAGAAAATTGGATACGCGGGCATTTGAAGATGCACTATTGCGATTTTACAAATCACGATCAACAACAAGAGTTTCCTGGAACGATGCAAGAGACGATGCGGAATTGGAGAATATGGCTTTGGAAATATTACGAGGCATTGTAAGTGCTCTTCCATGTGTGGTCTTGTCTGTTTTAGCTAACCCACTCTCTTGTAGCCTAGAAACAAACCAATAGTGCCAAAAGACATCAGTGTCATGTTTAATAAAGCAACAGACAAGTGGTTGAAAGCGGGATACATCTACAAGACAACCTCAGATGACATATATAATGTGGTGGACGAAGAAGATCTCGCAAATGTAATTATCAGATCGATCAAGGAAATGTCAAAGCAGCTACCTGACCAACTCAGTAAGTAGTTCTGCCTCATATGCAGTGTTTTGGCTAATCGTTTATTAGGTGGCATACGTGTGGAGTACATTGCCAAAGCTGTCGTTGCTAGTAGCACATACTCCAATCTTTACTACAGCAGCGAGATTATTGAAAAAGTTGTGGATGATCTTGTTGAACAGAGCGTAATATACCCAACAGGCCACAGCGAATATAAAGTCTTCTTGTAGCACAATGACCCATTGCTTAATATTGTAATTAGCTTTTCTTTTTCTTTTTTTTTTCCTCTTTCTCTTTTTCTTTTTTGCATTCTACAGTATCACATACAATAATAAAGCACTCCATGAGAACGAGTAATGCTGTTTCTTTGACGGCCTATGCACTTTTGCTCGTACAATCGATACATGGTACATCCCACAAGCGGCACCCTAGATGACACATAAGGGCATATGAACTAAACGTGTATAAAATAGCACAAGGAGGTCTCACTGGGCCTACTGTAACTCCAACAGGTAATCCAGCGATTAAGAGAGATTGAGAAGAAAATAGAAAAGAGATTAATGAAAATTAATGTTGTATATAAATATATATATATATATTTAATCTATTCTTAGTCTCTATTGTTCCTGGATCAACATCGCTAATTACAATCCCGAAAGCGTCCTCCATTAATCTAACGAGCCGTTTCATTTCAGGCCTACCAGCATCTATTACAGCCACTACAACACCCTCGCCAACACCTCAAATCATATTCGTTACGGGCTGCAATACCTGTAGTAACAGTGGTGCTGCTGTAACAACAGGTATGGTTTTATTACGTAATATCGTTGTGTATAGTTACACATGTATAATTAATTTTGCTTGGTGCTTTTAGCTTCCATCGTGAACACAACGAATGGGAATCAGAGCCAATTGAGCTCTAATGATCTTGGCGCTATTATAGGCGGTTGTGCTAGCGGCCTCATAGTCATCATCATGGCTACTGTATTCTTTTGTATCCGTAAAAGAAAAACAAGGGATTTTTACGCTGGTCGTGAATTCCCTACTACGGCTGTGATCCCACCGAGTGTCGATGATGTGAAGCATACTTATCCAGTATCAGCCGTTACCAAAGGTATGTTTGTTGGCACTCGTTGATACAACCTTCTCAAAAGACAATTGGCATATAGAACCCAACAATGCGATCTCGAACAATAGCTTTTACATTGATAACAACGACTCGACTATTAAAAGGTACAATCTCTCAACGGCGGTAGAAGATACAGCACATGATAGCACGGCTACTCCGCCTGTCATACTCTATTCAGATTCTCTCAACAACCAACAACAACAACAACAAATGAGCGTGGAAAAGTACATGCTGGATAGCGGTGTAAGCTCAACATCGCCCATGCCTAGACCAAGCAGGCCGCTTGAGAGAAAGGTGAGCCAGGGAGCTCGACTATCCAAGTACAATTTCTTGTCGCAAGCATTCTCACAAATGCGAACATCGTATGCTGGTGACAATCATAATGCCATTTCAATGAATGCTACTACTACGGCATCTAAATCCCTAAACACCGATCCAGCGCACAATCATGATTCCGTGGTGCTGCCACACGACAAACCTAGTTTCGAAAGCATGTCGTTTCCAGCATCATCACCACCACCACCGCCAATACCCGCCATGGCTTCCACGAGCTCCTTTTATGACCCTAATACTACGACTCGAGAATCGACCATGACAGTAGCGACATTGCATGCACCATTGTTTCGTCAGCATCAGCAACCCTCGCCATCATCATTGTCTGTAGTCACTGCAAGACAGAAACAGCCGTATACGTCCCATTTGGCTGTATCACCTACATTGCCCATCCGAGCAGCAGGAATAGATGCAGATAGCGTGGTATCTGATGTGAGTCAATACAGTTCAAAACGGTCCTTCTCAACGACAACCTCAGCAGCATTAAACCAAGACAATAAACCTTATCCATATTTTTGAATGGGTACTGTTACACCTGGCTATGCTTCTTTTTGGGTGATTTATAGACATGATGAATGAAGGATCTGTGCTTGATCAGCGAATACCTCGGCCTGTGAGCATGAAACAGTGATCTTTTGTCATGCAACTCGCTTACAAACCATCATTCCAATCACACAGAGAAAAGCTACCCCGGATTTTCTCGAAAGCATAATTCCAATGTGGGGTGTCAACAAATCCCATTGTGAAACGAGAGGCTTGATGTGATTTCTTGGGCAGAATAGTATAGATACACACAGCTTGAGTCCAATTGTTTCATATTGTAATTTCTATTGTCTCAGAGAGAGAGAGAGAGAGAGAGAGAGAAAAAAAAGACACCGGCTTGGCTCATGGAAACCTGCTTCTTCCCGCCTTGGTGATGTTTGACATGTAGTTCAAATGAGCTCTTGGCTTCATATGCCAACGATGGTGCTTGATGCATCTTGAGTCATGGTGATGATGACGATACTGTTTCATGTAGGCTATCGACATAAGCAGCACACATTTGACACACACACAAGCAACTGAGCACCACGCTAGACTATATCCTATTTGGACAGCCCTGCAACATGATAATTTCCTTTTCTTACTCAAAAGAACCAATTAGTGTCAATGTACGCATCTTGTAACACCCAATGTATGGAATCGATCTTTTTTAAAAAACAGGCCCAATTGCTGATAACTGATAACCGCGGTTAGTTTACTCCTTATAGTCTGAATGGTAACGACACATTTGCACCTGTTTATTTTTAGTTGCACAATGTGGGTCAAACTAATTTAGCAACTCGACTTTACCCCACATTTTAGAAAACCAGTGGATTCTTGTTATATAAGTTTTTTATTAACATAACGGGAAACAAAGGCAATATTGTACATAGTATAGTTTACATGGAGAAAAATAAAAAAAAAAAAGGGAATAAAAATACAGTTCTTAAAAAGCATAGAATTGGTCCGTTCTATAAACAACGCCATCGCCACGGACCAGCAGCAATGGGATCTTCTTTTGGAGGCTATCCTCCTCAATGATAAGTGTAGGGCTACTGAGCAGTTTCTGCATATCGGGAATCGTGCAGACCATAGACTCTCTCGACTTGTACTCGGTGTGTGGTGATTTGATGTCGCCAAACCAAAGATTGAGATCTCTGGTCAAGTTTTCACCGCAAAGTGTCAGACAGTCAGATTGCTTGATGTCTTGCACGATGGGGAAGGGTGTGATGGGTGCAGATGATGTAGACAATGTGGTAGTAGCTTGTTGGTTGAATGGCATGTTGAAGCAGCTTTGATCAGGCGCATCAGAGGGTGTCCAGAAGGTGTAACTGGCGCAATCAGTGCCAACAATGGTCCAGACGGCGGCATCAGAGACATCTTCAGTCCAGCAGGCACCCTCCAATCCCAAAGCATCTACAGAACTGCCGCGACGTTCAGCGAGACTACCGCGACGGCCCACCTTGGATTCAGTGCTGCTGATGGAGCTCATGCGACGACGAGCAGCAGCACCCGTCGTAGCAGCAGCAGCAGTGCTAGGTGCTTTTTTGCCTTCCTCGGCATCAAACAGTTTGTTCTCAACCACGTTCTGCATCAGATCATTCCACACGGCTGTATTGTTGTTGCTGTTGCTGCTAGTCTCAACTTTGGATGGCTGACAGTTGGGCACAAGATGACGAGTGTAAGTGGTCTTGTGCATGCCGACAACGTCATTCAAACAGGCCAAGTAAGTAACAGGATGGCAGGACTGAGGGATTTTATAGTTGGATTGTTGTTGTTTGGCAGAGGCGGGTGGCTGTTGTTGCTGCTGTTGTTGTTGTTGCTGGTATCGTGCCTTGTTCTGGTGAGAGAAGGTTGGATCCTGCACAATTTGGAAGGCAATCTTGTGGAGCTGAGAGACGGGATCACCGAGTGTTTCATCGCCACATTCGCCGCCAGTCTTGCCGGACAGATCGTCCATGCGATTGCCACCCAACACCATACTCCCTTTATCGACTTTGCGGATCACCATGACAGGGCTAACAAGGCCGGTTGTGACACACTGGAGTACAACAGGTTGGTTGTAATGGATGGCAACAGGTTGCTGAGTAGACGATGGAGTTTGTAATGCAATGGCGGGAGGAGGAGGGAAATTGGGGTTATTTGGATGGTGAGCATTAGGACGAGCAGCGTTGGCATCAGGAGAACGCGTAGTATCGACAATCCAAATAACAAAGGGATCCCAAGATCCGGTGCGGGCGACAAAGCAGGTGCCGTTGTTTTTGGCAGTGTTCTTGTGCGCATTGCTCGTGTTGGCATTGGTGTTGCTGTTAGAGGGAGGCTGGCCATTCGATACGCCCAAATACTTTGTTGAAACAGTTTGGGAGCGAATACGGTTAAACAAAGAGATGGTGGTGCCGTGATGAATGCATACTAAAATATCATCGGATTAGTCCATGTCGCAATAGGTAGCATGCTCAGCACACACTCACATTCCATGTTCTTGATGCTCTGTCTCTTCTTGCTTGGCTTACTAATCACCTTGATGCCCTTACTAGGGAAGGTACCCAGCTGCAATCCATTGCCAAGCTGAATCTTGGCTAGCACCTCCACTCGCTTTCTCTTCTCATCGGCGTCATTAATGTACAGTTGCTTGGAGACGCATCTTCCAGAGACAGAGGTATTACCACAAGCAGCAGTATCAACAATGGTGCCATTGGCTGTGGACCATTCCAGCACACCCGTTTGATTGATGCTTTCTCCAGAGATATGGATCGTAAGTTTAGGGGAGCTAAGCGTTTGTGAAGGCGACTGAAAGAAGTTGGCTTTCTTTGGTTCAGACAGCAAATTAGGTTTGTCTAGAGTGCTGTTGCCATTGCTGTTTGTCCACCAGTTGGCACCTTTCAAAATGGTAGTGGGAGGGGGACACAAGAATCTAAAATGAACGTCATCTTTGGTTAGCAAGGGCTGGTTCAGCAAAAAAAAAAAAAAAAAAGAGGTGGGTTACCTTTTCTCGGTTCCGTAACTCTTTTGTGCTACTCTGCTGGTTAGCACCATGACAGTTCGTTCACCAGTAACAGGCAGAGATCTCTCTTGATGATCACGTCGAATCAGATAGTCTTGGATGAGAGGTTTCAATGAAGAAGCAGTTGTTTCGCCTTGAATGATACGAGCAGTAATCAGGCCACTCTTGCTGTTATTCGTCTTTGTCATGTCCCACTCTTCTTGCTGTTGAGATGGTTGCTGTTGTTGTCCGAATGGTATAGGTTCAAATCCCAAAGAGGCCGGCTGCATTGGAGTAATAGGAGGAGAGGGTGACATGGAGGACAGAGAAGATGAGCCCATCGTGTTGGAAGGGGAGACAGGAGACAGCGAGTTGGTGCTACGTCTTTGTCTCTTTTGTGCCTGTGTGTGCATCTCCTTGACTTCTTGTTGTTCTAACAACCAATCAGCCATCGTGTTGATTTCATTGGTAATGGCAGATGGAGGAATCGAGTGATTCAGATTAAATAAATCAGTGCCAGTGGTATTAGAGTGTGTGGAGTGCGTGGAATCCATGAATGACATGTCCGAGATGATAGTAGAAGCATCATTCAGATGGTTGGGGGGAGAAGAAGAGGAGCAAGTGGATGCATTTTCCGCGACTAGTGCATCCAGAAAGCTTGTAGAGAAGAAATTAGACGAGGCTGTGGACAGCGCAGGTGATAAAAGAGTGGCATAATGAGGATCGTCCTCTCTTAGAGACAGAGTGCGTCTGTGAATAGGTCTTTCATTGTCCGTAGTAGCCGTAGTAGTGGGATTCATGTGGGCAGTAGAATTCAGCAACATTTGAATGTCATCCCAAGGCGAATGCTCGTTTGCCGTCATGATGTTGATGTCCTTTTGCATATCAAATGAATGGTAATCCAGCTCGCCCACAGCGACTGAATGACGGCGAGAATTGCTCCCGGATAACGGTGTGTTGTGCTGCTCAAAGAATGAATCAAAATTGAAGTGATGCTGATCATCGACATGCAAGGCGTTTGCTGCTGTCGATGGTGATGATGGCGACGAGTAGATGAAATCTGACCAAGAAGAGGTTGTTGTTGGCATAGATGAACTGAGCAATTTATCATCGGCTTGCTTTCTCTTTCTAGTCATGTCTTGTGCACTTGTGTTTGTAAACATGTTTGTATCTATATGTCTTCGTACCAGCGAATTTAGAAAAAGAGTATGTAATAGAAGAAAAAGAGAGAAACTTTTTTTTAATCCTTTTGATCACCCAAGAGGAAATCAAGGGCCTTTTATACCAAATGAGAGTGTGGTACAAGATAGTACTGCTAAAAGAGTATCCTAATTAAGCATCATGAACCCCACATTTTTTTATGGTTTAAACCAATCAAGCCAAGGAAGATGGTGTTGAGATTTGCTGCTCCGGCTCTCTCTATAAAACTTTTTACCGTCCACATGATGTACAACTAGTTTTCCCGCTCTTCTTCAACCGAAGAAACGGGGTAACACCACTAACTGCTTGCTTTGTATTTTGCCAGTAATATCTTTAAACCTTAATTTATGTCATCATCGACCAACATTTGTATACCAAAATAGAGACATGAAGTTCAACATTTGATGCAGACATTAGGATGAGGAGGAGGAGCATCGCAACAAGGCGTTGTTTGGGATATGCTTTATTTATTTGCACTCGATTTGCATGATGATACATTTGTATATCATTTAATTTATACATCATTTATTATTCCATTCTACATGTTTCGTTACACCAATACTAAATAAATGTGTGTGTGTGTGTGTATATATATCAATATATAAAAAGCAGGCTAATATCAGGATTTATACAGCAGAGAATGTTGAGAGGGCTTGGAGAAGACCTCTTTGCCAACATCATTCATATCATGTGTGCATATTCCTTTACATCACCCACACAAAATGTAATATGTCTATAAACATTGCATTGTTTTCTTGGCTGGTTTTTTTTTTTTTTTTTTTTTTTTTTTTTTTTTTTTTTTTTTGCCCCTCAAGTTGCCTGTTTTGTTAAAGAGCACTGCATGTCTCTGATTGATACATGTACATCACTGTATGTTCCTACGTAAGTTATTGTAATACACATGACATCGTCAACCCTGGGTTGTTGTTGAAATTGTACTGATCTGTTGAGTTTCAAATAGCATGGTATTTACCTGAAATGCTTTTGGTGTCCTCTCCTTCTCTTTTTATTATGTGCGATCAAAAACAATATAGAAACATGAGTTATTTTAGACAATGTGAATATGAAACGTATCCATACAAAATGCTAAAAAAAAATAAGCTTCAAGACTATCAGCTTTTTACTTTTTGCTTGCAACCAATGCAGCAATTTATTTCTAAATAAGCAGCAAATTGTGTGTAATCGTTTCATTAGATTCATATATAACAATTTGTATCAGATTGTGCTTATAAATACAATAAAAGTTTGGAATCTGTGAATGCAATACTTTTATCAATTTCAAAAAGTGTTCTCTAGACATTACTCACATTTGAAATTTATTGGCTTCATATAATTAAAGCTCGAATCCTAATTTGCACAGTCTAACTGCAAATGATTGGACTAATCAAGTATTTCAAAAGACTAGATTCTCATTTGCCAATAAAGGTTGTGATAGTGTATCGTAGTTGATCAATATCTTAGAGCATTGCGACTATTATATACAATTTTCTGCTGGAATTTTACTTTGTAACTGTCTATCATCATATCAGGAGCCTATAGCAACCTGTAACACTAAATCTGATTTTTCTACGACGCTTTCCGTCTGTAATAATGAGTAACAACCATACACAAATACACAGCTCACTTGCATTACCTCTTATTGCTCCAATTTGTGCAAAACGCAGCAAATTCTGAATATATTTGAGCCGTGTTTTCTCGTGATACAAGCCGTTCTAGACCGCCAGATTAGCACCATACGATTGCTCTCGACCAGTAGCTACTTCCTGGCACCTTTGCTCAACTTTTTGAGGACCAAAAAAAAAACATTGACCAAAAATCGACCAAAAAGCATGAGGGGTACCTCATGGTTTTTCATCGAAAATCAAACGACCGCATTTTTCACCTTAAAAATAAAGACTTTTACTATGGTATATATCGTATTAAAATGTTTCTCTCGATCCAAGCAACATCTGAAACCACTTTTATGAGGTTTTCTTATGCAAAATATGGTTATTTTCGCTAAAAACCTCATTTCATATTTTATCAAATTGCTCAGTAACTTTAGTCGAAATATCTATTACAATTAGCACCATTGGAAGCGCCTTGGAAAGTACTCCAAGAATGTATTAGGAAGCGTTTTTTTTTTTTTTTTTTTTTACGATTAGTTGATATTTAAAATCTATTTGATATACCAATTTTCATCATTTCTGATTCGAAACATCTTAGATAAAGGCACGCAGAACGACGCCGTTATTGAGCATAGCGAGTTTGATCGGGTAGCTCATATATTCATGAACTCATCACATAATTCTGACATCTGGTGCAAAACCGGTTGCAACTCCGAATGGCGTTCTGTCACTCGAAATGGTAATTGTTTGATCCAATTTCGACTTGATTGAACTATGTTGCGAAATTAGACTATGTAATTTTTGATAATTTCTCTGTGCGCCCTTAAGCTTTCTAGACGTACTTTTCAAGGCGCATCCAATGGTGCTATTTATTAAGCGTGTTATGAATAAGCTTTTTGAGAAATACCAAAAAGTATGAAATAACTATTTTGGCAAAAATGTCAAAGTTTTGTATATTAAGGCCTTGCAAAAGTCGTTTCAGGGGTTGCCCTGAATCAATAGAATCATTTTGATCTGATATTTGCTATAGTAAAAGTCTTTACTTTTGCTTCCAAAAACGCGATCGTTTGATTTTTGATAAAAACCATGAGATACCCCTCACGCTTTTTGGTCGATTTCGGTCAATGTTTTTTTGGTCCTCAAAAAGTTGAGCAAAGGTGCCAGAAAGTAAATACTGGATGAGAGCGACTGTTTGGCGCTAATCTGGAGGTCTAAAACGGCTTCTATTACGAAAAAGCACTACTTAAATACATTCATATGTTGCTGTTTTAGGCGCAATATTGACTAAAAAGGGGTTAAAAAGATCACATCAGATCATAAACTTTGATATGAAACTGCATTCACTTAAGATTCTAGTTATGGTATGTTCAAGATAATATATTGGATCTATTATTCTATCATCCAAATCTAACACCTTACCCTCACATCAAATACCTCAGTTCGAATGGTATATAAACCCTCTTATTTCCAATGTAATAAACGATATTCTTTACCTGATTAATTTCATACTCTTTTTCTAAATAATTTATTTCTGATAAATCACAGCTGGTAGCGCAAGGTCAGAGAAGGGGGGGAGCAGCTGATGAGACGACGGACAGACTAAATATTTTAGTAGAAGCCTTAGTATTGATCAAGGACTGATCGTCTTGTAGACGAAATTGTTGAGCAAGGGGGGCAAAGGAAACAGTAGAATTATCAAGGAGGCTGGGCTACATACTGGAACAAAGTATGGCTGAAACTGCAACTTGCCAGAGGCGAGGGCATTGAATACGGCGTTTGGAGTACGCTTTTAGTTGAACAATGACGGATCTCTGGGGTCTTTCCAATGTACAAAGTTGAGATAGGCATTGTATTGAAATTCGTTGGTTGCCAACATTTTTTCACCTGCAATTGGATCACGAACGAGGAGTAGGGAGGAACATAGAAGGCGGCTTGTAGTGGTAGGACCGTGGCCGTAGCAGTATTGATAGCAGCAGCTCCAAAAGAGCGAGGAAGATAATCCACCACACGGTATAACTTGATAATACCAATTCCTTGTTTATTCAGCCCCTGAGAAGAATCCTAGTCTGAAAAGAAGTATCGCGAGAATTCAGATAAAATGCTTCAAAAATTGTATGCAACCCAGGTATCTCTTGTTATTTGTTAATATATATATATATATCTATCATTTAACACTGATTGAATAGATATCTCATCTGCAGCTGTGCCAAAAGCTCCAAAGCTACGAACAAATATCTAACAGCCAGTAAATGAAAAGACCAACAACGCAAGGCTCTTCAGTTAACTTTGGTAATGTTGAGAACTCTGACAGCATTAACTTGAACATCAATGGCAACAACAAAACAGGTATATATGATTGTTTACACGGTTAGTTTTTGTTCGAATCTTAAAGATTTTACTAAAGCCAAAAAGAGGAAGGTATTTGAGGATGCGGGCCCACCAAAAGTAAGGATATTTTTTTTGAAAGAAGATAACATGCTATTAATGCGACAAGAAGGACGAGGAGGACCAACTCTACAACATCGCGCAGAACGACACTGATGTGTTTGCGTCTGTTTTTCTAAAATTACAAAAGAATGAACGTATGATACAGCCTGTATTCCATTGGGTCATCAATAGTGTTGATATGGCCGAAAAGACCTTGGCATACCAGAAGGCATATCTTGCCTTAACAAGTGATTCCGGCTTTGTCTTAAAGACACATGCACATAAAGGGCTTATGCTGTCCTCAATTCTACTTATAAAACTGCACCAACACTCCAGCCGCATGCCGGAGCGCATTAGTACAAAAGAGCTGGACACAATCAGAAAGTATGTGTTGGAAGACATCTGCAACGAGCCTGAATTCAATGATGGAGTCGCTATCAGGCTTACCAAGATCATTACAGTAAGTCCATTAGTGATAGACAACAGTTAGGACACCCCTTTACTACTTACATAGCAACATCACTCAAAGAATCATGCAAAAAACAAGATCACTAGAGAGGACAGTTTAAAGGAGTTCAGTAGTCTCTGTAATGAAATAGCCACCTAAAAGCAACCTCGTTGGAAGCCGGAATTTATCAAATATCATTCATTGAAATTCGTGCTTTTTGAATCTATTAATAGAACGCTCAAATGTGCATACACAATTTATATCAATTGTATTTTACTATTGCTTTTTTATGATATTTCTTGAACCTGGTTTCGATGCAGTCTCAAAGGTGCTTTAGACAAGGACAAATGCATTTATTATATAAGTTTCTGTATTAGCTTCTATTATCTCTCTCTCCCTCTCTCTCTCAAAACAGAGTGTGTGTACATGGCTTGTAAAATCTGAAGCTTAGAAATCCCCTCATCATTACAAAGCCTACCGTCATTTATCAGACACCTGGATGACTTGATGCTTGTGTTGAGTATATGAAAATGCATGTCATAAGAATGAACGATCAGCAACCAACCGAAACATGAAACGATCAACATTAGACAGCCCCTCTTTCCATACCTATGTGAATAAAACAAAAATCAAATTCGCCCGCAAAACGCTGATTTTCTAACATAGCCATCACTCATTATGTATCCAAATATACCTCTTCCATTACTCATACACTAAATGGTAAACATTTTTTCTCAAAGCAATGTAATAAAGTATAAAAAGGTTGTATTATTTAGTGTCTTTAAACAGTGGTATTACCCGAATTGCCAACTAAATATTGAGCTTTTATCTACTTTTGCTGTAATTTGTGATTGTTGAAACCACAAATTGAGACAAGAGCCACATATACCACTTTTTTTTTTATATATAAATCTTCCTCTGGATTTCGAAAAAGTTTTTATAGACATTTTGAGGTGCTTGATTGCTGAAACAGTATTCAAGCAGTTTTTTAGAGGTATGCAATTTGCATAGCTTACTACATTCTAGCAAATGTTGCATTGAAAACAAAATGTAAATAGCATTCAGGCGCAATTCCTCAAACTCCTTTCGCGCTTCATCACTTTCTGCCTTAATTTTAAGCTTTTATCCGAGAGATAAAGACCGTTGCTGTTGCAGTTGTATATGGAATAATAACATCAGAGAACAAAGATGCATAGTAGATCGTGCAATCTGTGATATATATCGAGAAGGAAAGAAGATCTCCATCCCATTTCCAAGAAAATATAAACTAGTACAAACAATGCATTGTTACGAGATCGTCAGCTTCTGAAAGTGATAAATTCCCATAAGATATAGAAATAGGAATTATTTCGCACACACACACGCACATTCCATCTTTCATCTCGCCTTCTAAAATGCCCATTTTCAAATGTGTATGTCAGTCCAATTCCCATAGAAGCGATAACTTTATTCCTTGAGAGTAAACTATAACTAGGCAAACTATAATGTCAAAAGCGAACACAATTAGACTTTTTGTTCTTGTTTGACCCTTTCTTCCTCTCTCTCTCTCTCTCTCTCTCTCTCTCTCTCCTTTCAACATTTACCTGGACCAAATAGCTTTCTGCAACAGTTCTTGCACGAGTATTGACACTCAACTTCATCTCAGAGATCTCCTTGTCAACTTCTTCCATGAAATGAACAATAAAGTCGACCAATTTATGCTTGTACATTTGTTCGGTATGGTTGTTGGTAATCAAGAAGGAAATATCGTATCCCTAGGTTTTGCAAACAGCAGGGCTTCAGCGACTTTGTCTTGGCTTTTCGATTAGTAAACTTACATCGACTGGCTTTCTACGTAAAATAACAAAACTCTCGGCTCTCATCATCAAGAAACGAGAAAACTTATGACACAGTATACGCTCGAGGTCGTCTGCTTGTTTGATCTTGATGCTGACACGAACAGAGTTGACTGAGGGTTCGACTAGAACTTTTTCGTTTTCGTTACGACTGATAACTAAAGGGTTCATTAAAAGTTCTTTGGATTTTCTGTGGATAATGTGCATGGTTAGACAAGCAGGCGTATATATATATATATATATATATATATATAAAGGACAAGCTTTGCTTACCCTGACTCGACTTCAGGTGTGTTGTGTCTTTCTGCCACTTGGGACGAGAAGTTTTCTAGACATAAAGCAGCGGTCAAAGTTGAACGTACAGCTGTAAGATATGGACGAAGTGTATTAGACTAGATTAAATTAATATTATCGCGTTAATTTCTTCTATGCGTTTCTAATTTTCTTCTGTTTGTATCGTAATATCTACCATAATGTTTGAATAAATGAAAAAAGAAAGAGAGAGAGAGACTAGGGAAAAAGAATCAATATGAGAATAGCACACACAGAGAGCTCTTTCGTCACTTTGTTGCACACTGTTTTTGCTCGGCGTTTTAAGGTGCCTTCAGTCAGGAAGCAGAAGCAAGCGCCAAAGAGATTTGGTCTCATAGTTCCCTTTGTTTATATATTGATCTAATCCGCCAGATAGCATCGGTATGTAGACAGCATTTGATGACTATTTAGACATGTCTTGATATTAAAAAATGATTCGTTTAGCTTGTACAAGTTATGTAAACAATATTTAAATAAATGCGTCTTGCTTTCTTGCATAGGAAATATACAAAAGTCGACAACCTTTGTGTGAGTATCTTTAGCAGCATCAAGGCAAATGAAAATAATGCTGAAGGTGTTGTAAACCTGCGTTTTCAATTTACACATGTGTACATGAAGCAGTTTTCTATCATTGCAGAAAAATTTCTCGTCTTTTTTTGTTATTGTTATTTAATGTTGCAATTTTAACCATATTTTCATGTTGTCAGAAAATACATACACTGTTGTCAAATTCCCAATTGATGCCAATTGCATATAAAAGGAATCCAGTTTCCAACTTCATTCATTTTATTTCCATCATCGTCTCATAGCAATTGCTTGAACATTTATATATACTACAAAATGCGTTTCTCTCTTGCCCTCATCTCTTCTGTTGTATTAGCTCAAGCTGCTTATGCTTTATCTGAATCAGCCCCAGCTTCATTTGCTGCTCTCCCATCAGTATCAGATGCTTATGATCGTCATGCTGCTGCTTCCGCTTCAATGTCTGCCGCCGCCGCTCCTTCTGCCTCTGATGTTGCTGATCATGCTGAAGCCCTCGAGAAGCGCAACTTGTTTGAATACATCAAGAAGGTCATCTTTGCCGATGAAGAGAGCTCTGTTGAATCTGCCTCTGCCTCTGGTGCCGCTGAGGATGCTTATTCCTATGTTTCTGCCTCTGAATTTGCATCTGAAGCTGCTGCATCTGCTGCCCCTTCTCTCTACAAGCGTGGTAACATGCAAGATATCCTTGATTCCATTGATGAGTACTCCGTGGCAGCTGACGCTGCTTCATCAGTCTCTGCCTTAGCCTCTGCCTCTGCCTCTGCCTTAGCCTCTGCCTCTGCCTCTGCCTTAGCCTCTGCCTCTGCTTCAGAAGCTCCTGCACTCAAGTGGAGAAACCGTGCTGCTGCTCGTATTCACGCTCAAAGCGAGTTTGCCTCTGCTCGTGCTGCTCCTTCAGCCAAGTACAACAACTACAAGCGTTCTGCTAGCGAGGGTGTTTATGCCTCTGCCGATGATTTCTTCTCTGAAGCTTCTGTATCAGAAGGTGCATCTGCCTCTGCTTCATTTGCTGCTGATGCCTTGCCCTCTGCAAGTGCATCTGAATACTATGTTCCTGTCTACTTGAAGCGTGATGAAATCGAAGAGGTCTCTGCCTCTGCCTCTGGTGCTTCTTACTCTGTTGATGCTTCCGAGTACTACAGCGCTGTTTCTGCCAGTGCCTCTGCTGCCGCTGCCTCTGCTTCAGCCTCTGCTGTCGTCAAGGAAGAGATGGTCTACAGGGTCAACAATGTCAAGCGTCAAGAATCACCATCCGCATCTGCTAGTGCCTCTGAAATCACACCCGTTTCTGCTGCCCTCAGCGCTTCTGCCAGTGCTGACGCCAGTGCCTCTGCCTCTGCCTCTGCCTCTGCCTCTGCCTCTGCCTCTGCCGATTCCAGTGTTGCCGATGTTCAATCACAAATTGAAGCTGCCATGGAGCAAAATGAACACTCTGCTGCTGACGAGATGATTGAGATCCAAGAGGCCTCTGCTGCACCTATTCTCGATGAAAAAGTTGTTGAAAATGATGCTGACAACTTTTGGATTGCTGATGCTCAAGCCGAAGCTGCCTTCAAGGGTTACGACTGGAAGGAAAACAACTAAGTTCTCATACAAAAACACACCATTTAGATTTCTTTAACTTATATAAAATTTACCCATAAATGAACCAAAAAAAAACATTTATATATATAACATTTCTTTTATTACGATATCATTCTCCTGCTCCTCCATTTTAATAAAGTTTTTCTTATAAACTAATAATCAGATCAAGGACTTTATTTTTGTTGAAGTCCATTTAAGAGGTATTCCATGGGAAAGTCAGAGTTGCCAGGCACACGTTGAGTAAACAAGACATTCAGGTTGTTGTCCATGATGATAACTGATCGCTGCATCTCGCTTTTATCTGTGACTGACTTGAATGTTTGCGAGATTGATCTACTGGGAGTGTCCGATGCCATGATAAATGAAGGCAGAAAGTCCAAGCTTGTAGGTGTGGCATTGGGTGTGGCATACATGTTGTGTATTCCAACTCGGTCATGCGTCATGACAATGGGTATGGCACCGAGCTTTACAAAATCATGGTAGTGTTTTCTGAAATTATGTCAGTCAGTATACATCTAGTCAATCTTAAGGCATACTTTACTCTATCTGCATTAAATCACTTCTTGACTGTTCCGTGCTGTATCAGAAGCCATTAGTGATTGAGTACATATGACTGATGTGAATATCTCTTACAAATCATAGCCACAAAAGAACACCACAGCATAGTTTCCACCCGAAAAGACATCAGATAGCTGGAACTGCAAGACTTGTCTCTGGTAAAAAATGACACACTGAAAATCATACAATGCAGGCCTGTTTGGGTGTGCGATCTTTAGTTTAGAGCTCATATGGTCGCTTAATTCAGCTTCCACATCGTCTCGTAGGCCTCTGTATCGTTTCAATCTTTTGGGTGTGTCAGTATTTAATTTCTGCATCGCCATTGTGTAATTGATCATGAGAAAGAAAGAGCGAAAAAGAGAGGCTCTGAATTTATTGTAAATACTGCATGAAAAACAGATTCGCACTGTGTTACATAATTCTGCTTTCAGGCAGAGAGAGAGAGAGAGAGAGAGAAATGTTCTCACAACAATAAATCATTCCTAGTCCAACAAAACCAAATCTTCATCACCGTCTTCCAGGACAACCACATTATCCACCACTTGATGAGACACCTTGGCTTTCTTGGCTGTCTGGCGGGACAGTTGATCAAGATCGGCTTCGTCCTCATCCAATCTACGTTTCTTTTCCCCTGAATCACGACTTGTTTGCTTGGGTTTGGGAATGGCACCCATCAATTTCAGGCTATCGTCATGTTCCTCGTTAGCATCACTATATTACAAAAACAAAAGGTCAATACTGAACGAGCCCATACACTACTACACAACGTTCTCAGCTTACAATGCTTCTAAAATAAGATCCACATCTTCTCCACCATCATCTTGAGTGACACGGATAATGGAACCTGAATTCAAGCCAACTTCTCTCAGCTTCAAGTCAACACCGTCGTCAAATTCAATATCATAGATCATACGGCTGCCGTCCATGATTGCCACTTCATCCTCCACCATACCAGCGCCTCCGACTTCCTGTGACACTAAAATCACCTTTTGAATAATGTCGTTCAATGTGGTTTTGTCAAAATTGACTTTTACTGTAGCGCTTCTGGATCGACAGACACCACAGTTAGGATTTGGCTCAACGTTTGCCTCCTGAACAAGCCGAGATCCGGTGGTGAGATATGTTCGAGGGTTGTTTTTGAAGTCTCCACGCAAGATGCCATATGCTTTCATGATGACAAAGCCGGCAATTACAGCATTGGTAGTGGCAATAGCGGGAATGATGTTGCCTGCCATAGCTACACGAAGAAAAAAAATTGGTCAATAAACCATGCTTCTATGCTGCTGGCTCATACACAACTCACATTTGACATCAAATAAACTTTTGGTTGGAATATTGAACACATGGGCTCTCAAATTGGAAGCGGCAGTAACGAAATCCATAGCATCATCATCGTCTTTATCGAATGACAGAATAGCATCTGATTGTGTCTCTCTTTCCTTCAAATAACGGGCAGCGAGTCTCACAACACTGTCCTTGAACATTTCAAAATTCTCCTTTAAGGTCCACACTTTTTGATCTGCCAGGCCCACTGCTGATGTCTCTGCTGCTGCTGATTCGCTCTCTAAAGTATCGTAGTCCAATGGTGTAGGTTTGGCTCGTTTTGCCCACATGGATTCCATGGATAGCAGTCTATTGATATCTGTGTTGTACACCTTGTCGAATACCTTCTTTGCATAATCCGCTGATCCAACTGCTTCCTTAATTTGTTTCAATTCGGCGGTTTCTCTCGACAGGGCAGCCAACTCTTGAGCTATGGCATCATCAGATCATGCTCTTTTCGCTGTTGTGGGTAGCCTTACCGTTTTCTTCTGAATTATCTTCTTCCATTGCCTCTTCGTCTTCGGAATTACCAAATAACTGGCTGTCATATGCTGTCAGTATATGCCATCTCTTTGCTCTACTTGACTATTACCTGAATAAAAAGCTCTTGGCCCAGACGATGCAATGAATAGGAGCACTGGGTGTGCTTCTGATTGTACAGACTGGGTATGTGGTAGGTGTGGGCTTGGGTTGGCAATCAAAGCATTCAGTTTCAAACTAGTCTAACGTGTCAGTAAATACAATTCATGCAACAACATAAGATCAGTTACACACCTTCTTGATCACATAGGCTTGGCCAAGGTAGCCTTGGGTACCTGATTCCACCAAAGGAACATCTGCTGCTAAGCACATGGCATTGACATGTCGACGGGCATCTAGTGAGGATTGTGTGAGGTGCTTGTCTTTATGCAAAACGATGTTCATGTTACCCAAATTGTCCAACGCGTTGAGGACCATCGTGAACTGCTTAAACCATTGAACGCTGAATTGGCTCTCCTTGATGTTGCCTTGAAGAGACTCAATCTTGGCGGCAGGGTTGAATTTGTGGGCGGACTCTTTGGCAACCTATACGAGATTCATGAGTGAAGGGCTCTTTTGGTGGTTGTAAGATGGCAGACATACATGTGCCTTTGCTTTCTTGACATGTTGACGTTGAAACAAGAATTGTCGGTTTAAGTTGGAGATGTCGATGGTATCCAAATCAATCTAATAAGAAAAGTCTGTTCAGCACACACTGGCCTGTCAAATGAGAGCAGTTTACATTACCACCACAATATCTTTGAAGCCTGACATAACAAGATTTTTCAACAATTCACATCCAATGCCACCAGCACCGACCAAGAGGATCTTGCTGCTGGCAACTTTGTTGTACAGTTCTTGTCCAAGCACTCGAATATTGTAGGATTCTCTCTTACTACTCATATCAAATTATTGGTGTATTCTACAAAAGGAACAGGTAGAGGGTGGTGTAGCAATGGAAGAGCCATCATTTTAAGCGCGTCGCACCCAGTCACGAATACAACAGATCAGCACTACAAATGCGCATTTGAAGCATTGCCCTGATCAATGTCCTATCAATCACCAGTTCCTAGGAAAATCAAAGTAGCAAATCAGGGCCACTCTATAGTCAATGTCGACCTCTTTTTATAGTAGGGCATCGCTTTTAGGAAGTTATATCATTCATCTCAAGATGGATCCATTGGCATCCAACATGTCATCAATAAAACACCGATTTTGTGTGGGGGGGGGGGCTTTCAACTGTGATAGAAGCCTTTTGAATGGTGTAGCTTGTTGCAAGGCTCATAGTCACAAGCTAAATGGATGGACACGTTATTTCAAATGAAAAAAAGCAGATTGGTCATATTAATCCCTTGTTCAATTCTTTCATCTTCTTTAGAATTATTCAAGTTTATTGTATATACAGAGAAGATAATAGTGGATTAAAGAGCAAATGTACAAGACCTTAAATTCAACACATGTTCGTCATTTGGGATTGAGAACAAACGGCTCTGCCGTAGCATTTCGTCGTGCTCACCAACAACATCGCCCTGCCACTGCCGCCATCTCCCTCCGTCTTGTCATGCTTCGACCCAATGCTGCAGCACAGAGAGGTCTACATTTGAATAGACAACTTGTACGCACAGAAGGAAAAGCCAGCAAAGCAGTAGCCGAGGAGAAGGAGACCATGACATCCCGTGCTGCTGCACTCGCTAAGGAGCAACAAGCCAAGGCCGCCGCTGCTGCTGCTGGTACAGCCGCTCCTCCTACGAGCAATGCCATCAAGCCCAAAAAGACATTGTGGACCAAAGTCAAGGAAGAGGCAGTTCATTACTGGCATGGCACCCAGTTGCTCGGTTTTGAGATTAGAGTTTCATCCAAGCTTACATGGAAGTTGTTGAATGGAGGCAAATTGACCAGAAGAGAGCATCGTCAAGTAAGTAGAGACAGCGGAGGATTGCGCTTACTAGCAAATACTAACTACCATTACTAGTTGCGTCGTACTACATCTGATCTTATGCGACTTGTGCCATTTGCATTCTTCCTTATTGTGCCTTTTATGGAACTTTTATTGCCTGTTGCCCTTAAAATTTTCCCCAACATGTTGCCCAGTACTTATGAGAGCAAGTCGCAAGAGGTTTGTTTAGCATTGGTGCTCCCAATCCGAGCATTTTATACTCATCATGGCATGGTTTTGTAGGAAAAGAAGAAGATGGCATTGCTGAAGGTTCGTTTAGAGATGGCCAAGTTCTTGCAAGAAACTATTTCCGAATCGGGCTTCCCCGGTTCTGATCATGAAAAGGCGGCTCAAGAGTTTGCCGATTTCTTTAGAAAGGTAACGTTAGGATGTTGAGTCATAACGGATTCCAAGCTAAAAAAACAGGGTGCAGATCCGTATGACAGGTGAACAAGCCTCCACTGAAGATTTGTTGAATGTCGCCAAACGTTTTGAAGATGAACTTACCCTGGACAATTTGTCAAGACCCCAGCTTGTCTCCATGTGTCGCTACATGAACATCAATGCGTTTGGAACGGACAACTTTTTGCGTTTCCAAATCAGAAACCGCATGCGTCAAATCAAGGCAGATGACAAGGTCATTCAAAATGAAGGTATTGAAACATTGACTATCCAGGAACTTCAAAATGCCTGTGCTTCTCGTGGTATTCGTTCCGTTGGCACATCTCCAGGTCGTCTTAGAGACGAGTTGGCTCAATGGCTTGAACTGCACATTGATCACCACGTGCCTGGTACCCTGTTGATCCTCTCCAGAGCTTTCAGTTACACCGATCGTGGCATGACCACTGAGGAGGCATTGAGAGCTACTTTCAACAGTTTACCCGATAACCTTGTCAATGAAGCCGAACTTCAAGTCTTGGAGCAAGTGGGTGCTAGTACTTACAAGCAAAAGTTGGATGTCTTGGAGCAACAACAAGAATTAATTGAGGACGAATCTGAGCAAGAAGAAAAGGAGGAGAAGGCTAGATTAGAAGCTGCTCAATTAGCCGAAGAAGCTCGTTTGGAGGCAGAGAAGAAGGAGCGTGAAGAGGCAGAAAAGAAGGACGCATTTGTTGCTGATGAGCCTGCTGTGTCAGATGAGCAAGCCGATAAGAAGGAGGAAAGAAAGACAGAAGACAAGCAGCCGTCTACATTAGCAGCAGAGCCTCAAGCCGACACAACAAAGGCCGAAGAAGAGCCTTTATCTGCTGAACAACAATCCGAACTTCAAGATGCATTGACCAAGTTGCGTACCAAGGTTAATGTTCTGGAGGAACGTGCTCAATTCAACGAGATCAAGATTCAACATGAGGATTACAAAGAGGTAAAAACGCGTGCAAAGTGTGTAGTGCGTTGAATGGTGTAATTAACGTTTCATATAATTAGCTTATTGAAGAACTCAAGGACGCTACCAAGCGTGATGCTGATAAGGCAACACTGCGTATGGGCAAGAAATTGGAAAAGATGCTGGCTACTATTGACAAGGAATTGGACGCTCTGGAAAAGGAGTCTTCAACAAAGGAAGTCTCTGCTGAAGAAAAGAAGCAAGAGGAGCCTGCTGTTGAAAAGGAAGAGACTAAGAAAGAGTAACTCTATAGACGCGATGTATATTATTACTTAATTAAATAAATTCATTTTGATTACCCCATCTCTACTAAGCGTAAGGCTTCAAGCTGTTGGCGTTTGACAATTCGAATGCGTTTGACAATTCGAATGCGTTCTATAAAGAGAGTTCCATACGATACAATATATTCAAACACTACATAACATTCAAAACATTGAGCATTGGACAAGGCTCAAAAAAAAAACCTTTGTTCGCATTGACAAGCATGCACATGAGGCCCTGAATGAAGAAGAAGAACGACAAGCCTGAAATCATGTCAACGAGGATGCTCAGATTCGACTCTACTACCCTCAAGTAATCGTTGATAAAGATAAGGGCACTCAGAGTCTGCCAACTGTCAACGAGATTGCATCCATCATTTCCAATGAATATTCTGATACAATTTTTGAAGATCATCACATACCGAAATAGCCTTCAGTCAGCGGCAATAGCCTCTTCTAAACGAATTAATGAAACGCACATGATGCTACTTACATACCATGTTGAATGCTGCAAATCATGGCTAGACAGCTGTAATTATATATATATTTGGTAGTGAATCAGGTTGGCTGGCGTTGTCAGGTATGAAAATTACCAACAAAAGCAAAAGAAAGTATTTGGACTAAGCAAAAGCCCTTTCAAATTCATGATTCCCATTTGATCAGCATTTCAATTATCATTATCATCATCAAAAAGGGCATTTAGGTCGGCCAGTAGCAGCAGCAGCAGCAGCACCACCACCACGACGAAAATTGATTCAAGCTCAGAACATCTTTTCTGTCCAAGATTGGCCAAATATTGACCTTTTTCGATTTAATTAAACGGTTTTGTCATATTCGACTGTATAACTTGTAATGATCACTCGATACTTCCTAATACATTCTTGGAGTACTTTTGAAGGCGCTTCCAATGGTGCCAGATAAAATAGATGTTTTGAATGAAACTATTGAGTAATTTTGGATAATATGAAATAAGGTTTTTGGCCGAAATGTCGAAATTTTATATATCAAAGTTCCACAAAGATGATTTTAGGGGTTGCGTTAGATCGATAGAAACATTTTGATTCAATATATACCATAGTAAAAGCCTTCGTTATCAAGGTCAAAAACGCGATTGTTTGATTTTCGATGAAAACCATGAAGTACCCCTCATGGTTTGGAGTCGATTTTTGGTCATGTTTTTTGAGTCCTCAAAAAGTTGAGCAAAGGTGTCAGGTAATTACTGCTACTCGAGTACAATTGTTTGGTGTCATTCCAGTGGTTCAGAAAGGCCTAGATGTTGAGATATGAAGGCTCGAAAACTGTAAATTTTAGCTGTAATTCATACATTTGCTTGTCAATAGGCGCGTTTTTGATGTGACACAAAGGCATAAATACATTGTACGTATTGATCTCGATCTAGAGCATGCTGTTACATCCAAATATTCAGCTTGAAATATCAGGCTGAGTGGCACTGTTGTATTGCTATATCACAGCACAATGTACAACTTATTAGTGATATAATGACGGTTGTAAGTCAAGCTGGGCATTTTAGACGCAATACATAGTTGGCACTTGGTCATGTCATACAAGAAACTGCGTGTAGTTCTTGCATTATATCCATTCCATATTACGTCAATCTGGCAGGTTCCGCCACCTGCGAATTTTTCTATAAATTGGGAGCTGTTCTTCTGCTCATTTGACGTCTTTTTCTTTCTACAATCAATACATTTTTATCATGGTAAGTTGTGTCTCTCGAGTCATCATCCCATCGCACACCGTGGTATACTGATTGACCTGATAGACTGTTTCTGTTGGCGACTCTCTTCCTCAAGTAAGCCTTACCTATGTCCCTTATGATCCCAAGCGCGATCCCATGGCCTGTCCCGTCCCTGTCAAGTACGATTTAGCAAAGGAATTGAAGGGAAAGAAGGCTGTCATCATTAGTATTCCTGGCGCATTCACACCTACTTGCTCAGAACAACACGTTCCCCAGTTTCTGAAAAAGTATGATGAGCTCAAGAAGGCTGGCATTGATGTGATTATCTGTACTGCTACCAATGATGGCTTTGTCATGGATGCTTTTGGACAACATTTGAAAGTCAAGGACAAGATCATCATGGCATCTGATGGTGGTTCTGACTTTTTCCAACAGTTGGGCTTGACCTTGGATTTGACGAGCAAAGGTATGGGCGTTCGCTCAAAGCGTTTTGCCTTGGTTGTGGATGACCTCAAGGTTACTTATGTTGGCGTTGATGATTCTGGAGTCGATAAGTCTGGTCCAGATGCCGTTTTGAAGAGTTTGTAAATATTGACATGAATAAAATTCATGCATCATGTATCATTTGTTTGTTTTGATTTGGTTTGAAACGTGAAATGGAAGGAATGAGATGGAAGAGCATCGCGTGAGAAGGCGGCACTAGATGTGTGTTTGAATTTGCGTCAAAGAGTGTTTCTTACAAGAGTAATGGTAAAGATTGAGTGCATAAATCTTCTCACGTACTTTTATGCCTGTCCATTTAACATTTATTCATTAACCATAAATCTTGGTGTCTCCACAGTCACGAAAACAAGTGATTTCCACAGGAAAAAAAACTTTCAAATGAGCCATCATTGACTCTTTCAACTACAATAGACAATAGCACTATGGCAGACACCAAGAAGGAAGGAAAGAAGGCGTCTAGCCGACTCTTGGGAATGAAGGTAATTGAGATTCTGCTGCTATGGAGATCAATGTAGCATATGCTTAAATGCTTCATTTGTTAGTTCATGCAACGTTCAATGGAGAAGGAAATGCAAGAGCAATTGGAAAAGGAACGCAAACGTGTTATATCTGAAGCTGAATGGGTATTAGATACCAAAGATACCACTATACAAAAGCCGTAAGTCTTGCTGTATGAAAGGAGGATGCGAAACCGAGGGACTGATCACTGTAGGTATCAGTAAAATCCACATTGAAGTGCAACCTAGTTTCCTTCCATTTACACAAGATACAACCGCTGGTAGAAGGTCATTCAAGAGCTTCAACAAACTAGTAGAGGTAACATGAGATTTGGACAGCTCGTTTGTATAACAAGCAAATTAACAATGCTTCAAACAATCAGGCAAATGCAGATCAAGAAGAGAAATCACAACGGCTTGCACGAGAGGAGAAAGCAGAAGAGGCAACTAAAATATCAGACAAAGAATTTGGCCAACAGATGCAGACAGTTAGATCCGTGTCCAAGAAATCTTCGAAAAAGAGAAAGGCAGATGGCGAGCAGGCTAATGCAAAGAAGCCAAAGGTTGCTTCTGATACGTTTATCAAGCCAGAATAGATTCACACTGTATATAACCAACCCCTTCCTTCAAACTCGTAAATATTGGCCAAATAAACCTCATTCCAGACCTCAAAAAGCATATTTCAATCGAAAAAAGATATTTTTGTATAATAGTGGTGCTGCCAAGCCAATACCATTCTCATCATTCATATTATTTATTGCTCAAATTCAAACTGTCATTATCAAAAATCCTAGGCTTATTGCGGCCTTTAAAACCCAAGGAAAAAAATCAGCATTCAATTGTCATTTTTGACGTTTTCGTGAAACTTTACGGTGATTTTTGCGAGATTACAGAAGATGATGCTGATCAATTTAAAGATCAAAGAATATCGTAGCATACAGAATGCTCTTCTCTATCTGGTGATGTATTTATCATTAAAATTTGCCCGCCAAAATTCCTCTCAAAAACCCTTTCACTGTGAATTCACTTTTTGCAAATATCTCTAAATTCTGCCTATGCATCAAGGAACAAAAACATATTAATCATATGTATACGCTTTTTGGCTATATCTGCTTCAGCAAAAGTTTTTCGATTAAAGCAATTTTTGACCTGGAAAATCCAGATCTGTCCTTTTCGCAAATTTTCATGAGGGAACACAAGGCTTCTGGGGAGGTATGAGATGTCCAAAAAAAAAAATATTTATTGCAGGATACCATAAAGAGTAACAAGAGTATCATATTGGTGCTATTCTCATGTCTGTAGCTTGCATATTCGTCGAGATATGGAAGCTTGAATGTCGATTATTCACACCAGTGTAGGCGAGTAATTTATACCTGTAACAGTTAGAGCAACGCAGCTTATGTATCAGGATGAATTGATTCTCATGCAAATAAGTTTCTTAGATCCCAGAGCATCATTTGGATTTGTTAGATGCACTTGCTTCCGTTGCTTGTATGTGAAATCAATCGAAATACCTCCTCAATTGACCTATGCAGACATTTGACTGGTACTGTGGTTGGATCCAGGTCTTTCGAGCTCTTTTAGAGCTTTTTGAGGCCATATGAAGCATTGTTAGTACTGTCCCGATGCTGTTTAGATAGTTCATGCTGCAACTATCCGCACAGCAAACAACAGTATCTCTGATTCATAATGAAACGGCACCAAGCAGCTAGTAAGTAGGTATGTCGCGGACTTTTTCGAGGTGGGTTTACATGATTTACCAATATAAGAACAGCATCGAAATTAGAATTAAGGATACACTCTTTTTCATTTTAATTCTTTTACTATCCTTCCATGAGTGGAAACCCCTTCCTGCAACCAGATTCACCTGGATCCACTGCTTCTAGAAGTAAAACCATTGTTCGGCAGAAATATGTAGCTCGACAACCTTCTCAAGATTACTTTGAACCCGCTGAAGAGAACTTTCATGGCGACTTTTCAGAGTTTGAAGGTACACAACACACTGATATACCACTCGATAAACAGCATCACTGACTCTAGACAACAGCGGTTCTGAGAGAAATTCATGAAGGATGGCAGTTTATGCTAGAGGATGATGTAGAGTAATCATGTCTATACAACGTATTCTGTTGGGTTAACAAACTTCCACTCTAGTTTGACCCAGTTACCCTCACGTTGAAGTTGATGGATGATAGTTCTGTTGGAAAAAAGAAAGATTACAAAGCATTTCAACGCGTATTGTATAATCTCGACATGGCCCTGAAGACAATTGTCAATGGTAACCAAATGACAATGTGTGTGTCAGCGCTGATGAGGACTAAGGCATTGTCGTAGATTATTATAGAGGATTCAACAACTCGATTGGTACCTTTGGAGGTGTTTTACAGTACATCAATGGTAGCGTTATTTGGGTGTGCAACTGCTGTGGTAGACAACTAACACTTTCCCGTGTAGATTCGTCGAATAGACTGGTCCAAATGAAGAGTAATCTAAAAAAGTGCAAAGAAGAGCTGTTATTGAAGAGAAATGATCTTTTGAATTTATGGTATAAATCTCAACAATACAAAGAGATGCTCAGCATATTGGAAACAATGTAAGGCGCTGCATAAAATGGACTTAGTAAGTTAGAAACTCACCCAAGATCTAGAGAAGAATTGCGTACGACACCTGAAAAGATCGATGCCATGATGGAATCCAAGCATGTATTGAGTGCCTCAAAGCTTCTATCCAGCTCAATCAAACAAGCAGTGAGCAAGGACATGATGCAAATTGGCGCACTGGATGACATTAGAAGAACACTGACGACGCAGAAAAATGTAAAAAGAATGAACGACACAGCGATATAGATCAAAAGATGCTCACTGCTACATGTAGACATTATATGATCTTCTCATTGAAGAGCTCCATAATCATTTATACCTCAAAAACTCTTACAGCGATAATCGATGGTCTGTCTATACACCCAGACAACAGGATTGTAGGTCAATCTGCAGGAGACAGCATCGAGATGATTACTCACTTTTTTAAACTAGTGCCTGAAACAACCATCAAACCTAGAAAATTTAAAGAATCCAAAAATACAAATCAAGACTTTCAGAATGCTCCAGACATGTTTGCCGTAGAAAACGACATTGTAAGGCTCGAGTGTTTACGAACTGAATAGTGGGAAAATTGACATGGTACTTGATTATAGCTGGCTGAAGATGCTGATAAAAATCCGGAGACAGACTCTTATTACTACATGGAAATCATCATGGAATCATTGCTGGTTTTGGGCGATATTCCTGCAGCATTAGAGGTAGAGCTTGCGCAGTAGGACAAGTCATTGCCATTCCTACTAACGATACAATATAGACCATTCAGGAAAGATTGCCTGTCGAAATTCATGCGCTCGTCGATAAGACCATTTCTGAAGTAGAGCAAAGGTATGTTTCCAGGGAGAAATACTGATAGCAAACACACTCACATCACCTAGACATTCGAATCAATGGAATGCAAATCGTAAAAAAGACAAGAACGCTGACGATAACGATATTTATTGTCTTGACAAGGCAAATTCAGAGATCAAGAACGAAGTCTTGAAGGACTTGCTATGGACATTGTATTCAAAGCTTGAAGCTGTGCTTAGAGGACACAGATTTGTTGAAGCTTGTGCTCGACGCATCAAAAAGGTATGCTGCTTAGGTAATTAGCTTACACGCCTTGTAACTCACGAAATGTCCACAGAGACTATTGACTGCCAGAGCAACCAATCCAGAGGAAGGTTCTGGCTCCAACATCAATGTGTATCATTTCCATGAAATCTGGAAACCTGTACAAAGTGAAGTTCAATCCATTTTGCAAGACTACTTGACGAGTTCAGATCAAAACATCGTGTCTGTCAACGATCCTGCCTCAGCAAAGAAATTTCGTGGAAAACGAGACAACCCCAAGCAGCTCTTTACATTTGCAGAGGCTACCGAGAATGTCCAGCTAGAAGAGTCGTACGATGATCTGAAGCGAAAACTATCCTTATCTTATAAGAAAAAGATTCCAGGATTGGGTGACAAGACGCTGCACTCGACTATTGTAGACAAGTATGCCAACGAGATGTCTTCTAAAGGCCACAAGGTGTTGGTAAAACCAGACGCTTACAATGTCAGTGTTCTGTTGAAGCCAACCATGTCATTTTTACAACGATTGAGAGAGGTGTTTCCCAACTAGTAAGTTCACATACCTTCAACCTGCTTAAATAGGAGAGAACTGTGCATTTAAACTAGATCATATAGTGATGACCACAACGAGGAAGGATTCGACAGCTTCTTGGACGATTTTGCTGTCAATGTATTTTTACCTCAGATCGAAGAGAAGGTGATGCAACTGATTCAGCACGCTACAGTTGGTAAGCTAGCACTACAAAGCACGGGCGCGATGAATATTAACAAGAGTGTGTAGGTTTGGATGCCTTCCAAGATGCTCGAGACTACAAAAACTATTCAAGATACCCTATTGCAAAGGTAAGCCGAGGGTCTTGCCGGTGATCACTACTATTGACTCCAGTTCATATATAGGCCGCCGTTGCTTTAATCTCTGTGATTCAGAGTTTATGTCGTACCATGCACAGTATGCCATTCCATACTGATGAATATGTTCGTTTGATTGAAGTGGTCTTGCTGAAATTCTACGAAAAATGTTACCAACGATTCTACTGTAAGTATGCAAAGCACGTCTAGTGTCCCCTTGTGCCATGCTAACATGCTCTAAAAAGCTACGGTGGCCAGAGGAAGTTCTTACGGTGACAACCAAGAGAAGAATGTCACTGATGTCAGTGTGAGTATCAGTGGTGATTGGGCCCAAGAAGAGAACCTGGTTGGACTCCTAGCCCAGAATCCATTCTTCAACGACGACTCCAAGACAGATCATGAATTTATCAAGGCTCTCAATCAATCTGTAAGCGTCTGAAAGTACCGACTGCTGAACAGAGAGATACTCATATTGTACTATAGGAAATAATCATGGAATTGAAGCTAAAGAACGATCGCGTACTGGAATCAAATGAGCTCATTTTCGACTCTAAAAAGCTGATTGCATTGGGGAGATTGTACCATACCCTCAAATGGTTTGTGCGAGAGATCTGGGATCTGCGTTCTGCGCACGTTCCACCCTCCATGATTACATCGGCACCCAAACTCAACGCTGATAGAGACGACGAAGATTCCCCTGAAGTCAAGTATTCTAAACGATGGTCAAGTGAAGAGACGAGACCTGCATTTAAGGAGCCCTCTGATACCATTCAGCCTGTTCTGTTACCCCTGAAAGGCGAAATAGCAAAGTAAGCCATGTGAAATATCATTGTGAATTACATATACTGACATGCCATAGACGCTTTGATGCACTATTGACTACCTACCAGCAGCTTGCAGAGACCTGTTTATTCACACTGAGATTGGAAGGACGCTGTCATACCATGTACTATTTGGAAATGGCTATTCGAGACGGAAACTACCATCTGGAAGACGAGACTTTTGAGCCAGACCCATATGTCATTACGCTGAACTCTGATTTAATGGAGCTGGACGATTGCATCAACGCATCATTGCCGCCCAAGGACGAGTTGTTTGCATTTGATGGGTTGCCAGGGCTCATTGTGCACATTTTGATATCAGAAGCAACTTACATCAAACGACTCAACAACAATGGCGTTCAAAAGATGGCCAGAAACGTCCTCGCACTGCAACAAAATCTCAGCAACTTTGTGCCTCTATCGCAGTGTTCCATCATGGAGAGGGCAAGAGAGTACTACCAACTGTACAATCTGGGTAGCGAGGTGAGTTAACTCATGCTGTGTTACAAATGGACCACACCGCTGATACACCACCTGTAGGGCATTATTAAATCAATCCAAGAAAATGGGCCCAAATTCACATTTGACGAATACCGCATCATGCTTGGCCTGATCCACGACATCAACCAAGATAAAGATGATGAGCCAAAGAGCGCATTGGAGTCGGCCTCTTCATCTAAGCTGGAGGAGACGAGAAAGAACAACAGCAACAAGTACAGTGAATGGTTGATGGAGTTGGTTGAGGTGATGGCAGATTACGAGAATTAAACCAGCGCACCATTGGAATGACATTTTGATCGTTGCTAAAATAAAGCCTTTTTTCTTTTTTCTTTTTTTTTTTTAACCTTTCATTCCTCCAGTCGACCAAATAAAATGCAGAGGACTCAAATGAGAGAAGGCGACTTGGGGGACTATGTCGATCCAACCGTCAAGTACATCCCGTTGGAGCCTGTTCCAAACAACATGAACGACATTGACCCAGCCACCTTGGCAAAGTACCTCGACCCTGAATTCATTGATGCAAAGCCAGACGAAAAGACAAAAGCAATGGAGCAATTGCAGTTGGAGGCCGAAGAGAGAATGGACATAGACTTTGATTTAGACGATGATCTGGAACAAGAATTGGAGGACGAGCAACTCAAGGCTGCCAGACTGCAACCGCGCGAATACCAATACGAGCTGTTCAGCAAGGCGCTGGAGGAAAATGTCATTGCGGTCCTTGACACTGGCTCAGGCAAAACACTCATTTCCATCATGCTGATCAAACAAATGGTGTTACAGGAACGGCAAGAGAGACTCACAAGAAGAGAGGTATGTATAGCCAGCTCAATTCATGGATAGAGCGCCATCCTCATCCTGCCATCTCATCATAGACAAAACTTGCTTTTTTCCTGGTGGATCGTGTGCCCCTCGTATTTCAGCAAGCCAGTGTCATTAGAGCCAACTGCGATGTCAACTTGGAAGAAATGTGTGGAGAAATGGATGTCGATGCTTGGTCAGAAAAGCGATGGAAGTTGATCTTTGAAGAAAACGATGTATGTGTCATGACAGCTCAGATCTTCTTGGATACAATGCGCCATGGGTTTATCAGTTTGGAGAGGGTAAGGGACTCGGCACGCATCCTCAATTTCAAGGGATATTAAACGATGACTTGGCAGGTACATTTACTGATTTTTGACGAGTGCCATCATGCAACCAAGAGACATCCGTTCAATCTGATTATGCGTGAGTTCTATGACAGATGCCCATTGGAGCATCGACCCAAGATTTTCGGCATGACAGCATCACCTATGCACGCTAGAACCACAGTGGAACGCAGTGTCACTCAATTGGAAAAGAACCTGAATGCTAGAGTCTACACAGCAACCAACACGGAGAACCTGAATATCAGCATCCCGAAGCCAAGGGAATACTCAATTCATTACGATCCAACGCCTCGATATGAAGAAACAGAAATGTCGAAAAAGATCAGAGAAAAGCTGGGATCCATCGGTCGCTACAAACGCTGTTTCATCATCACGCAAGACATTCTGGCAAGCTTGGGTCCTTGGTGCAGTGATCGCATGTGGAAGAGTATGCTGTCTGAACTGGAGCGAAAGATGACCAACATGACTCAAGATCTGGAGAGAGACGCTCTGATTGACGAAGATCTCGCCTTGAAAGAAACGCATGAATATGTGGATCCTATTGAATTTCCTCGCAATCCAGATGTATTCGACCGAAATTTGTTTGCTCCCAAGATAGCCGAGCTGATTCGATTACTGCAATTCACATCAGAAAGAATACCCGACTTTTGCTGCATCATCTTTGTAGAACGAAGGCATACAGCCAAAGCTATCCAGGCACTGATCGAGTCGCTTGATAAACTGAGCCATATCCGCTGCGACAGTCTGACTGGCCATGGATCTACTGAAGAGGGCGATGTGCAAATGACATTTGGAGAGCAAAATAAAATTATCTCGAAATTCAGAAGCGGTGAACTCAACTTGCTGATTGCAACCAACGTAGCAGAAGAAGGTCTAGATATTCAGCCCTGTAACGTTGTCTTTCGCTTCGATTTCTTTCATACCCTAATTTCCTATATCCAATCTCGAGGAAGAGCGCGTAAGGAGGGCTCTAAGTTCATCATCCTGACAGAGGCCAACAATGCAAGTCAAGAAGGCATGTTGACAGAATTTGCAAACCTAGAGGCCGACATGAAGGAGTACTGTCAGACGATTCCAGAGGAACGAAATGTGGCCAGCAAATACTCCATCAGCATGGACGTGGACTATGATTCTGACGAGGACTATATTTCAGATGAAGAAGAAGACTTTATGGCAGATGCCTTCATTGTCCCTGAAACAGGCGCGACCATCACCAGGCAGAACGCTATACCCTTGATCCACAAATACTGCAGCTCACTCCCATCAGACAGTTTCTGCGTGCTGAAACCTATCTTTGAAAACATCGCCACCGGTGAAGGTTTCATCTGCAAATTGACACTACCAAGCAATGCGCCCTTCCAGGAAATTGAGTCTCATGTTTGTGGCTCAAAGGATCTTGCGAGAGCCTCCGTGGCACTGAACGCGTGTATTCGTCTGAGAGAACTGGATGCCTTGGACAAGCATTTATTACCTCGCAATATTCGCAGAGAAATCTTGGGTGAGATGGCGCCTCAGTATGATGAAAATGGCTATATTATTGGTAGTAGACGTCGTCATGGTCTGTATGAAAAAAGAACACCTAAATTCTGGGAGAGACCAAGCTTAATCGAGGAAGAGGAAGAAGACGTTGACGTAGAGGATAATCCTGATCTACTGAAGGCTCAAGTGCATGCGACAGCGATATCCGATAGACAACCACTGGTAACAACTTTAGATCAAACAGTGCAAAAGGAAGGTGCCACAGAATCAAGTCAAGAAGCAGGGATTCCATCAGTCAATGGTATTGCTAATGGCGAGGCATCGACAAATGATCAACATACTGAGGGTCAGGATGCAACGGCAGAACAACAACAACAACAACAACAAGAAGAAGAGACGGAAGAACAACTAGGCGAAGGCCCTTTCTCTTGCTATTTTACAGTGTTTGAGGTGCAACTTCCCGACAACAAATTTGAACATATACCCCTCCGTCGACTCTGCTTGATCTCCAAGAAGCCCTTTCCAACATTATCCGACCTAAAGCTCTTTCATAAAAGCATGCCCTTTTACGTCCGACTTCGCAACATCAGCACAGAAATCATGTTTGACCGCGAGAAGATTTTACTATTATCAGAGTACATGAAGAAGTTGTTGACAGCACTTATCAACAAGGTGTTCCATTGCCCTATTTTGGATATCCCCTATTACATTGTGCCGTTGGTCAAACACTGCGAAAATACAGCGTTTGAAGCGTTACCTCCTTCAGCCTTTGAAGCACTGATAGATTGGGTCGAGATTGATAGAATTATAGAATCCAAATTAACGCCATTTTCCTTAGAAGATTGTGATACCACAGATAGTATCGTTGTTGATCAATCAGACAACATGCGTCGTTACTTTGTGACCCAAGTGAGAACAGACATGAGTCCGCTTAGCCCTGTGCCTGAAGGTGTCAATATCCGAGAGACCGGATACGCTTCGTTTGCTGATTACTACAATGAAAAGAAACTTGTGGAAGACTTGGATACCAATCAGCCAATGCTGCAAGTCAAGCGTTTGAAAAAAATCATGAACTTTCTGTACCCTGGTCAAATTATGCCAGCTCAAATGAAGGGACCAATGTCAACCTGGACAGTGCCTAGCTTTTGTCAACGCTTCTTTATGAGTGCAAGCGTTTATCAGGCAACGATGATGATACCCTCCATCATGACCCGAATTGATTCAATTTTACTATGCCGTCAATCTGCTGAAAGGTACGATTTGCCTATTGATGATGCCAACATGCTAGAAGCCTATACAACACCTTCTGCAAGTATGGAGATGAACTATGAACGTCTTGAAACACTGGGTGGTAAGTTACAGCTGTGCTTTAGCCACCGTTTTGTTTGATCTTGCTAACATCCTCTATGCAGACTCGCTGTTAAAATTCATTGCTACTATTCGTCTCTACATCAATTTCCCTTTCAGTAATGAAGGTGAACTGCATCACCTGCGTATTCGTGTCATTTGTAACAGAGCACTGTATCGATCTGCGAAACGTCTCAAGTTTTACAGATATATTACCAGTCAAGCGTTCAACCGACGTTTCTGGCGTCCACCAGGATTCACAAGTCCAGCTGACAACCAAGAAACGATGAACGGCTTAAAATACCACAAATTATCTGACAAGACCCTCGCTGATATTGTCGAAGCTTCTTTGGGTGCTGCTTATCTCAGCAATGGTCTGGAAGGTGGTCTTCATGCTGCTATTCAACTCCAAATTCCCTTTGACGAGATCAAAACCTGGGACGATTTCAAGCCTACTTTTGAAGAGTCTCGAAAGCAAGTACCTGCTCGTGCCGAAGTGAGAGCGTTGCGTAGCTTGGATCTGCCCAAGCTAACTGAAATTGTGGGTCGTGAATTCCAAACACCTTTATTGATCGTGGAAGCATTGACGCATGCCAGTTTGCCCAACTCAACATCACCATGTTATCAACGTTTGGAATTCTTGGGCGACGCTATTCTTGATTTTATGGTCATTCGATATCTTTTCGATAAATACCCAGATGCTAATCCAGGCATCATCACTGATCTTAAAGATTCTTGCGTCAATAATCATATCCTGGGTATTGTCTGTGTCGAAACTGGGCTGTACAGACACATTATTCATTATTCTGGCAAGCTGATCCGAGCCATCGAATTTTTTGTGCGCGAGGTCGAAGAAACAAAAGCCAAGGGCGAGGCAGTGGGTGAGTACTGGGTTGATTTTAACATTCCCAAGGTATTATCGGATGTCGTGGAGAGTATGCTAGGCGCTACATTCGTAGAAGCTGGTTTCCGTCTGGAGGCTGTGGAAGAGCTATTTGCCAAATGGTTCTTACCCATCTTAGATAACCATGTTACTCCTGAATTGATCAAGATCCATCCATTGCGAAAACTGATGACTGATTTGCAACGATTTGGCTGTGATAGTTTTATGCTCAGGTAAGATATATACGAAATGACTGGATCTACAACATGTACTAATGCGGTTGCCATAGAAACCACGGCTCTGGAGAAACTGGACCTGAGAGTCAGAAATGTGTCATCTTCTTGCACGACAAACCTCTGGCTACTGGATCTGATTGGAACATCAAGACAGCTCGTCGACATGCTGCCACCAAAGCAAGTCAAAGACTTGCAGATGAGCCTGGTCTTTTGGAGTCCATCTGTAACTGTAGAGTGTCTATGATCAAGCGAGGTTTGATGGAGGATGATAGACTCAAGAAGATGCTGGATGATGATGAGGATGACCCTTAGAAAGAAGAAGCTCATCTCATCACGTGCGTTGTTTAATGGCCGTCCCCGGTTTAAATATTGCAAGTTGAAATAAATTTTGTTTTGCTTTTTTCTTTTTTCCTCTGTATTTTATATAACACCCTCCCCACTCGTCTTATTTATTATTTATAATATGCTTCGTGCTGCTTTTACTGGTGCTGTTTCCCGTGTTGCTGTCCGTTCAGCTGCTCCTGCTGCTCGTCCCATGGCCATTGGTAAATTCTGTGTACAGTTTTGATTTGGATTTGTAGGAATTAACATTTGATGTTTCTGTCACTTTCACATTTAGCTATGGGTAAGCGTTTTTATTCCGCCGGTCATGAGGATGAGAGCTTCGAATCTTTCACTGAACGTTATGTCAAGTTTTTCGATGGTGTAGAGGATCTTTTCGAACTTCAACGTGGTTTGAACAATGCCTTTGCTTACGATCTTGTTCCCGCTCCTTCTGTTATTGAAGCTGCCCTCAAGGCCTCTCGTCGTGTCGATGATTTCGCCACTGCCGTCCGTGTCTTTGAAGGTCTCAAGGATAAGGTCGAAAACGACAAGCAATACAAGGAATATCTTGATGAATTGGCACCCATTAGAAGTGAATTGGGTATCTTGACCAAGGAAGAATTGAGCCAGTAAATTTATAATTTTTATACATGTATAAAGGAAAAATAAAAGATATAAAGAAATACACAGATGACGATGATGTTCAGGGGAATATGTGCTTTACATTCGCATGTTTTACATGCATACTTTATGAAATACACATTTATCCTTAATGTACAGAGTGAGCTGATTTTTTCACAATTTCTTCCTTGCCACATTGCAACATTTCACGATTTTGACAATGGGCCCAATCTTGGCCTTTTCATCCGGGGTAAGTCCGCCTAATAAAGTGACGTCGAGAACATTGCCCAGGTTTGTAGTGAGAAGTGCGTAGTTGGGAGTGGCCTTCTATAAGAAAAAGTCAGGGACTTCTTTAGAAGATATCTTTCTTTCCTCAAGAATTCAACATGTTATCTCGCTTAGCTCAGGTCAGCAGTCGCAATGGTGCTGCTGTTCAGAGAAATGCATTGAGAGGACCTCTATTCAACAGATTTAATCGCACCACATCCATCTTACGCAAAGACATTCGCAAATACTCTTCTGACAAGGAACCCCCAAAGAAGAAGGATGACGAACCATTCAATATCCCTAAAGGATTCGAGAGTTTCTTTGGCAAGCAATCTGGAAAGCAAGCCAAGCAATCAGCCGAGGAAGCAGCATCCAAACACTCAAAGAATTCAGCTGATCAAATACCCAAACCTCCTCCCAAGGGCAACAGCAGCAGCAATGGTGGAGGCAACAAGCCTCCAGAGGTCAATGTCAATATGAACATGGTGTTGGGTACTGCAGTAGGTACTTGGCTCTTGTGGAAAATGACTTCACCAGCAGATTCTTCCCGAGAAATCACTTGGCAAGGATTCCGTACACAATTATTAGACAAGGGACTTGTGGATAAGCTCGTCGTGGTCAATCGCAACAGAGTTCGAGTGTATTTGAGATCAGAGGCCAACTCACTCGGCGTATCTCCCCATCAAACATTTGTATTCACCATTGGATCTCCTGACAGCTTTGAGCAAAAATTGGAAGAGGCTCAAAATGAACTGGGCATTCCATCCAACGAGAGAATTCCCGTAGCTTATCGTGATGAAATTAGTGTATTGCAGACTGCTTTGCATTTTGCACCTACTGTTTTGCTCATCGGTGTCTTGGTTTATATGACTAGACGTGGCGCTGGTGGTGCTGGTGGACAAGGTGGTATCTTTGGCATTGGCAAGAGCAAGGCCAAGATGTTTAACCAAGAGACCGACATTCGAGTCAAATTCAAGGATGTCGCTGGTGCTGATGAGGCTAAAGAGGAAATCATGGAGTTTGTCAAGTTTTTGAAGAACCCTGCTGCCTATGAGCGTCTCGGTGCTACTATCCCCAAGGGCGCCATCTTGTCTGGTCCTCCTGGTACTGGTAAAACCTTGTTGGCCAAGGCTACTGCTGGTGAAGCTGGTGTCCCCTTCTTGAGTGTCTCTGGTTCTGAATTTGTAGAGATGTTTGTCGGTGTAGGTCCCTCTCGTGTTCGCGATCTGTTTGCCACAGCCAAGAAGAATGCTCCTTGTATTATCTTTGTAGATGAAATTGATGCTATCGGTAAAGCAAGAGGCAAGGGTGGCCAAATGGGTGGAAATGATGAAAGAGAAAGCACCTTGAATCAACTGTTGGTCGAAATGGATGGTTTTGATTCTAGTCAGCATGTCGTTGTATTGGCTGGTACTAATCGCCCTGATGTTTTGGATCCTGCTTTGATGCGTCCTGGTCGTTTTGATCGTCATATCGCTATTGATCGCCCTGACATTGCTGGCCGTGCTCAGATTTTCAAGGTTCACCTGAAGCCAATCAAGACACAAGTCGACATGGAGCAACTCTCTCGCAAACTGGCTGCCCTGACTCCTGGTTTCTCTGGTGCTGATATCCACAATGTGTGTAACGAAGCTGCTTTGATTGCTGCTCGTCATATGAAGGACGATGTTGACGAAAAGGACTTTGAAGATGCTATTGAGCGTGTCATTGCCGGTCTTGAGAAGAAGTCCAGAGTTCTCTCCCCCGAGGAAAAGACTACCGTCGCCTATCACGAAGCTGGCCATGCTGTTGCCGGTTGGTACCTCCAATATGCTGACCCTCTCTTGAAGGTCAGTATTATTCCTCGTAACTCTGCTTTAGGTTATGCCCAATACTTGCCCAAGGATCAATATCTTTACTCCAAGAAGCAACTGTTTGATAGAGCCTGTATGACATTGGGTGGTCGAGTTTCTGAGGAGATCTTCTTTGACACAATCACCACTGGTGCTCACGACGATTTACAAAAGGTAACCAAGATTGCTTACGCTCAAGTTACTACCTATGGTATGAATGAGAAGGTGGGTCCTCTATCCTTCTCTGATCCCCAAAGCGAACAACAATTCCAAAAGCCATTCTCTGAGCAAACGGGTACTCTGATCGATAATGAAGCTAGACAAATCGTTGTTGATGCTTATGAACACACTCGCAAGCTGTTGACTGAAAAGAAGGCTGATATTGAAAAGGTCGCCAAGTTGCTGTTGGAGAAGGAGGTTTTGAACCGTGAAGACATGGAGAACCTCTTGGGTAAGAGACCTTTCAAGGAATTTACAGTATATGACGAATACGTTAGAAAGAAGGTAAACTTGTGATGAGCATTATGATGCGAGCACCAAACTGACTGATTCACCACAAATAGACTTCTTCACCACCACCTTTCCCTGAGGATAACCCCAGTGGATCTGTAGATGCTGCTAAATAAATCACACTCTATTTAATTTTTGCCTCCCCTCTCTTTTTTGATAATCAAGCGAAATAGACATAGAACTCCTTTTATATAAACAAACCAAATAATAAAATGTGTATCATAATAAGTTTTCAAAATGTATCACAAAATGCTTTGTTGATACAATTATTTTCCTTTTGCTTTATCTATCTTTCAAGCAAAATGAGCAATATACCAGGCAAGCTATACCTATAGATGATTTAGCTCTATTTTTTTTTTTGAACAACGAGCACAAACTCTGACGTTATTTGCAAGCCTCGAAGAGCATAATCGTCGATCCCCGCCGCTCATTGTAGAAATTCGAAACCTAGTATCGAACGTGTTCATGTCGGCGTGCAATAGGATATCGCCTTTCAATGAAACAGGAGTGCGGCATCAAACACCTATTATTTGTATTTGCAGTCAAAGGCTTTCAGGGCAGAGCGCTGAAAGACATATTTTCTGCCAGCAGCACAAAACACTTATACGCCTACATGCTGTGGCAGGTTATTGCAATCTTTTTTGTGGTATGCTTACATCGATAATATAATGCACATACTATTTTCGAAAGAGAACAAGAATGTCCTTTGCGAATACATCCTGCGCGGAATGTAGACGCTTTTTGATCATATCATGATTCAATAGAGTTTTGTCCAGTTCTTTGTCGGCCAGCGCAATTGCTCGCAAATGGTCCCAATTGATATTCATGTAGATTATCATTGTTCATCAGGGATCAATGTAGTTGTCTGCTGGAATTTTGTATAGTCCTCAGAGATTCAAATCCAGTAAAAGATGTTCTGAAGCCTGTGGTACTACAAAATTTATGCGTTGGATCACAGTGAATAATTTCATTATTTATCAAGATCTGTACAATTTTTTTTAATCAAGTCCTTCTGTCGAAACATTTCAGTTGAATATAATACATTTGGTTTTCCATGGAAAAACACAAAGAAAAAAAAGTAAAAGAATTAGAAAAAAAGGTAAAGGTTAAAAGTGTGAAATATTGATGTTTGTTGTTTTTAGTGTATGTGTGCGCGCGTGTGCTGTAATTGCATTGTTTGTGTCGTTGGTTGTTGATAAAACGAAAACACTATTTAATTTCTATTGTCTTGACGCCAGTTGTTGCTCTGTTGACGTTGACCACCACCATTATTGTAACCATTGTTATACACAGGCCAGTTGTTGGGAGCACGATCCTTTCCCCATGATAACTGGTACATGATTAGATTTCAAAATCCCATCCTCATTCAAAAAAAAAAAAAAAAAAAAAAAAAAAAAGAGCTTACCTTGGCTTCACGACCATTGACATTCATTCCTTGCAAGTGAACAATAGCGTTGGCAGCATTTTGATGTGTATCCAGCCTAAAGCAATATCAGTAAACTTTGCACGCAAGTGATCCCGCACGTTCAATACTCACTTGACAAAAGCAAATCCTCTATCGGCTTGCAACTTGACTTCTTGAATAAAACCAAATCTTTGGAAAGGTTGTAACAAATCATTGTCGGAAGTGTTGGGAGGCAAGTTACCAACATAGACACTGGTAACATAGGCAGGTGTTTGTTGAAGAACGGTTTCGTAAGGAAGTTGTTGTCCAGGACGAGGAGGAGGGGTATCAGATTGACCCTTTTGAGTAGCCCAATTGACACGGATGTTGCGAGAACCCATTAACTCACCATTCATAGAGGCAATAGCTTGATCAGCCTCAGACTTCTCGCGATAGGCAACGAAACCAAAACCTCTAGAATTTCCAGACATGGTGTCTCTCATAACATGAGCATTTCTAGATAGACACAAGCTTCAATTTTCATTGCTTTGCCAACTTGACCTCAAGATATACTTACACTAAGGTACCGAAAACGCTGAAGGCTTGGGATAATAAATCGTCGGTAATCTCGGGTGCAAGATCGCCAATGAAGATTTGATATTGACTAGGAGTGTCTTCCTTTTGACCTTGTTGAGTTTGTTGAGCCCAGTTTACTTTGATCTCCTATGGATTAAAAGAAAAAATTTTTAGTTTTAAATTATTAGATGTCCCCCCCACCACCATTCTCCCCTCTCCCTCGGGTCCCTTCCCCTTTGAAATGCCCAAACTTACATAGTCCAAGACCTTGTAACCGTTCAGTTCTTGAATGGCTCTCTCAGCAGCAGCAGGTTCAACGAATTCGACGAAACCGTAATTGACACTAGGCTATAATTTGGAGATAGGGTTAATCGCTTGAATTTGGGATGCGGAATCAAGTGCAAATTGAAACGTACAAAAGGACCATGTCTATGCATCTATAAACAACATTTAGTCACTAGGAACGCGTATCCACTACCTCATGTGAGTTCTCAACTTACAGCGACAATCTTAATGTTTGCTACAGACCCCATGGGTGAGAAATACTCGAGCAACATGGCATCAGTGACTCTACAAAAGAGAAACCTGTTAATAACATGTTGTATTGTACTTGCTTAGGCAATGCGTGTACCTTTGATCGAGGTTGCCAACGTAAACGGTTGATGTAGCAGACATTTTCTTCTACAAAGTTTATATATATATATATATATTTATAAAGAAAAGGTTTTTGTGAAATGTAAAAAAAAAAAAGACTTTCTTTCCAAATGTGAAAGATTTTCAAAAAGTAAAGCTAAGATGCCGTCATCATCAAATGCCTTTTGGCGGTTAGCCAAATGCAACGATGTAATGGTCAACTACAAAAGGGATCGAGCAGAAGAGCTAGTACTATTTTCGCTCTTTTCCTCTTTTCATCACATCAAAATAAACAAGATGCCCTTGTGCGGTAAAAACGAAATCAAATCAGCAAACCGAAAGCTAGTTGTTTGTGGAGATGGCGCCTGTGGAAAGACATCCTTACTAAATGTCTTTACTAGAGACTACTTCCCTCAGGTGTGTGTGTGTGTGTGTGTGTCTTATTTTCATGCAAAAAATGACATGTATTCAACATCATACAAATACTAGGTTTACGAGCCCACCGTATTTGAAAACTATGTGCAAGAAATCACAGTAGATCAGCAAACAATTGACCTTTCGCTCTACGATACAGCAGGCCAAGAAGAGTTTGATAGAATTCGCTTGCTGTCATATGAGAATACACACGTATTCATGTTGTGTTTCTCGGTGGAAAACCGAGATTCATTTCAAAACATACCTGACAAGTGGCTGGAAGAGGTGACAGAGCATGGAGGACCACAAGCTAAATTAGTGTTGGTTGCCTTGAAATGTGATTTGAGAGAGGAGAAGAGGAACACAATTTTGTATGAAGAGGTGTGTATCTTTAACCCGTGGTCAGATGACAATTGCTTGACATTGTGTTTCTTTAGGGGTTGGAAATGGCGAAAAACATCAATGCGGTACGATATTTAGAATGTTCTGCCAAGCATAAACGTGGTGTCAAAGAATGCTTTCAAGAAGCAGCCAAAGTAGCACTTTCAGGTACCGTTTCTTATTTTGAAAAATCATCCCACTACTGCTTTACTAATGAAAACCATGCATCATCATTTACAAATCTAGTAAAACTGAGCTCTTCTTCACATGACCGCAAAGGCAAATGCATTTTACTCTAGAAATTCACCTATCTATTTAAAAGCCTTCAATACGTTCCTGAATCTTGAGAAGATCAGTGAAAATACCATAGGCAGTAACAGCAGCACCAGCGCCAGCACCCTATTATTTATACATATTACTATTATTATTCCTACAATACATTTTACTTTATGCAACTTACCTGGATGATAACACCGTTGGGGAAGTATTTGGTAGTGAATTTGATAATGTTATCGCTACCTTGGAGTGAGGCAAAAGGATGTGTGGCAGGGTACCTGAAGAAATCAGAAACATCAGCATGACATGGATCCGACATCCTATTGCTTTTTCTTACTTTGCTAATTTAACACCACTTTGTCCACCTTGAACGTCGACCATACCCACATAACGGAGAACTTGGGCTTCCTTCAAGGCTTCAGCGTTCAATTGAGCGAAATGATCATCGTATTCGGGCAACTTGGCCATGAATTCATCAGTAGACTCAATGGATTGGAGTGCTTCAGGCACAATGTTCTCAACAGGAAGTGTAGACAAATCCAACTCGAGACCAGCCAATCTACCACAGATAGTGACCTACTTGCATGTCAATTCAACTGTCCTGTTTTTGCACCCATCATTGTATTTGCATTTACCTTACGAGCAACATCCATACCATTCAAATCGTCTCTTGGATCAGGCTCGGTATAACCCAAATCCTTGGCTACACGAACAGTTTCGGAAAATGGTTTAGGAGCAGCGGTGGATGTCAAAGTAGAAAAGTTGTTGAAGAGATAACTCAAGGTACCGGAGAAGATACCTTCAATCTTGACAATTTCATCGCCCGTTCTTACAAAGTCGACCAAAGTAGACAACACAGGCAAGCCAGCTCCAACAGTAGTTTCATGATAGATCAATGGAGATCTTCCCTTCTTTGTTTGGCTGGTATTTACGGCAAGATCTTGAATTTCCTTGAAAAGATCAAGAGAGCTGGAGAAAGCCTTCTTATTGGGTGTCACAACACTGAGACCAGAACGAAGCCATGTGGGGTAAAGGTTGGCCACTTGTTCAGAGGCAGTACAGTCGATGATGACAGAGTGGTCGTTGGATTTGGAGAGGTAGTCAGCAAATTGAGCGAGATCAGTTTGGACACCAGTGGCATTCACAGTGGAGCGAAGGTTGGCTTCTTGATCGATGGACAATGAGGTGTATTGAGCATCAGACACAAGCATCTTTTGAGAGGTGGTCAAACCAACGACCTTGAAGACATTTTTGTAGGATGACTTCAAGATTTGAGAGACTAATTCAGAGCCCACGAGACCAATACCGACAATACCAACGTTCACCATGATTGAAAAATAAAGAGAAGAAAGAAAAGAGATGAGATCAATCAGTTCAGTAACCCCCTAGTACAATAAAACATTTAAAACTTTGCGCGGTGTGTCAATTGCGATGCTTTTTTAGCTCCTTTGTTGATTATGCTAGCCACTATCAAGGTGCATACACATCAGTGACAGCAGAAAACGGCTAGAAAACTCACGTAGTCGTAGTGCAAGTCGATAGGTTGCTGCTGAAGAGTTACCAGGGCCTCCTCCGCCCAGTGTGGATAAGACATTCGACATCTCGGGACACACAGTTGGATGCTTTTAAGGGTTTCTTCAGTGCGTGTTAGGTTCAGAAGTCTGCTTCTCATAAAGCTGGGTCCATGAAAGCGCAATTCTGTAGAGTTGACACAAACAACGGAGTTGAACCTGCATCAAGCACGACATTTTAGCCTGTAATTTGTAAGCACAGATCGCATAATGACTAAAAAAGTGTGCACTGTACATCACTCTTATTTTATTGCGGTGCTGCATGGCTGCTTGAAGAGGTAGTGATAGCATCTAGCAATGCTGGAGCCGTCATTGCTTGCGGTGTATTCAAAAATGCGGCAGAGGGGTAACTGATGGATGATTTGGGAGAGTGGGTAAAGGTAGTATTCATCGAATGAGTGGAGACAGAAGGGGAGGGCGGCTGAGGTAATGCATTAGGTTGTAAAGTGAGGTGGTTGTGGTCTTGCCTGATAGGACTACTACTATCATCATGCGTTGTATGGCCTCCATTGGCATACGACGATATGGATAAAACAGACATGGAGGTGGGCTTGGATGTCACTGACGTTGTAAGTATCGCTTGGATAAAGTAGTGTATGTTGGGAAGCGTGTGTCGAAGATCAATGACGATGAGACCGTAAGAATTCATCAATTGCTCGATATTTTTGTTTAATAGAAACACACCAAATTCAAAGCGATATCGATCCACACCTTTAGCATATAAAGGAAACCTAGCAGGAGTATGTCAGTCGTATCCAAAGCGAACTAGTGGTGATACTCACTCTCTTGACCCACTGATCAACGACACCAAATCTCGGATGGTCGATCTTGAGCTCATTGGCGTGGTGGGGTATCTGAGCGGGATTTCCAGGTAATATGCCAGCATGGACACCAAATGAGCGGTGAAGCCTAGAGCAGTAGCGATCATTTCATCATTCTGACCATCATACACTGAATTTGGCAAGTAGATACCACGAATACGAAACTGTTGCGAATCATCATATGACTTTTTATATAGACATCAACATATAGTTTAAGGGAAAAGGAGGGAGGGCAAAATCAAGGAAAACGCTCTTACCTGTTCTATGGGGTATATAAAGAATAGATCAGCAATCAGTTCCTTCTTTCGTCTATTCAATGTGTGGAACATGGCCTGTCTCATGTTGATGTTCTTTTCTAGCACAGTCTCGTTCTCCTGCAAATCGTCCACGCCAACGTCATGTCGATGCAGCGCATCCAACAGATCCATCCTGCGATCCTCAATCTCTTGCTTTTTGCGCTTGATCTTGTCTGTCTTTTGTATCAGTAGCTTCTTTTGCTGCATCAGTTTGTATTCCTTATCGATGAGGTTGGATCTGTGCTGGTTCAGCTCTCGTTTCAGTCGAAAACCTCCTTCTTCTTGGTCCAATATATTCTGCACATTCTGTCTGATTTCGTTGGATGATGTTTGTGTGTCGAATATACAATCCAGTAGTGTGTTTAATCTAGCACATCTTGTCAACACGAAACACACACATGAACACCTGCGCAAACCTTACTTGATGATGCTGTTGTATGTGTATGATCTCTTGTTCTTGTGCACTGAACTCACTGTGCGAACGCTGGCACTGTCTGCTTGGAGATGGTCCATATCCAGGAAACTTAATCTTTTACTTTGACTAGTGACAAAAGTCTTGATATCGGGAGCAGAGTAGTAGCCATCGTCCAATTCCACCAGGAGCGTATTCTCAGGGAAACTGTGATGCATTGACTTGCCTATCCATGCCAACGCGTTCAGGTCCACTTGCCACTCGATCAAAAGCTGAAATCCCTCTTGGCTATCCTTGTTGTCCGTCAAGTATCCCAAAACAGGCTCTGTGTGTTGACCAGCAGATTCAGGGATAGAGTGTCTCGTCCAGAGTCGAATGATGATTAAACTCGATGCAGCGTCATACCAGTTCATCCAGTCAAAAGGACATGGCAAGGATCGAAATGTGGGATTCATCGTGTTGGGTATCATTTCGCTCTTGTAGAATGCAGGCTGATAAATGTTGCCAGTGGAGAGAGTGAAATAGGCGTCGAGTAATCCTAAACTCTGCATTTGCTGCTCGCTCTTTTGATAAGCTCGTTTCATCAGCGAGGAATCCTCCACAGCTGTGGTTGCACTGAGAGAAGCGGCACTTTCTGACCGCTTCATGTTGCGGCTTGAAGGTGGCCAAAGAGTATCTGATTGAAAGGCCAGCTCATCTTCATCGTCTTGAATGACTTTGGATACAATATTCCGACCTGCTACTGATTTGATGTGTCGTATCCTTTTCTAATAAGATGTGCAGTGTTACGAGCTGGCAATTTTTTTTTTTCAAACGGTAGGGTTTATATCTCTGTTTACCTGCCTCGGTCCAACTGAAGCCTTTGTATCTGCCATTTTTCATCTATAAAAAAAAAAGAAAAAAAAAAAAAAAAAAAGAAAAAGAAAACGAAAATAATGCGCACATGTGAACTCATTTTCAAGCAGGCTTCAAGATGGTCACGATGATATGATGTCTTTATTATTTGAATGAACTTGCCCTTAAGCAAGTGGTTGCCAAGTGGTGTTTCCTTGATTGCTTTGGCTCCACTCATTCCATTCGGTCCAGTCCATTGAAGTGGGTATACCGAAAAAGGGATTATTTGGCTTGTTTCTAAATAGCCCTTCATTGTTACTATCTAACAAAGGATGTGTAGCAGCAGCAGCAGCAGCAGCAGCAGCAGCAGGAGGAGGAGGAGGAGGAGGAGGCATTGAGGTAGTAGGGATGACCGGTGGTGGCGGTGGTGGAATAGATGTGGTAGTATTAGGTACAAATGAGAGGAGTTGCGGTGATGTATGAACAGGTGCTTGTTGATATAGAGTATCTTGATGTGGGTTGTTGTTGTACATGGGCATAGGGGGTAGGGTTTCCATCTTGGAAAATGCAGATACATCTTGCATTGTGTAGTCGAGTTGATTTGGGTCTCCAAGCGTATTGTTGAATCCAAACTGCTTTAGACTGAATGCTTCTGACATGGATGTAGGAGAGGGAGCTGAGGATTGAGATACTGCTACAGAGTTAGTCGGTCCAGCTTCTGTAAAAATCCACCATCACTTACATGAGCCGTCCATGGTAGGAGGGACAATCACCTCAGACAGAGATGGCTGAAATTGTCGAATGGGGTAATGCTGCTCTTGTGGTGAGTGTGCCATCACAGGCGTCGTTCTGCCTGGTGGTGGTGGCAGCACAGTTTGCATCTGTTGGTGCGCATGTCCAGTACTTCGCTTGGGCGTGCCTCGACCTACGTCAGACAAACGAGTGGGAACAGTCGTGCTATCCACACTATTGTCTCTGGAACGCACAGAGTCTTCAGAATCAGACGGTGGCACAGCGACTTCAATTTCCTTATTGTTCATAATTGTCTTTAGTAATCGATACAGTCGTTGGGCTGTGCTTGACATGGACCTTAGTCGAGAAATGAGTGCAATGCCTTTGGCCAGATCAGCTTTGGCAGGTGCTGACAGTCGTGCGTCCGGGTTCTTTGTGTTGTACATGTGGATCAGACAGCATTGAAGCACTGGATACAGACTGAAAGAGTAAGGAAACATCAAAAAATCACGCACAGTCATTTGAGAAGCAATGCGGATGCCTCGTGTGGCTGCACTGGTGCCAATCCTGAACGATGAATAAGAGGGTCTTGCTTTCTTTCCATTGGCAACAGCTTCAATGAAGGGACGATGGAGAAGAATCAGCAAACTAAAGTAGCACAGCAATACAGATGCTGCAAACAGAATGTGGTGAGTAAGCGATGCTACATTCAGAGCCATTCTGCTTACCTGTGACAGGCGCCAAGTAACCTCTGCTCTCATCAAAATCCTCAAAATCTGCTTTCTGCAATGCTTCGGGAAATCCGAAGCGCCACTCAGTGAGTTGATGATCCAATTGAGTGACAATAGCATCGCTTCCTTGCTCCAAACCAACTTTTTTAGCTTTTGGCGTGTATAGTCCTTGAAGAATGCGACCCAAAATTTCAGACAATTTGATAAGCTCAATGAATAGCTGATAAATGCCCACTTTGGCATTGGATTGCTGCTGTTTTGGTCTACACATGGCTGAGGGAAATCGCGCTTCGGTAGAGGGATCCAATGTCGCTAGGTTGTCGTCTGGCTCATCCAACACCTCTTTCCAAGTGGCAGTTGCATCTGGATAGCCAACGTCGTTATCTTCGTCTCTGATACTGATGGGTCTGCCTAATGAAGCGGAATGAAAACGATCTGCCACATACAGAGACCACCATATTCTCTTTCTCGTCTGCTTTTCGCTCTCTGGAATATCCCATTCTTCGCAATCTCGGTTCAGGCCAAGACCTTGAGCTAATCGGATAGCCAGCCCACCTAGTAACCAGCAAGCAGATGATTTTGAGTCTAAATTACCGCTGTGATTATGGATTAGGATAATGGCCTGCACTTTGGAGATGGTGGGAGTTGCAGCAGACGTAGTGATGATGGTTTGTGCTTGATCAAAGAACTGATCAGACCAACCCAGTGGGACATCCCATACAACATCGGGTGGCCGATTTGACTTGGATTTCTGTATCAGCGCCTCGCATTCTACAAATCTGGCAGCAGCACCAAACATGGCATTCAGTAAATCAGCGGGCGGGTATGTGTCTGCTTGGTCTCGGTATTGCTGCAGGAATCGAGTTTTGTTGACTACCGGTAATACGGGGTGGATGTTGGCGAAATAGCTACAGGCCGCTATCAAGTTAGAGACTCGCTAATGCAGGTGCAAGCGCATCAACTTACATTTTGAGCAAACGATCGCTTGTATGTCTATCGACGCCAGTGACTGAATAGATCCAATAGTGAATCGGTTTGACTTGTGGTAACAACTGATATTGTGGAATCTCAGGGGCATGTTCCTGCTCGTCTTTGCCATCTTCTACCAAGACAACTTGCTTGCCAAACTTCCGTATATGATGTCCCTTCCACTTTGTATTGTCGTCATCCAAGTGTATCTTGTTTGAAAAGAACTGAAAACTCGACATGTCTCCCAGGTATTGCACTCTATCCGACGACGCACCTTGAGGTCGCTTACTACCACTTGCTGTGTTCATGGAATGGACTGAATCATGTCTCGACGGTGCTGGTGAAGGCGATTGATGCATACGATCATGCTGTGGCTGCGTCGTCGGTGGTGGTGGAGCGGGTGGTTGCATGCTACTCGTTGCGCTTGACTGTGGAGGATTTTGCAATGATTCTTCGATTTTTCGAATACGTTTTTCTAATGCATCAATATATCTAGTACACGGATTAGCCTCAGTCAATTTGAATAAACCACCATATAAATTACTCCATTTACCCTTTTGGTGGTCCACGTTTTTTGGCTCTATTCATGATTATAAATGTTAGTTTCACTTGTCTCCTGTCCCCACAATTCAAGCACTCACCCATCATTGAATTCACATGTAATTCCATATGACACACAATTGGTGCAAGCTTGTCCAGGTGTGAAATAGCACTTTACTTTCTTTTTTCGACAATAATCACTAGAAACAACATCATTCAATGAGCAATTGCGCACACAATCCATGAATGTATAAATTACCAAGCACGGGTGATTCTATATCGTTTCTTATCAGAGGAACTCAAATCAGCTTCTGATATGTTATCCGGTGTTTTCACGTCAAAATATTGGTTGTTCATCTTGATGTTGTTGTTGCTGTTGCCTTCGACATGAACGTCAATTAAAAGAAGAAGAAAAAATAAGAACAAAAAGAGTTTAACGAACAGTTTTACTTACAAGGTGCTGATCAAACCTTTTTTTTTTTTCCATTTTCCATTTTCCGGCACTCACCCTTTTACAAATTTCACTGCTAGCTACCCACTTTTAGGGGGGGTGAACTGCTGGCTAAATCAAATTACCGACCTTCAGTTTATATGAATAAGCAGTGCTTGACGAATTAAATTAGTAAGCTGAATAGTCGATCCTTGTCAAATTCATACAAGTAGATCTTTTTTATTATTAAGTATCAGTCTGTCTGTCCCTATCTTTCACACTAACCACCCCATGTTGCTATTTAAGCCTGTAATCTGACATTTATTCTGCATCGAATCTTTTGTGTTAGGGTACATGACGTTTAGCTGTGCTTCCTTTACAATATTCTACCATATACAACGTGGAAAACTTTATCCCGCAGTTACGAGATTTAACGTCTTGTCAATGCGGGGGAAATGAATCATCATGTTTGAATATGGTTAATAATCTGTCAAAAACGTAAACCATCTACTTGATACTGTAATTTTGATACTACAATGCAATACGCAACATCTATTTGACACATTCTGCATGCAAACTCCCCTTTTGCATCTCTCGTTCATTAGTCAACGTTGGCATCCAAGTAGTAGTTCTCGATCCGTTACCATTCATGTTATCATAATCGATTCATCAGATAAAAGTAGAAGAATTGTGCTGATGTATTTGGGATTGAAGATGTGATTCACTAGAGATTGATGGCTGTAACAAGTGATGATAATGTCAACGACTAATCAAGGAGCTTACCTTGATATATGGTACCTCAGGATTTCAAAATCTTCGATAAACTTGAGTTGTCAGCAACAACGATGGCTATTGTAGTGGATATATTCTCTTCATTTTTAATGAGAACGTTAAATTCTTTTGCAGAATCTTAGCTATGTATTACTTTACAACGCTCCAAAACTACCGTACTTTATATGCATTAGGCGGCTTCTAGATATGTAGTGCTGCCAAGTATTCTGTACATCTATACTAGCCGATCAATCTAGTTAGGATCGATGACGACGTCGCCCTGCGGATTCTTGCCAAAGACATTTCAATTCAGAGATAATAAAAGTTTGATATATCTTATCCAGCAGATTTTAAACAGCCAATTAATAGTATAAGAAAGGATATATCACAGCCAAGAAAGGAGGAAGTGATGTATCCCTCTTGGCACCTTCCCTTTGCTTATACACTCATGTCAACCGAAAGCATTATTTAGACAGTGTTAAAAAGAGTTCGATTTTTATGCAGCGTTTGTGTACAGCATTCTACTTTTGCGCTTAATTTTCAAGTAGTCGAATTACCAAGCCATTCGCTGATGCTGCTCATGATATGGCGACATAAAGCTGGCCAACGTAAATACAAGACTTGTGTGAGACCTGCAACGACTCTTTTGAGAGATTGTCATTGCAAAACATACCTTTAGATAGAGGACCTCCCAATAAAAGCAAAGAAAAAGGGGCTCAAGCTAAGCGATCGTCCTTTAATCGACATCGCAATCATCATTATCATCATCAAGAAGGCACCTGGATCAACCAACAGCAGCGCCGCCTGCCAAAATCGATTCAAACACAGATTGTTTTTTCTTTTCAAGATTGGACCGATTTTGTCATTTTCGACTTCTTTAATCTATCTTATGATATTCGATTATATAAACTGTGATGATCATCCTACGCTTCCTAATATATTCTTGAAGTACTTTTTAAGGCGCTCCCAATGGTGCTAATTGTAATAGGTGTTCTGAATAAAACTATTGAGCAATTTGACAGAATATGAAATAAGGTTATTAACGAAAATATCCAGATTTTGCATATGAAAACCTCATGAAAATGGTTTCAGAAGCTGCTTTGGATCGAGAGAAACATTTTGATCTAATATATAACATAGTAAAAATCTTCATCTTCAAGGTGAAAAATGCGATCGTTTGATTTTCGATGAAAACCATGAGGTGCCCCTCATGCTTTTTGGTCGATTTTTGGTCATGTTTTTTTGGTCTTCAAAAAGTTGAGCAAAGGTGCCAGGGAGTTACTGCTATTCGAGTACAATCGTTTGACATTATTCCGGAGGCTCGGAAAGGCCTATATGCCAATAAATGAAGGTTTAAAAGCTGAAAAATTTAGTTGTATCTTTATAGCTGCAACAAAAAATGGCTGAAAAAGCAGATAGAATACTGTTAAAATCCTTCTTTATTTGAAATTAGGATAATGTGTAATAAAATGTATATTCTACGTCTCTATTTATATTGTTTGGTCTATATCTCTTATCTGGCAGCAGCTTAGTAGCTGCCAATGATTCCATTATTTTGCATATTATTGTTGGGTTGTTCAGTTGTTGATCTAATAATGGATCAAGAATGGTATTTCAATATATGGTTTGTAAATCATGTGTAAAGAATAACTCTTTATTGTTTAGCATGTATCTTTTCTAGGTTCATTTATGTTACAACATATTACAATACCCTCGACATTTACTTTAATATCTGTTGTCTCTTATTTTCCGAGTATTTTACCCTTGCTATCATCATGCTATCCTATTATTATGTATGTTTATCTGTTAATGGTAGCATGGCTTGATTGAGATGACATTTATTTTGGGTATTTACATGATGGGGATCTAGTCTAGTTCATTTCAATAGCGTTTATTTACACGGCATGAACCACACGTCTGGTACCAGAAATCTTCTAAAGGAACAGTTTCGTGGCCTGCGTAACTTCTAATTTGAATAGGAGGCATATTGATTTTGGTGAAGCTAATTCATGTTGTATCCAAGCTTGGAAAGGTACAAACACAGCAGAAGAGAATATTTCTACGGACTCTTGTTGGAAAGGGACGTATAATAGAAATGACTAGACACTAACACTGAAGAACCTTTATTCAAAAGCATTACGAGATTCCTTATATACAAATTAACAACGCTAACAAGTCAACCTTCCTTTAGCAATCAGGGATCAGTAGAATAGAGTTCCTATAGCGTTTGTATAACATACTACTTTTCAGGAAGTATGCGTTTAACTGGTCGATGATTGAGACTGGTGTTCTAGTAATCACACCATCACAGCTGGATTGGCCATAACAAGTTCGAACCGTTAGAATATTCCCAAACATCTACAGCTCAACCTTTATAGTTTCTTCCATCATTAAGAATAAGAAACAATGAATGCCTTGATTCGATCATAATAGCTGAGTTGTGCAGAACTCATCTAGTTTGACAGGCTCAACAATTCATGCAAGTTTTGATGCGTTCTGTTGTTGGAAAGCTTGTTAACAATGAAAATGAATAGCCGAATTTACTGCTTGATTATTATGGCTTTGCACGTTTGCTTCGTTACGGTAAAGCCCTCTTGAGGTCGATTTTACCAAATGTTTCCCTGAAACCACAAATCAGTTAATACACAATTAAATAGTAGGCAAGTAACAACTTGAATTAGATGCGTTATGTTCTTGGGAGAGAGGGCTTTGGTGTCTGATTGGCTACGAAAACGCTTTTGCGTTCAAGTTTTCTAGTATATATAGTAACGATACTTGCGAGCTTTTTTGTAAGGCTTGTATCTTCTCTGTAACTGGTACAAGAAGCAAATTAAAGTGCTATGCCTCTCAATGCACAACGAGTATATACAATAGGTCGTACTGTATTCTCTTTAAACACAGAAAGTTGTAGTAAATAAGGGGGGAGATAATAAACTAAATTTCTATCATAAAATACTCAAGATAAATACTATTATTATACCTTAATTGAATTATGTAACGATCAAACGTGAAGCTATAAAATAATAGACACAGAATGATGATAGCAACAATAAAATACCCTAGAAATAATGGCGGCAAATACCAAAGTTAATATGAAGAGTGTTGCAGTTTGCTACAATATAAATAATCCTTAAAAAATTGTACGCTGCTCAGCAATGACGGCTATATTATTGTTCACCCGTAATTCACAAACCGTATAGTAGTAAAATACCGCTTTTGATCCATAATATCTCAGTTGGAGTAACAACTATATAAATTTCCCTCATTATTATAAAGTTAAACGACACTCCTCATATGAAACTGTTAAATGGATACCTGATCAGATGATTACACCTTGTCTAATACTTTCGAACAAATAAAGAACTTAGATTGTGCCTACTTTATTTGGATACCCTTTTATTACAAACACAAAATCATATTTATTGACAGACCATCAATAGGAAATCAACTAGTTGTAACCCTTTGTTGTCTCAACATTTCAGCCAATCAAATTGCTTGAAAACTCCGCTGACCTAAAAAAAATTTGCGAGGGTTTCCCCCTGTTTTGATGTAAGGCAAAATTTTAAGCTCCGCTATATATAGCAATATACCGGTTACTATCATCAAATTTCCCTCAGGTGCTAGAGCATGCCTTACTTACACCACCTAGCTTTAAATTCTGGCATTGAGACCCTCAATCATCACTAAAGTAAGTAGCGATAACCAAGTGGAGGCAGCCTATCTACCTCCTAGCCTCGGATAAAGTCTTGTTGAGCTTCAGGGATAGGCACATCCACACAACGTAAAAAAAAGGTATGCTTCAAAGAAACATGATAATAATAAAAGAAAGAACAAAAGAACATACTACTATAGGAAGATAGTAGTAAGTATGTTAAGCACGAAGAATAAAAGGATTATTATTTGTAGCTTATAAAAAATGTTCGATATTATAAAAACAAGAAAAGACTTATTTGAATAAGATCAGACACAAAAACTAAAGATTTATTGATAAAGACAAGAGTTATTCTATTTATACTAAGTTCTGAATGCCAAAGTAGCAATTTATCTTGTACAACGCTTATCACATCTGGTGAACCTCAGTATTTAGATAGCTGAGATGCACTTCACTTATCATAGCTTGTCCATGTTGTTGCACAACACAGACATATCTACCCAT